GCCGGTAAATAAGAAAAACGGCGCACGGAAAAACGTTTGAACTAATTTAAAAGAAAATATGGCTGGCGCACCTTATCTCACACGACCAAGTTGAATGCAACTTTAGATACTCCGGGAACCTAACGGTTCGACCTGATCGTGTTTTCTGTTGCGCCGATGGTTGTTGCAACTGTGCATTACCAGGCACATCGTCAAGAATTTCGATAATTGAGCTATCCATCGGTCGGCTGTAGCCAGCTGAAACGTCAATTATAATGGGGTTGCCTTCGAAATAAGCTGGTTTCAAACGGCCTGTACTGACAGTATCTTCGCGTCCATTACGCTCAGTTATATAGGATTTCTCATGTCGCTTGACCACTTTGAATGGCCCGACGTAGGGTGGTTCAAGTGGTCGACGAAAGGCGTCGTGGCGAATGAACATGTGTGATGTCTTTTGTAAAACGGGGTGAACGAAGACATCAGTCGTTTGAGGTCTAACTGGAGAAGGCCTAACTGAACGCATTGCTTTCGTAAGCCTAGTCACGTACGATGCCCTGTTGGAAACATGTTTGAAGTTGAAGGGGAAACAAACTCACCTGGTAGGCGAAGAGTGGTCCCGTAGATGAGTTCTGCAGGGGTACATCCAGCATCAACTTTCAAGGCGTTACGAATACCTAGTAGGACTAGATGCAGAGCCTCGGTCCACTGAGGTATGTTTGGGGCTGAAAGGGAAGCTTTCAGCTGTCGATGGAAACTCCCCACCGTGCCACTCGCTTGTGGACGATAGGCTGTCGTTTGGAATCGGGTGCAACTTAAAAGTGCAGTTACAGAGTGAAATAATCCACATTCAAATTGGCGCCCACGGTTGGTTGTGACGTAAGATGGACATACAAAGTTCGCGATCCATCTTTCGACGAAAACACGAGCAACTGTTTCAGCAGTAATATCTTTAATAGGTACTGCTTCCGGCCATCGTGTGAAACGATCAACACAAGTGAAAAGGTAGGTGCATCCATTAGATTGTGTTAGGGGTCCTACAATATCTATATGGACGTGGTCGAAACGCATGTCTGGGGCTAGAAAAGAGCCTAAAGGGCTTTTCGTGTGTCGCGTGACTTTACACTTTTGACAAGCTAAGCACGACTGAGCCCACTCCTTAACGTCTTTGTTCATCCCAGGCCAGCAGAAACGTTGTGTGATAAGCCTAATGGTGGCTCGTACACCTGGATGAGAAAGTTTGTGCAACGTATTGAAGACGTTGCGTCGACAACTCTTCGGAACTATTGGGCGTGGTTGACTAGCAGAGACATCGCACAAAATCGTATCCTTGTCTGATCCAACCGGACACGGTCGTAGCCCGAGAGTTGTGGACGACAACTCATGATGCAGCTCAAGGTCTTCCTTTTGACGCCGAGCTAGTTCAACGAGATCAATGCCCTCGATATGGTCTATCGAAGCTATTCGTGATAGTGCGTCGGCTACGGAGTTATTTGCTCCAGAAATGTGGCGGATATCTGACGTGAACTGGGAAATGTAATCCAGCTGTCGCGACTCACGCGGGGAGTATTTGTCAGACGCCGAGCTGAGGGAAAACGTTAACGGTTTGTGGTCTGTGAAAATAGTGAAATCACAACCTTCCACCGAATGTCGAAAGTGGCGTACAGAACAGTACATGGCTAGGAGTTCCCTACCAAATGTACTGTATCTTGTTTCCGCGTCTTGCAGCCGCCTCGAGAAAGGGGCTAACGGTTGCCACTGGTTGTCAGTCAACTGTTGCAAAACTGCTCCAATTACGTAGTCAGATGGACCAACAGCAATACTCAGAGGAGCACTGGGGTCGCCATGCATGAGCACGGCTGCGTCTGAAATGGCTTCCCTGACTTTGGGGAAAGCAAGTCTAGCCACATTGTCCGGGGTCACGAACTTCGCGGTCCCATGAAGTAGATCCGCTAGTGGTCCCATGGCACAGGCACAGTTGGGGATAAGCCTTCGGTAATAACTTACCAGGCCATTGAAAGTGTGGAGATGTTTCACAGTGGTTGGCTCTGGATAGTTCGTGATAGCCGCCACTCTATATCTTAAGGGGTGTATACCTTCGTCGTCAGTGGCATGCCCAAGGAAGCTGAGTGATTCAACTCCCATTTCACACTTCTGTAAGTTGACTGTGATGCCATGTTTTTTAGTTTTCGAATACGAGGTTCAAGTGTTTAAGGTGAGTTTCCTTATCTGGACTCTCAATGAGGCGGTCATCGATGTAGACGTGAACGAAATTCAAACCATGAAAGACATCATCCAAAAAGCGTTGGGATGTTTGTGCTGCATTCTGAAGACCAAATGGCATGCGCAGGAATTCAAACGAACCAAAAGGAGTAATTATGGCCGTTTTCGCGATATCTTCTGCTGCCATAGGTATCTGGTTGTACGCTTTGACCAAGCCGATTTTCGAGAAAATGTTCATTCCGCATAATGTCGCAGTCAGGTAGTAAACGTGAGGTACCAGGTAGCAGTCCGGAGTTGTTTTGGCGTTAAGCCTTCGGTAATCATCGGTCGGACTCCAGTCGTTGCCATCCTTTTTGCGAACAGAAGAGTATGCTTCGGCTGTCGTAACTCTGGATATTTCTCAAAAACTGCATGGTAGGAAGCCTCGCTTGACTGTTTGGTTCTAACGAGGGCTAAACTCGGACCTGCGTAGGTGGTGCTCCCAATGGATAACTTTGTGTTGTTATCTATCAGGCGTTGACGGCGAGTATCTACGAGTAAATCGTAATGGTTTAGCAAATCTATGCTAATGATGGGCATGGAGACGTCAGCCAGGAGGAAAATCCAGTGAATAGGTTGACGTAAACCTAAGTTGAGGTAGACATACTGTCTCCCGAATGTCACGATTGCCTTGCCGCTAGCTGCTTGGGGATTGAAGGATGAGTCAGGATGACGCTCCTTTGTTGGTGCATGAAAAAAGCTAACTTCTGCGCCGGTGTCGACGAGGTAGCAAACCTTCGTTTTAATATCCGTGATGTAGAGCAAATGGCTGTTTCCGCTGGCTACGGTTGCCGTGAACGCTTGCCGGCATGGCCGTTTCCCGAGTTTGTGTCCTTGTTAAAATTGCATGGCTCCCGACATTTTCTGGCTTCATCTCCGTAAGTATTATGAAACCAGCACCATTCAGGGTTTTCCACCCTGTTAGGTTTAGTTTTGGGGCAACCAAGCGAGCTGCTGCGATGCGCTAGGATGCGTTTCTGTGAGGTGCTACGTAAACTAGGACTTCGAGATCGTAGCAACTGTTTAACAGAGTTGCACAGCTTGGCCACCTCTGAATCCTGGCTGTCTGGTTTGTCGCAGACAGAATATACGTTGGACACGGGTCTGCTAGAGATCTCCTGTTTTTTATCTGCTGAGGCTGCCAGGTCATCGAGTGGGACTGACTGCAGTGTCACCAACACGGTTCGCACCGGTTGTGGTAGTTTTGAGAGAAACAGTTCTCGGAAAAGGCCACTGTCGAATGTCCGTAAGCCGATTACTTCGCGCATGCGTGAGAGGACTTCAGTAGCTGAGTTGCTGCCTATCTCAATGTTACGAAGCAACTCGCCTAGGCGCTGGCGATCTGTGAGAGCTTTTCTCCAAGAGTGCGGCCTTGAGAGGTGCATAAGAATCACTTACTTCGGGACTAAACATGTGTGCTGTACCATGCCGGTTTAAATCTCGCGGTAGTGAACGTATGACGGCAAGAAATGGAGAACGAGGGTCTGAGACGCCCTATTCTTGAAAATCGGCCTCGGCACACAGAAACCATGTTTCCACATTGTCTGGCCAATATGGCACGAGATGGATAGTGTTCGTAGTCCGCTTAGTACGAATAAGCTTGGGTGTGTGGTCGGACATGAGAAAGCGTAGTAAATGGACATATAAATGTTATCCAGATGAAAACAATATACAAATATAGAGTGGAACAGGCTCACCAATTCAATATTTATTATTGGTCGGGATATGTTTTCATGTCAGGCCCACCAATTTAGGATTAGATATGGTGCGAAATCAACAGACGCAAAGACCTATGACTAATTATTCGGGCTTGTTATGTACCCATAAATACGAGACCAAGGAAGAACACGGTGGCGTAGCCGGATGAAATAGCATATTTGGGTGGTTGTGCCAAAATATCGATGCGTTCCAACTAGCTGGCTAGAGAGTCGATTACGAGCAGTGGAACGTAACATGACAGTGTGCCGAATGGCGAGTATGCTTGACCGGGTGCCTTCAGCTCAGCGAGTTCAGTTAAAGTATGAGGGTCAGCATCAATGTTGAATGTCGTCGAACCCTAGGCTATTGATTTTGGGGAAGAGTGTGACGCTGCAAACGTGACACTGCTTTTCTGACAACTAGTAGCTTTGTAAGGTGTCAACATGCGTAACGACTTCGTATTGACCAAAATAAGTTTAATTAGGAAAGGGAAGCGGCACCCGGGGAACTTGGATATAGAATGTAAACTTAATACCTGTCACCATAGTGTTCTCTGTAATCGCTCCGGGCTCCTTTGCGACTTCGTCCAGTGACCCCTATGACAGCAAAAAACCACATACTGGTACTTGTATGCTATGTCAACGTTATTTTTGTCCCTGTTAACGAGACAGTCACGAACCTTGCACAAACCTTTTATTTGCTTTAACATTGAATGATGAATCCATTAATTGTCGTTATTGTATGATGCACGTTCTTCCCTCCTGCCACATTTATAAACTTTGAAAACCCAAAAGTTGACTAAATTCTGCTCCTGGATCTACCGATATATTTGATCTAATGCACACTTAGATGCAACTTCCCCAATACTCAATGTCCACCAAGAAACAACTGGCTAAGATTAGAAATAAGCACCTTTGGTTTTTGTATAGTAATATCATACTGACCAATCAAAAACAACGAAAGTGTGTGGTTTATCTCACTCGCGCGAATTCGTATATACGTCCCGCGGTAAGCACTTCATCTCGGCTTCATCGTATCTGCTACAGTCTAACATTCCTTTCGGAATGACAAGACTTCTAGCTGATGATGGTGCCCAAGAAAAATTTAAATGGATGTGTTCTTTCGTTTATGATAGTTGTGTAGAGAAAAAACTAGTGTCTGTAAAGGATGTGGAACAACTACTTGAGTTTTTGTGTGACCTTGAAAATAACGAGTATGTTTTTCTCATTGCTATATAATGATATCTTAGTGATGCACACTACATTGAGTCGGAATATGCACACAGCTTCAAAACATTTCTTTTGGGTGCTGCTGCGGTATTGTTCACTCGTAATTTGTCAGGTTCGTCCTGATGATTCCTAAAAAGCATTTACTTTTAGAACTATTCCATTTAAACATCAAAATACCTGGAGGTATGTTGGTTCGTTGGCTAGTCAGGCTACTGGTCGAAGCAGAAGAGGTTGATCTGGTGAGTTATACGATGTGAAGACGATCCATACATCAAACTATATTCATTTACTTGCAGTAGTAGACGGTTAGATCTTGTAATGTTACAATTGTTGTTTTAGTTGAGAACAGTGCTACACAAATCTGTACTTTCATTGTAGATTGATGAACTGATTTATTTGATCATATCCCAATACTATTTTCATGGTGAGCACTTTCGTACTAAAGAAAGTACTACGAAGGTTATGTATAAATAACGAGTCGACCTTAACGGTCTCTCCCGTTAAATAACATTGGTGTCAAGGAGTGATCCAAACATTATAGTAGGTTGTTTGTATGGATCTATGAATAAGGCGTACTGTACACTAAGTATAGGGATTGTAATACAACTGGTCATTCTTTTTCGCCTGTTGATACCCCGTTTGTTGCTATAAACCGCTGGGTTGGAAGAGACTGATAAATGTGAGGTTAAAATCCGTGTTGTCCCCCAGTTTTTTTTGACTCATGTCTGTGGCGTGGTCCATCTAACTGCATTGACATTATTTAGTATAAGCATTTCAACGTCTTTCAGTTGGTGTATTGCTGACCACTTGCTTGAAGTAGTGCCAAAGTCTATACCCTCTGAGTTTCTGAGTATGGTGTCAAATCAACTGGCAAAATTCAACTTATAAGGGTTTGAAATATAACTCCCTATATAGGCTTGAACCATACTTGCAGTAGTTAGGTGCCACTGATTGGAGATCTCAGCTGCAATTTGAGAATTGTTGTACAACCTGGCAAACGAGCAAACTCGACAGCAGTAAGATATGACCGTTAAAGGAAGCCATGATGGAGCGAACTAATGTTTTGATATGTTGCTGCAGCACTGCTCGCATCTTGTGAAACAGCTGTCACAATTGTTGTAGTTAGGTGTAGAGTACTAAGCAAAAAATCCGGATCACTCATTGAGGTCGTTAGCCCTCGTCAAATTAAATGCGTCAAACATGTGTTCTGCATACCAAGCCACTTCTTTCATCAGCTTGTGATGACCCCCAAAGCAAGATTACGTCAGTTTTAGTCAAAAAGTGGTCCAACCTAGGTACAATGTCAACAAATTAAATAAATTTTTGTTGTTGTGGTTCTTTGGCTTAGGAACTCAGTTTTTAAGCGGTGGGTCTCGGGTTCAAACCTTACCACTGATCTTCGGCCTAGGCTGCTAGGTAGTCATAATCCTTCACTTAGCAAGTGTGACAGCCTAATACATAAGTATGCAGCGGGTTGAATTACATTATGTGAAGTCTGTAGCTTATGGTATGGGTCATGTTGAGAAGTAAAAGCTATCTGAGTTGACGGGAATCAATAATTGGAAACTGAGGTGATACACAGTTTATCTACTGTTAGTGGATGTGTTCTTCATCCTCATGGAGGCTTCAAACAGCTTTCATTTGCTTGTACTCCCTCCCATTACACTGTTGTTTGCCTATCATTTTGTTTTCTATCTACTTCCTCTATATGGTAGTATAAACTTTAGTAAATTGTCTTCATGTAATTATGTGCAAGTTTAATTTGTCTGCCTATTCGACGAACAGGTTGGTGAAAATATGGTTTTTAATCCTTAGACCTTTTTGACTGTTTAAATATTATACTTTAAAAAAAATATTCTGAGTAGGGAAACAGTGCATGTGTTTATCATGTTTTCATTCCCATACAGTGGGTTTATGAAACAGAAACTTGGTGATTTACGTGGTGCAAGAGCCTTATTCAGTGTGGCATTTCAAGACTGCAATGTAATGAGCCGATAAAATTCCTGTAATCGATCTGTTTATATGAATACAGCGTTGGAAAAATATTTATTATACTCAGATATCACATGCAGGTTTGCTTAGTAGGCCGCAAAATGAGTGTATTGTATGAAGGTTGATTGGGTTGCATATTCACATAATTCATTTATATGAAATGGGATCTGAAGGCGAACTCATTAGATTAGTCAGGTGACTAAACGAGTGAACTATAGCTTCAAGGATGAAACTCTAGTTATAAGGTATCTAAAGCCCGAGTTGCTGATGCTGAATTCATATTTTGGCTACCCTGCACATTGTCTTCAAAAGACTTGGTAGCGGTGCGAATAAAGCTGCATTGACTAGGCGTTTTTTCCAGTTTATTCATGGACATCAGGTTAAAAGAATTTTCTAGACAAAGCTTGCGGTATTTTTTAAAATTTCAACCCTAACTTGCACACGTAAATGTATCAAAGTCCAGAAAAGTTACAAGTGTGTTTATGGAACACTTTCTTACTGGGAAATTTTTCAAGAAATAACTATGGAAGCACTTGTCGACTTGCAGTTACGGCTATAGTTTACCGATATAGGGATTTTTCACCTGTTTTTTGTCCTTACAACCTCATTTAAAATCCCCTATTGTCTTGCTTGGTTTTCTCTTGTATTTCTCCCAACTAAGAACTTTTTTCTTTTCTAGGAATATTTATCAGCAACGCTAAGCTTTTTATTATGTTTGGAGCATTCATTGGCAAACCAGTTGAAGCCAGTCGAACAGCTACATGATTCTGGACGAGAGTTGCTTAAAAGTTGGAAGAATTCAATGTCAGAAAACAAGGAAAGCCCCAAGGGAACTAAGTTTCTGATGCGATATCGAGAATCTTCTCTGGTCTATGAGTTATGGAGTGAAATGACCCAAAACATGGTAATTTAATACCTCTCATTGCTGTAATTTGAAAGTTGTACAGTTTATGTGACAATATTGTTCTCACCTATTATTGACCAAACAGTTTTCCTACTTTTATATTTGTTGGCTAATTCCACGGCACTATGGTTTGATGCTTTAGATACTTGTGTTCAAGTCTATTCCACAGCCCCGTTAGTTCTGGAGTAAACACTGTTAATGAATTACTACGTGCATGTATATATTTCGTCAATGTACTGCATAGTTTTGTTCTATTGTCGTTTATGATTCACACATAAAGTTTCGGTAACAATTGAAATGTATATTTTCAATAATCTTAGATGTGTGTCGTTTCGGAAACTTCAAGATTGAATAATGTAAGTATTTTACTAGTTGAATTGAGATCTACCATGTTTTTTCATCTGCTACATAACTGTCTGAATCCGAACTACGGCTAGTGTAACGGTCGTCCCCAAGTGCTATTCTGATTTCATATTGTTGCTGCACCAGTAATAAGGTTAGAAACAGTTTAAGATTTCGTCAGTTGTGCTATATTATTAACTTAGACTTAGACCTTTCAATCGATGGGTTGTGAGCCCCGCTCCACCTACTGAGATTTAGCCATCCAGGTGGTATCATTGGCCCTCACACAACAGGTGTGGCTCATTGCCTTCTGGAGGAATGCACACGAGTTTGCTTAGTGCATTTCGTTTGAAAGATTGTTTATTAGACACTATATTGGCAGCAAACATGTATCATTTTCTAGATTAATATAGTCATAATCTATAGGCTGCTAGTTTGCGTTTAACTATGAAAACGTTTCAAATTTTCCATGACCTCGAAGTGTTAAAAAAGGGTCAAAGGTGGAAAAACCGTTGGATAAACCGTAGTTCTAGCTTGAATTTACAAGTCGAGTGTTTGGGCTCACAGAATAGTTTAGAGGGCAAGTAAGGACTAGTTAGTCACAGGTAGAATAATGAGGACCTTATGCAGCTATGCATAGAACCCAATTTGTTCTTTGACAGAACGGACTTTCGACAGCCATAGCTGCTGTGATAACTGGTGTCCTATTTTTTGCTACTCTAGCTTGACCTCAAACGGGCCACATCGTAATTAGCTGCCTATGATGTAGACGTATTAAAGACTGTTACTCTACCTGTACCGCTTAATTGGGCTTACTTCCTGTGTTTAGCTTGCATTTTGAGGATCATCAAAATCTTCAACTTAAACGAATTGGTTGCTCCCAGTGTCGCAACTAAATACAAAAACCAGGTAAATTCAAGACTAAATGTTAAACCTCCGGAACGTGTAGAACACTGGTTGCACCTAAAAGACACCATGAAAGCAGAGAGCAAAGCTACTTGTGGCTTGACAATAAACACTAAGTATTTGAAAGATCTCTGCAACTTCTTGATCCTAATGGGTGTATATCGACAGGCAGCAGGTACAATGTTTCATGAATGCCCCTCATGCAACAGATCAAATGGTACTGCGTAACAACCACGAGACCTGGTCGTTAAAACAGACAAGTTAGATGGAAGCAGCATTTACATACGACAATAGTCGCCAGCTGTTCCTCTTCATTCAAGCCACTAGGAACCAGGTGTGTGGTGTCGATGAGACAGTCTGCAAAATAGATGAAATCGAAAAAAGGTCAAAATCCACTGAGTAACCTTGTGCACATCCCTGCAATAGGCGATTAGTAGTACCACCTGACTGTCTAAAACTTGGTAGGTGGAGTGGGGTTCGAACACGTGACCCATCAGTCGAAAGTTAACTGCCTGGTAGATCGAATGTAGAAGTCTGAAGCACTTTGGTGAGAAATGTCTTATATCCCATAACCGGTTAGCATTGACCTGTCTGAAGAAGCAGAGATCCGAAATGAACTTCGAGTTCTCAAGCGTCATAAGGCACACATTCAAGACAAGTCACCCCTTGGTCTGCTTTCCTGATGATGGAGATAATGCTGTAATCAGAAAACCAAATGTTATTTTTGGAAGATTGGTATGCTATAGTTGTTATCCATTTCAGGAAAGCGTCCACGTAATGCGTGTGACGATAATCAGGCTACCAGTAACATTTAAATATCTGCTTCTATCATACCTCGCAGGCTCTGCAAAACGCGTGAGAAACTGATTCGTGAGGAGCAGAATGTGTTTTGTTCAGATCGTGGATGCCTTGACTACATGCTCACTCCCCCATAGTTAGATGCTCGGGCACCGCGAATGTTGCAGACTGTCAGTGTTCCTTAAGATTAGGGTAGTTTTTGATTTGTTGAATGCTTTACATTTGCTTGTTGGTGAGGGTTATCCCTGAGAAGTTTGTTAAAACCTTGAAAACCTTATATAAAGACACTCCAAATAGGGTGATGGCACAATAATCAATCTTTTGTTTCAAACCAACGGTGGCTTTAGAAAGAGTTGTCCGGTTTCACTATTCCTACTCTGGGATAAATGACAGTCTTGATACAACCCTGAAGGAAGTAAGTGCTAATGGTGTAGACTCGTTATCACGTGGAAGTTTTTGACCTCAAGTATACTGATGGCATCTTTGTGCTATGTGACAACATTCAGGCTACTCATGTCTCACTTAATCAGTTGGCGATTGGTGTCTGTAAGTATGGTATGTGCATGACACCTCTGAAGTAAAGAATTCTTCATCTAGATTGACAGCCTGTATCTGCACTCACTGTTGGTTAACCTTTAGAAACCATCAGTAAGTTTGTGTATGTGTGTAGTACTGCGATTACTGCCGAATGCGACTCATGAGATTTCTATCCGTATACCAGAGACCAGGGTCACTTTTGGCACAATCGTAACGTTAACTTTGGTGTGAAAGGTAGGGCATAGAAAGCATCTGTATGAGCAGTTTTCTCTCAGCTTGTGAAAGCACCACTTTGAGTTGAAGATTTCCGACTATTCTGTATGTTTCATCACCATTGTCTCCGTAGGATTTCTCGCATATGTTAGTAACACTATGTAAGTAATTCTGGCGTGAGGTGCCATGTTTTCGGGTGTGGTGAAGATCGTCACTCATTGGTTGAAGTCATCTTGAAACATGAGGTTCGGCAAATATAACGTACTACGAGTGTCCTCTCACTAACTCCTGCACCACTCACTGCTTACTTGCTTTGAAATTGATTAGAGAAATTGGTGTGGTCAACATACAATATGGTGCCGCGAGATAAAGGATAGTTGTGTCGGGTCGGCACTTGCCTGTACCTCATGTCTCCGCGGATGGGATCTGAGAGATTACGAAACTCAGTAACTTGAGATGATAGCGGATATGGCTCAAAATTGAAACCATTGACCATCAAACCACAGCTTTCTTGTTTCTTCCATTATCAAAAAGTGAAGCATAAGTAGTGAGTGCTTTTCCCGATTACTTTTGGAATTGCTACTGTAATGACGCCTTTCTGCCTGTTTCCGTACCTTTTTCGTTAAACTCTCTCATATCACTCTTATGTCTTCTGATTGTTGTTATCTTATGGCTCGTTTCATGAAGTCTGTTTTGTCGCAAGTGTTTTTCTATTCAAAATAATCAGCAAAAACAAAAATATTTGGTACATGTTAAGTAACTAGTGGTGATTTTTTTGTTCTTTTCTCACTGTGCACCGAGTTCTGAAAGAAAAGTACTAAGTTTTGTCCCATTAAAGTTCAAAGGAAAACGGCGATCATGTAAAACTATTTCTGCTGGCGCAGCTTCGCTTATTAAATAATTCTTCTGACATTATTTTCTTTTCCATTTCGTCTCGACGTCATTTAATGACCTTGGAATTATAACTTATTGGTCTGGTTTCTAGACCACTGATGCACAGTCACTGTGTTCCTCTTTTCCAGGTTGTATTAAGTCGTAAGTTTAAATTACTTGTTTAGTTTGCTAATCAAACGAATATGAAAGCTGTATGAAGCTGATAAACCAACTGGTAACCGCAGGATTATCAATCATGCAGTGTTCAACTGTTTGGAGCGGTTCATATCATGCTGTTTTGAAGGCTTCTAGACTATTACTGTTTGCTCGTCGTTAGACTGCTTGGGAGATGCGCGAACGTAAACATAATACTGGTGTTCTGTATTAATGTCAGCTGGTGCAACATTATTTCTGGGTTGATATCTGAGGGGTTGTCCAGCTCATTGGCTTCAAGTATTACCAGACATGATTCAGAATCGAATTAACTTGTGATCGTGGTGTAGTTTTCTTGGGTTTTCTGTCGTTGAGAAGTTAAAGCACAAAAGCTTTCTGAATGAGTATTTGGAGGTCGTTTATCTTTGCCTAGTTAGTCTGTTATTTCTTACCTGACTTATGTGTATATCTGCTCTATATAGCGCAGTTCCTGGTGTCCATATTTCACTGGGATTGTGTAATATTTTGCGTAAATGTACTGCATGTCCTGGTCCTCTTGTTTCAGAGTTGCTTTAGCTAGTTATTGTGATACTAAATCATAACAGATTACATGTATACGGCATATGTTAACAATATACGTGTTGACCAAAGTAATCACAACGTAACTCAGGGTTTTCAAGTCGTGAATGGACCGGCTATATTGTTTTGGGAACTTAGATGCTCATACGTTTTATTTATCTGAAACTGAGAAATTTGTCATAAAGTAACTTAGACAATGCGGTTCATATTTCATATTTTGTCACGAGTTTCTTAGCTTACATGAAGAAAGCAGATTCATGGTATACCCTGCAATAAATCAATTGCTGTTTTTTTTGAAAACTTTTCTCCTCACCTTTTATTTCACATTTCAGACTCATATTCAAGAGTGTCGTGATCTTTGCACTGTTACTGCACGTAATGAGCTCGCGATCTGTTGTGTGCAAATGTTTTGGAGTTATAATGGCTGGCAGCATGTGCTTAATAAATTGAATGCGGTATCGTCTATTTCAATCAGGTAATTTTACTATCTACGTATTCATCTATGTAATACTAATATTCTGAAATCTCTTAGTTTTAAGTGTTTAATGTCCATGTGCAAGAAACCTATGTGGTTTATCTCATGTACCCTGGTATTTGTAAACAACATATATGCATTGAATCAAAGATACTCATATACCTTAATTTTGCAGTGAGAAACATTACTACCAGTCATCTATAGCAGTCACTGAGTGCTTTCAGTAAAATGAGGGTGTTCGAAGTTTTGAATACATATTTTCAGTCAGTAACAAATGACATAGGTATTCACAACCGTAAAAATATACTATCTCACCACTAATCTATCTTTGCATTTCAGTGATGATGTAAATCATATTCACGCACGATTGAAAGCTGTCTGCTCACTTTCACGTTTATTCTTAATCGCTTCGCTTGAGATTCCGTACATACAATTGACAAACACAGTACCAACAGGTGATCTACTGCTGTCACCTGCTAATTGTACATCCCAGCAACAACTATTTGTTTCTATCCCGGAAAAAATAATCATTGAATGGATCGAAGTAATTTCTAAGATCATTCATTCTGGTTGTTTATGGTTTGCGAATTGCATTTTGCATAGAGAGTTAGATGTTTTGTCGAGTTCAAAGGAGTTGTTGGACGAAATTCTATCTGATTTGGTATGTTTTGGTCTCAAACTTTTATTATTAAGTCAGTTACTCTTATGTGCTTATTTACTAATAGTTGGCCCTAGTCTTGTGCAGATTGTCTGTCATTTGATCATAAACGATGTAGCTTACATCAGCTAACAGTGCAATCTGGTCAACATACTGCACATTATGTATTTAGGTGTGATTTACCTACACATATTGCTCTCTTGCAGATGAATTACTTATATATCTTTGTCTTAAATTTTTTGATCAAATCTTTTCCTAGACTTCTCTCTATCAGCAGCATCTGGTTCGGTTACTTAACTGTCAGGTGAGTGAGTGTATGATGTCTCGTTTAATTATTTCCTCTAGTAGAAGCCTACTGCGTCGTTATTATTATTATTATTATTATTATTATTATTATTATTATTATTATTAGGACACAAACGGAGTACATCAAGGGCACCAAGAAATGCTCCATACAAACAGTAAAACAATATTGTGAAGACATACACGATAGGAAATGGATAAGTAAGAAGGAAAAGCAATAAGAATGGAATGATTAGAAGAGCAGTCCAGTAAGATACATTCAAAACAAAGCAATCATTACTTTTCAACGTCAGGAGATAGAAGGAAGCCACAGTATGACCGCCACTGGTTTTGACTCTGACCCATACCTCGTAACGTCTTAAGACTGGGTTGTGTGACCTCTCGGACCCAACCCAGGGAGTTGTGATGCACCAACAGATGGTAACCTGATACAACGACCATTCATTCCACAGTGCCACGTCACACACTGACTACCCCTCCGCCTCTTCCATCAAATCCCAGGGCTATCAAACAATGAACGGTATGAAAGCCGTTGGGACGATATGTGTAACACATGTCCAGGCCACTGAAGCCGGTGTTTCCATATGACTTCACTTATTGAATGACGACCTCCATCATGCCCAAACACACACTGTCGTAACTCAGAATTACTTACATGGTGGTTGCCATCGGATACGAGCAATCCTACGGCGACGACGATGATGAAACACAGAGTTATCATATATCCTCAGCTCGGAGAGGCCTTGTTTCACAGGCGTAGAGCATAACTGCTCGCACCGAAGCATCGTAAACCCGACCTTTCACGGTTAGACTGACGGCGCCAAAGGTGGTCCAGATTGGTGTGTGCCATTCTAACTTTCGGAATTTTATTTTGCCCCCCATCCACCCCACCAGCACTCACACAACTACCCAGATAGACAAACTGTTCGACTACTTTCAACGGCTCACCACCGTTGGAGATAATGGTATTATCTAAGTTCTCAAACCGGATTAGCTGAATTAAGATTTTAAATTACGATTCAAGTAATGGGATCAATGAAGAACAGTTTTATTCCATTCAGTATTATTGTTCAATCATTATACAGTCGGGTTGTTGTCTGTCTGTACACACCACATCGTTCACATTCTGTAATCAGATTCTGCAAGTGTTTAGTAGGTTCATTATTTTTCTCACGTTATTTGTAGTGATTTGGGATTTGGTTAAAATGACAAGGGAAGCTTTTGACCCATCTTTTTAAAGTGTTGCATAAAAAGTTACATTTACCCTATCTAAATATACTGTGAACTATATTTCCATGTATACCAACCTTGTCAACTTGCATATCGTTTTCGTAAGTGATAATTAGTATTTCATGCATGATAAGCATAAAGTTTATTGGTAGTCTAATCGTAGAACTGTGTAAAAAGAGTAATTTGTTTAGGCCGTATGATAAACTTCACTATCTGGATTAAACTAAAATGTCTTACTAATCCGTGACGTCTTTATCTCTTGGTCCAACCTGTTCAAGAAACAACAAGTTTGTTATTAAGCTCACTGAGAATTTAATGATCTGTGATTCACTCTCTTAGGCTATACCAAGAAAAGAAAATCGAAATGTTCAGTGAGCCCCATTTATTGCATGAAGGCTAATCATACAATTTATCTTTCTGTTTTACTGCGTAGTATTAGTCAATACTTATTTATTTCCTTTCTGTGATCCATTTCGATATGTTTATTCTTCGATTGCTTTTGTCTTTGTGCTTTTATAGAGGTTTAAAGGTAATGGTCAATAATGTACCTATCAGTATTAGTTTTCACTGTTTCATCCGGAAGTCATTGGATTTTTACTTATTTAACCAGTACTCGTGAACGCTAAGACAAATATTTACTACTGTAAATTGCCAGTCACTGTCACCATAGAACTTGGCATCATTGCGTAACGGTCCAAGTTGTAGTACTTCGTATCTGCACATCGAGGTAGAAGGTACCAAGATAACAGAGAAATAAGTAAGAAAGTTAGCAAAAGCTGTAGAATCTTTTAATAAGAGAAGCAGTAAGCAACGAGCAAATTTGATATGATAGTTTGTATGAAGATAATGTGTGGGTGCATCTGTGCCAATAAAATCGATCCACGGACCACCTGCAGGACATGTACCAAGTTTGTTTTCTTATATACAGTCTTCAACCGCCGTTTTCGATCTTCACTCAGATAGCAATCTGCAAGTTTATGTTTCCCTATAAGGCTCAACTTAACAATCGACTCCATGGACTAATACCATGTTTTGGTGTGACTGTCTCTAAACTTTTGCCAGTGTAAATTAACTTGGGCGACGGAATAGTTGGTGACTAGGTATGCACGGTACCTATCCCAACCCCCTCAATCTATTAAAGTTCACAACTCTAATAGTTTTTGAGTCTGTTTTACCTGAATCTCTACGCCTAACTTCAACTGACTTGGTAAACACTGTACCCGCGAAAAGATTATGTGAAGTATGTGTATTTATGTAGGAGATTTGTAGTCTGTTTACTGTACTGTCAAAAATTATGCAATAAGCTGTTAGATTACCGAACTACCTCAAAAGTGTTTCCCTCAATTACGTAAATTTTGGTGAAGAAACGTTTGATGTTTTTGTATTTTGTCAATAGATATCCATTTCACAGTTTCTTGACTTAAACTTGAAGAAATTGTTTTGTTTAAATCTCTATTTTTTGACGGACTAACAGAAAAGATTATGTGCATAGACGATCATGACATCACTAATAGTCAGTCAGATGTTAGGAAAATTGGAAGTGAATTAGAGGACTAAAGCTTTGGTGCTTTTTTGATTATATTTTTCGACATTATGTAAGAACTATGACGTAAACAAGTGAGAACAGAAAGGCTAACTTTTTTACACCGGTAAATGATGTTAACAGAAAGAATCAAAATCCACTCAACAGCCACGTATACTCTCTGCAGTAACTAATGAACCCCATTTAATGTTTGAGGGCTAATAATACTATCTGCCTATTGATACTCCGGTGTGTGCAGCGGGGTTGGAAGTCATGTGCGTAGACCTGTGAAGTACAGCTGCACAATTATATTAGTACTGCTACATATTCCCCCAAATAAATTGCCAACGACGAACTGGGATGTTATTCATTATTTTAGTCCTTTTTCAACACTAGTGTCTAACTTAACTTTATTTTTATTCATTTAAAACGAAAGATGAATTCAAACATTTTGGAAATGATTAGATGTCTGAATTTTGGAAGTGGTGTGACAGTGCTCAACTTGTTCGCAAATTCTTTGCCTAACATAATACCTGCTAACCAATCGGATTTATTATGTTTAATTGAATCGTTAAACAAATGGGATCGTCAGCTTAATTTAGTACCGATTAAGCCTTTACTGTTGAACTACTTCTCGAAGTTATTTAAGTTGAGTTTGACACTCTTGGCTTCAGATGATTCAGAATATTATGGACATGGATCAGACTTTTTTTCCACTTTGAAGCCTGATGTTCAATCTTTACTGTCACCGTCAAACAGATCTAGCTTAGCAAGTCGAACTATTATGCAGAAGTTAAATCAAAAATTTGACCCCAATGGTAAGTTTTGTGTCAATGAATTGTACATCATTGTTTTTTTGTTGTTAGTATTCTTTTATATTTCGCTGTGCCTTTTTCTTAACTCCATAGGTTTAACCCTTTTGAGTACAGTTCCAATCATAATTTTCGTGTGATATTTGTTTGGTTTGTTAAATGATCCCAATAAATTCAGTGTTAGTATCAGGAAAATCTGTCGTTTGTATTCTGACTGAATCAACGAACGACTGAACAACCTGGATAATAGCTTCCTCATGTAAAGCTCCATCTTACGAGGAAGTTCAGTGGATGTAACCCTAGTACTGAGTATCCTGAAATACATTTGCCAGCACTTTTCTATTGATTTAAGTTGAATGCTTTGGCTTCCAATTTTTAACTGTGGTTGGGATCGAGTGATTGACATTTTCACTCTATGGTTAAATGATGTAACTGTTTTCCATTGTGTTTAGTTAATTATCCGTGCATCCAAGATTAGATTGATTAAAGTTGGAGAATGTCTGATAGATTCTGACTTCATAGACTCAACACTGCTATGGGGCATAGTGGTGTGTAGATTTCTCCCTCGGAATAAAAAAAGCTTGAAATAATATAGATTAGTAACAAAGGAGGGCGGAACAATTATTTGTTACTCTTTATTTATTTCATAGTCTAACTAATGATGGATATTATTTCCAAAATAAGTACATCGTTAAAATCGTTGGTAAAAATTTGTTTCAAGAAGGCGAAATTTTGATTTTTAAAGCCTAATATATCACCTTCAATTTTTCCATTCTCATTTTCAGAGTTTCTTGATCAGTCAACTCAACCCACATTATTATCACGTTTATTTATCCTATGTGGACTTCATTTCCATACTGATTTAATGCGTATTTTAACGGAAATGTTTAGTGTGGTAGGTATATTTGTTTACTGAATAGTTTATGCACTTCTTACGATTTATGTATATGCATTCAGATGCATGTGTACAGTATTTTATTTACATGTTTTCATCCTTATCAGTCAATTATTTCATTATATATATATAGGTGTGCACTGTTGAGTTCCAAGGTAATGCGAAGTAGCAACTCAGTACTACTTTGTTTCTAGTGTTCCTCTAACGAATATTGAATCATGGTCAATACTTTGAAGTTAGTATTTACGCATGATGTTGAAATTTTTAAGTCTTGGTAATATTTCCAGCAAAATTACTATCCATAATCACACCATTGGTTAGAATTTTATCCTACTGTCGGTGTGATCATGGGCTGTAGTAATTCTGCTTGAAATTTTACCGAAACCTGAAGATATCAACCCTGTGTAAATATTCATTTTAAACTTAAATGTAATAAATCGATTCATTCCACTATGGACTTAAGTAAAAATTGCACCTCATTACTTAATAGTAATAATAATAATGATAATAATCACTTTATTCCAGACAATAGCTTTTAGTACATTTTTGAATTCTCAGTGTGATATTTCTACAAATTTACTTCTTGTACAATATTTTCAAATTAAATAACCATGGCAGTTAAGTTGTGTGAATAATAACAGTGTGATAGTCAGTAATACACAACAATCAGTAGATTTTAGGTCATCATCTAGTTTTTATACTGTTGCACGTTGGTCGGATAGAAAAGCTCATACAAGTTTGGTGGTGGGGGTTCATTCATCCAGGATCTTCCAGCTACGTGTTGCTGTAATAGCTATGTAATGCACTGTTGTGCATCCAAGGGCCAACTGCCGTCTACCGTAATACTTTCTCGTAGTCTTGTTGTTAACCCGTCCAACGATAGGTTGAAGACATTTTAAGAATGTGTAGGAGTATTTTTACGTGTATACATTTATTTAGCATGGTGTGTTTTAGGCAAAATGGTAAAAGGGTAGCTATTTAGTAGTTTCTAATATTTCGATAATCCTTTCTTTGATTTATCGTTCCATTTTGTTATCTTATAGATTCGAGAACAATCCCGGCGATTTTCTGGTGATAGTCACCAACGTTATTTAGGCCAAGGTGAGATTATGTGAAATTTCACTGTTTTTATGATCTCTTCAGAGTAGGGGTTAGTTTCACTTCAAGTCCGAAATCCTGTTTGTTAAGAAAACTGATAACCTCTTTCTTGTTCATTAGTTGGTGATCTACTCATGAAGATATAGGAAAACAGAAAGAGTTAAATCATAGAGGTGTAGATTCACGTTTACAGGTGTAAGGAATTCACAACTTCTTACTTGTCTTATTGTGTATTAAGAGGATGGACGAAAATACAATATAACTGGGACTTTTTATCATTTTGAATTATATCTAAAAAGACTTCAAATAGCCTTTGACATCACCCCTAGATGTTAAAATTAACATAAGTCCATTTCATTCATTATACACTCAGTCTCGTTAGTATGAGAGTAAAATTTAAACACCGGCAGTTTTTAATTCCATGTTAGATTGTTTGTTTGATACAACACATTGTGATACACTAATATTTATTGGACGACATCTCATTCAGAATCTGTTGCTCACAATTGCGTCGAAGTAATCATACAATTTTCAAATTTCATCCATTTAGTCTGACAGTTCTTCATTCTCTCCTTTAATGGTAGTACATTTTTCCAAATATCTTCAATGTGTGATGAATCATTCCTGTTGCATGTGTTAGGTATTGATTCAGTGAACGACGATTCTTTGATCATTCTCTTACTTACCCTATAGTGTCCCGACCGATAGCTGCTACCTTGACGTGGTGGTCGGGCTTGCATATCACAATGACCCAACGAGCTATGCTGGTGGAACGCTTGTTCCCTCGAGGTCCTACCATACCAGAAAGGTCTGTTGGGTAGTGGTTAGACGAAAAGCAGTTACCGTTATAGTGTAAATTGCTACACTATGATGGGGGTCTGAGGGCGAAGTCGTACTGCTGCTAGCTGGATGGGGTGTGACAGCAGTAAGGTGTTTCCCTTGGATGACCAGCAGTGCCAAGCTGATGCTGCCTTCTCAGTGGAAGGGGGGGTTAGAAAAGGTCGGCCCCAAAAATAACACACTCCACCACGCCCCACGGTCTGCCGGGCCGGCGGTGTTGGTTCACTTGTCGTTTCCTTTCGCTCATCCGGCCCCAAAAATACAAAAATTCAAAATAATCATACTCAAAAGGCTGGGTGTGACAGGCCTCAAGCAGATGTCCGATGGGCTCTGCGGTCACACAAATCTCTTTCAGGTACCTTAAGAAGAAATAGCCTTCCACGGTGTGGGCAGCCGGGAAGTGTCAACCGCCCTCACAACTCTGTCAGCACCCAAGTTTCTTCTGACTGCTATCCTCCTCCTCCATCATTACCTTCTAATCTTCCTTCACGTCTCTTAATTAATGATGCTGCATCATCTTCAATTTCTCCTACCTCTGCAGCCTTCGACAACGATCTGAGTCCACAGAACAGCGTCCCTGGTCTCCTTAAACCACGCTCCAAATTACATATTGGAGCCTTCAATGTCCGCACCCTCCGTCAAATTGGCCAACAGGCTTCGTTGGCAAAGACTCTAGCAACTCGAGGCATGGATGTGTGCTGTGTTTGTGAGACACGCATACAGGACCCAAGTGTGGTTATTCACCTGACCTCTCCTGACCAATCTGGTGAATCTGCAAAATTCACCCTTCGAGTTTCTGGAGATTCGATAGCTAGCTCTCGTGGTCTTGCAGGTGTAGGTATAGCATTAAGCACCAGGGCAGAAAACTCACTACTAGACTGGATCCCAGTTGATAGTCGCCTCTGCGCTATGAGGCTGAACGGCACAGTGAGAACTAAAAGGAATAGTGAGACTCGCCGTTGTCTCTTTGTAATCTCTGCTTACGCACCCACTGACTGTAGTTCGGATGAAGTGAAGGACGAGTTCTACCATAAACTGTCTAACCTCCTCTCGAAAGCCAAACGTTCGGACGTAGTGGTTGTTGCAGGTGACCTCAACGCACAGGTGGGTAGACTGAGTGAGGCAGAAAGGCACTTAGGTGGCACTTTCGGAATCCCAGCTGAACGTACAGATAACGGTGATCGCCTATTACAACTATGCTCAGATAACCGCCTATTTTTAGCCAGCACAAATTTCAGACATAAAGAAAGGCACTGTCTGACCTGGCGTCCACCGAGCTCGACTCAGCGATGGACACAGATAGACCACATTGCTATTAGTCATCGCTGGAGAGGATCGGTGGAAGACTGCCGCTCCTTCTGGAGTACGTGTTTGGACAGCGATCATGCGTTGGTCCGAGCACGTATATGCCTGCGTCTCAATGGACGTAGAAAAAATTTGGCAACAAAACCACTACGAGTTCTGCTGGACAACGAAAACACCAAAGCCGTGTTCAGTGAGAAGTTGGCTAGGCAGTTATCGGAACAAAAGACTGTCACTCATCCAGAAGAAGCTTGGTGCCATCTTCAGTCTACTGTAAAAGCAGCACTGGAGACTGTAGCCGACTCCAAGATAATGGCTAAAAAGAGCCAGTGGATATCAGCAGCTTCTTCCAAACTAATGGATGCACGTGAATGCATCCCTGCAGGCTCTGAGTACAATGAAGAGCGAGCGCAACTTAAAAATAAACTGACGAAAAGTCTGCGCAACGATCGTGAACAGTGGTGGGCAGCAAAGGCTAAAGAGATGGAAAAGGCAGCGGCGATCGGTAACAGTAGACAGTTATTTAGACTTATTAAGGAGACTGGGGGGAAATGGTCAACAACAGTTAGTGAGGTTATAGCGGAGAAGGACGGATCGGCGATTCACTCGCAGGGAAGGCGACTGGGACGATGGGCAGAACACTTTGAGGAACAGTTTAACTGGCCTCCAGCCACCATTGCGCTGCCCGCTATCCAGTCGGACCCTGAATGGGACATAGAGACAGGTCCCCCAACACTAGAAGAAGTTGAGAAAGCGGTAGGTAGCCTGAAACGGGGAAGGGCAGCAGGACCAGACGGACTACCTGCTGAGGTATACAAGAATGGTGGTAGAGTTCTCTTAGTCAGGCTAACGGAAGTGTTAGCCAGTATATGGGAATCAAATACGATCCCCTCCGACTGGTCTAAGTCACTCATCATCCCAGTCTTCAAGAAAGGCGAGAAGTCCTCTTGTGATAACCACAGAGGAATCAGCCTGACAAACATAGTGTCTAAGATCCTAAGTTCTATAATTCTCCGACGCCTGAGTGGAGCTCGGGAACAGCAAGCCCGAGAAAACCAGGCAGGCTTTAGACCTGGCCGTGGATGTATCGACCAAATATTCACACTGCGCCAGGTCCTGGAACATAGGCATGCTTACAGACGCCCGACAATAGCTGTATTTCTCGACCTGAAGGCGGCATTTGACTCCGTTGATCGAGAAGTCTTATGGCAGTGTCTGTCACTGAAAGGCGTGCCTAGTAAGTACATCACCTTATTGAAAGCTCTCTACTCGAACACTTGTGGGCATGTTAGAGCCTATGGTGAGTTGTCCAGGGAGCTATACTCATCAAGTGGTGTCCGTCAAGGATGCCCACTATCCCCATTCTTATTTAATTTTATCATAGATATTCTTATGGAGGTTTCCCTCTCGTCACCTAATTACAAAGACGTTGACCGGATCACAGGTGAATTTTCCTTAGATCTAGAATATGCAGATGACATAGTCCTGTTAGGTGAAGACGCTGACAAGATGCAGAGTCTTCTGAACACTTTGAGTGGGAATTTGAGAATGTTTGGGATGCGATTTTCACCACCCAAATGCAAATTTTTGCTCCAGGACTGGTCTTCAGCGGTACCGCGGTTAACAATAGAGAGTGAAGTGGTTGAGTGTGTTGACCACTTCACTTACCTGGGAAGTAGGATCAACCCGGTGGGTTAGTTGCCGATGAGATTTCTGCACGGATACAAAAGGCTCGATTGGCTTTTGCCAATTTGCGCCACCTATGGCGCCGCCGTGATATTCGTTTGTCTATTAAGGGTCGCGTGTACTGCACAGCAGTCCGCTCTGTTCTACTGTATGGCTGTGAAACATGGCCATTGAAAGTGGAAGACATGAGAAGGTTACAGGTATTTGACCACCGTTGCCTTCGTAGTATAGGACGTATTCCGTGGTGTCACCATGTGAGTAATGCAGAAGTTAGGTGTAGAGTTTTAGGGAGAAGAGGTAAGTCAGTCGACGAGGTTGTGAACCTTCATCGACTGAGATGGTTGGGACACGTACTACGTATGCCTAGTCACCGATTGCCTCGTCACACAATGTTGGCTGAGGTGGGTTCAGGCTGGAAAAAGGCCCGAGGTGGCCAGACTAAAACATGGCACCAATGTATGAAGTCTCTGACTGTTGGTTTAAGCCATGTAGGACGATGCAGACTAGGTGGTTGGGGTCCACGGGACAAGAGGAACCAGTGGTTGGAGACCCTAGGTGATATGGCTCAGAACCGAAGTCAGTGGCGCAGATGTATACACACATTATCCTCATCTTAACAACGCTATACCGAATCTCACTATTTTGTCACTCCTCTTTCCTTTCTTCTCGTACTTTATATTTCTTTTGACTGCATTCACTTATCTTCATCCTTCACCTCACTACCTTTTTACTTGATGTGCTGATATGAGGTGTGGCAACTCGGACCGTTACGCAGTAATGCCTGGTCCTATGTTGATAATGATGATGATGATACCCTATAGTGTAATTATGAGTCAATGGATGCAGAGAGATAACCAAGATTTTCTCTGAATTACTTATTTTAGTCCATCATGCCACGAAAGACTCCACCAAGATGGGATGGGTTAGGATGATAATTCTAAAATCCAATATAGCTTATTGTGAAGAGAAATTTACTACAGAATCTTTGTTCATTGAATCAGCATCATCTGGTTTGAAAGTTGTATGGTTACTTTGTGAGCGAGAAATTCTGCCCGAAAAGTCATCCACTGGATAATGCTGTACCACTGCTATATCAAATAAACGGAAGGCACTTATCCATCTTGTGCACAAGCGTGCAGTAGCCAGTGTGGGCTAGTGACACTTCCTGGCTACCCAAACCCCTGTAGATGGAGCGGGGCTCGAACCCGTGACCCAATGGTTGGCAGTTATCTCTCTAAACCAGCCAGCGGCAGCTTCACCATCTCATAAACAGTCTAATATGAAGGTTAACTGAGTCAGTTCTCATTTTGCTACATCAGGATTTGAGTCAGTCAATGATGCGTCTTACAAGAATTGCCTAGATTGTGCACAAATTTCATACAAATTACTTATTCATTCTTAATCACTGTTATACTCCAGATGCACGTGCTATTTAAAGTCTTTTAATCAGGAAATTAAGTATTCATTCCAAGGGAAATAACGCTATGGTGTTCTGTGCTTGGCGTTAAACGCATGTCGTCAGTAGGTCCAGAGAAGTGGAATTACTTGGACAATTAGTACCTCTTAGTCGGTCACATCGTGGAAACTTATTTCTTCTCAAGATCCTGGGGTTAGTTTTGCGCACCTGTAATAGTCAACCAATGTCTGCTAAAGGCTGGTGGAACATGGAATTTAGGGCGGTTTTGGTTTCTGCAGAATTATATCGATGCCTTACCGCTTCACAATAGAAAGCCGTAGAGCAAGGCAGAATGTTTTTTCTTAGCTCTATCTTCTCTCCTGTGAATGAGAAGACAGCGCAACTGAAATGTTGCTTGCTCGAGCTGAATACCTTACTGCCACCCTAACTATTTTAAGTCGGCAATAAAATTCACCCTCATATTCGCATCACAGTGTAAATTACTTGTAGTATGGTGAGCATCGCTCCAAGTTATATCACCAGCCAAATAAACTTTGATGGGATATAATCATTTCAATCAACATAAGACGTTCGCTTGTTACGAATCGACCCATTGCGTGAAGATAGCAGTTGTCGGTCGGAGTTGCTATTGAGGTCTCTTTCTTTTCATCTCAAACATTTAACCTTTGAAAATGCTGACATAAATACAGATGCATAAATAATTACGTTTACTGTAATAAATATTACTGCAAAGTATAGTCTGTTGCGCCTACTAATCCTTAATCTATGCTAGTTGTTTTTCATTCAGCTTGTTTTACTAATACTAAACAAGCCACACGGTCGAGGAAATCATATATTATTGTTAACTAGTTAAATGCAAAACCATTTTTTGTCTGAATTATTACATGCTATGGTTGTTCTTTCTTTTATAGACTCCTCTGCAAACTTATATCAAGATTTACAAATCGAAGTAAGTTAGACGTACTGCTCAGTGTTTCGTTGTCAAACATCTTAGTGTATACATAGTTTTCCTCTAAGAATTTGGTTTATTAGCATCTGGGGTAATTGTTATACTGGGTAAGATATCTTTTGAGATTTACTACCTTAAGTCTTACCATTGTTACTGAACAGTGACAAACCTGTTTTCAATTTTCTTAAAACATCATTCTCTTAGATTCCTTTCCAAATGGGTTCGTTTATCATGTAATTTACTGATAATTTGGTGACTAATTAGTGAGATTATTTGGGATATAACGGGTTTCACACTGGTGTTGATACTAGGTGATGATTGAACGTCAGATGAAAATCTGACTTAAGGCTGCATTCAAAGCAGCTGTCGTGGAGCTACTGTACCGGCACTCTGCTATGGGATTCTCATGTAGCTTCACTAATAAATACGATGCTCCTCTTCTGCAACTAAGCTAGGCTACCAATGTGATTACAGTGAACGAACATTTACTTACCACGGATTTATATAGCAGCTGAAGAAAGCCCTCAGGGCTTGAAGGAAAATGAAGACCTGATCAGAAGCTGGATATTGTAGCTCATTTGGTTGAACGCCGGATAGATAACCCGAAGGTAATTGTTCGACTCCCACCTCAACCTAGGTCTTCATTCAACTTTCAATCACCGCCCATTATCAATTTGTTAACTGTAGTCAAATATTTCAGGAACCCAGGATTTCCTATATATATGTATATATCTTATAGTATGTAAAGTAATTTATCATGTAAACTTTCAGAGCGAAATATTCTCTGCTCTTTCTTTATTCGATTCAAGTGGGTTCGATAAGAGAACATTTGGGAGGTAAATGGGTTTCTTCGCAATTATTTAGCTATTTTCATACTGACGTATGAGAAGCACTTTCTGAAGAACCACGGTTTTCACTGTTAAGTTTCATGGGAATCGATAAATAAAACGGCTGGAAGTAGATTCAGAAATTTACCTTTCTTGTTGCAAGTAATCAGCTTCTTACTGTATGCCGTGTATTTGCGTCTTCCTGTTTAGTTCTTTCATCCTTGTTGTTTATTTTAATCCTTCCTCTCCCCATTGTTTACTTTTACTGAATGCACTTTTAATAGATGTTATAATTTGAATGGATATACTACTGAGTGGTTTTAGTACGAGTATCAATGGCGTTATAATGAGTATTTAGTGCAATTGAGCCTAGAACGTGTTCGATGTACTGAGCTATGAGCTACTTGTTGTGTAAAAGTTTACGATATACCTAGGTATATGTGATTGCAGTGGAGTTTGACTCAAAGATCCATTGCTTAAAAGTCGAGACTTTAAGCCAATGAGTTACTGCTTCTTTTTAAAAATATTATTTAAGCTTTTCCTTCAAATATGTAGAAAGGGAATTATTACTCTTCCTCCAAGATGATCGAAACATGATAATGTTTTTTAATATCTATGGTCTATGATTTATTCTCAAACAGACTTTCTTTAACACTTAAGAACCTGGCATAGTTTCATATTGGTTTAGCATAATCCACTTTAGATCGAGATGTTAACGTGGAGGTTAACTAGCGGCAAAACAAGAAAGCAGTTGTAAGATGCCATAAAACAAAGAGATAGGAAGGAGGAAGATATATGAAATTATCACTTTGATTATGACAACTTGTAGATGTATCCGTGCCGCTGCTGTTGGTTTCCAGTCATATCAACTAGTCTCCGGTTTTCCCGTGAACTCTAACCCAGGAACTTACATTTACCTATCTGACTAACAGAGAATCGACAAATTAGTGCTATATCGATCACTTTGCTTTTCTTTCAGCTCTTTCTTCTTCCAGGTAATGTTGCACTCATTACTGAAGACGGAGTTATTTGTACTCAACTTACACAGACACATCCACCTAGATCGGTTTATTCCTATGTTTATTTCAGTGGGTCCTACAAATGTGACTGTCAATGTACTACCTTAAATCGGGACTTTGATAATTGCGTTTATACACAGTAGTAATAGATAGCTAACCTTCTGATACTTCCTTTTTGTTTCCTTTTAATTTCATAGGATTTCAAATTGTTCCTGGATTGTACAAAACAGGGTTTACATTTTCTAAATAACTTATTGTCAGCCCGATCAAATCTTCTAAAACATCATTCATCAGCTGGTTCGATGGAAATTGACCAAAGGTTTGTTTCAACAAATAAAAAGCATTTTTAAGGTGGATACGTTTATCTTAAAGTAATTTTTGTTACAGGTCTGTGTTTTAATTAAAGTGGTTAATACCACTTTTCCAATTATGCAACCATCAGTTGTTGGTGATGTTAAACGTTCTGTTTTATACATTATGCCTGTACTCTGAGCATCTTATAAATTGATCACATATTTCTGTTACATTTGGATATCAGTGAAAGAACTGTTAGCAGTTGGAAAGTGAATGCCTATTTTTCTGATTCTAGAATTACCAGAGATTCGTTTGAATTATATGAATCAGCTAACCATTTCAACCAGTGAGCATGATTATGTATCACGATACAGCCTCAAGCTATTTCTTGTGATATATGTCACATTCATTTCAGAGTGTTCAACTAGCTCAAAGAGACCACAGTTCCTCACTAAACCTTGGTTCTTTCACAAATTGAGTCAGTAGTTTGCTTCACTAGTGAATTTCAGGCCAATGTGTTGGGCACTTTTCAGGAGAAATCGCTCTGATAATTGTAGATTTTTGAATATTTGGTAAATATTGAATTATTCTCAATGAATTTAAAATTGTTTTACCAGAAAACAAATGTATTTCCTTTCTGAGACCTAAGAGGTATAACTTACTTGATGGTAGCTAGCAGTGGAATCCAGGACTCACACTTTGTTCTCTTTGGAGGTCGTCAGCTAAACGTACCTGCTGCACCCCAATGGGTCATGGTGTTCCTAATGAGACTTAAACCCAGCGCTTCAAACACCAGATTGTTATTCACAGGGTCACTGAGGCACGCGGTGAGATTTCAGACCGTACAACGGTAGTGTGAAAAACTAAGATTCAAATTATACACCATTTGGTCTATCCTTTCAGGTATAAGTCCGTCGCGTACACCCCAGTCCATTCGCAATATATTTTACATAGAAGTGTGATAGACTATTCAGGACTTGCTTTGGAGAGCAAGCTACTGATGAATTCCATTGGATATTGTGACATTAAATTAAGTCTGAAGAAGTACTTATCATCAACGTTTTAAGGAACGACGTTGTAATATGTGTTTTTTCGCAGTTTTTTTGACGGATATCCACTAGTGTTAGATACATTTTGAATTAGATCTATTATATTTGCTTACCTTTTTGCATGCCTGAAAATGATGGACTTTATTTTTATTTACTTTGTTACTAGTTCTTTGAAAGATAGCTGGGAATTCATATCAATTATTGGATATTATTTATCTAAAATGACCAGTTATGCTGATGAGACGGTCGCATATGAATTGAAAAATGCATCTTACAACTCTGAATGCCATTTCAGCACACTTGATGAAGAGTTATCACGCATAATTTATGCATTCGCTTCATCTCATTATATAACTGGGTGTGCATTAAAGCATTTAGGCTATTCACTGAACACTATGAATCATCTTTCATCAGATTCTGGATTTCCATCCAGTTCGACTGTAACAACAACACCAATCACTACAGTAGTTAACTGGCCATTGTGGTCAGGGTCACATGTCTTCTGTTTACTTTCTGGTCACATGCTTAGCATATTACGTTCTGCTGAGTCGATGATTACCTCAGAAGATTCAATCAAGTCGTTTTGGTTATGCTTCTTGACAAGTGTACAGAAGATGATTGCGTCATCGTATGAATTGTCGGCGGTTAAAAATATTGCAGTCATTGAACACCAACTGATCGATATCCATCCCAATCTGTTACAATTCGCGTGTTTTCTTGCTGGACAAAGTCCTGGGTTAACTGCTAAAAAGCAATTACTGATCTCATTGACTCAAGTATTTAGCGATTTGAATAGAGCTATCTGGAAACAACAAGGGCTGCCTCAACATTCTGAAGCTAATAGCATCAAGATCTTGTTATCAGAAAAACAAGAACAAATTACTCATGCTTCTTATTTGTGGTTACGTCTGATTGTAATCCTGCGGTATATGCTGCACTATTTCTATGTCCCACCTAATTACTTATCACGTCAGTTAAAACCGTGTATGTTTTTAAAATCGAGTCAAAATTATACACAGAAGAAATGTTGCGTAATCTGGGAATATTCGAACATCGCGCAACTGTCATCAAAACTACACCCATACTTTTTACCTTTACCATTGGCGACAACAATAAATTCAACGGATGATTGCAGACCGCCGTTCTTTTATGACTTACTAACTGCTGCAACGAAACAAATCGATCAATCGGTCAATCTGTCTTCTACTAGTAGTGGATCGTCTACCAAAAAACATAGTATGCATTCAAGTCTTCCATCACCCGACGGTTTGGTAAGTTTAAAAACTCAAATCATCAAAAAATGCAGCTTATATATATTTATACATATATTCTTTCACAGTGACAATAAAGAAAGATGAAATATGTTAGTTGGTCGGGAATTCCATGCTTATTGACACTTGTCAGTGAGGTGCATCTGCCACCCCGAGTTAACTGATGTCTTCCATGAGATTCAAATTCATGCCAGTCTAGTGCTTCAGTTTTAGACATTAACCTTGGCTAAGTTTGATATCGGAAATATGTTTACTGTAGCGCTGTGGTGTTTAAAAAAAATGAGAACCGTATTACCACTATTATATTATTTGTCCCTCGGGTTCTTAATGGAACATAGGGCTTCTGTAGCACATCTCCAGTGCACTCTGTTCTCTGAAGTCTTTTGAACCTAGCTCCACGACAGCCCAGAAGCTCTCATTTCCCCCTCGCACGATCTCTTCCATGTCACCCTAACCTTGGACGCCCAACTCATCGCTTCCCATCTGGTTTCCACTCGAGTGACTGGCCTGACGCGTGATGTCCCCAGTCGGCTTTCTCAGTGTATGCCCAATCCAATCCATCTCCACTTCCTTCTGCATATTTGTTCAGTATAGCTTCTTGGTTGGTTCGTTGCCAGCCAGCCAGGGTTCCTTGTTGCTTATTCTTATCATTCTGGCCATCTGAGCTTCAGTATCGAGCCAGCGTAGTCAGTTGTTGATGAATGTCTGCAGTTTGTTGGAAATCCCTTTCGTAACGCGCCAAGTCTCTAAGCCATACAGAAGCACTGACTTGACGTTGGTGTTGAAAATCCGGATCTTGTTCACATTTTAGGCTGAGCGGAGAAGATCTCCACACTGGTTTCAAGCTAATGGACGCCTGTCTTACTGTCTTCCCGATCCTGGCTTTGACGTCCTCGTCTGTGCCTGTGGCGTCTGTAGTTGAAAAAGTGCTGCCCAGATAGGTGAAGGAGGCCACTTCCGTTAAGTTTCTCCCATTGATGGTCATTGGTGTTTGTTGTTGTTGATGCGGTTGTTGGTTGGGTATCCTCACCACCTCTATCTCTGTCTTCTCTACCTTCACCTGAAGGAAGTCCCATCTCCGCTGCCTCTTCTGTCGACTTGTTAGTTTTCGCCTATAGATCTTCAACTTTATGTGACATCAGACACAGGTCATCGGCGAAATCCAAATCTTCTAGGGTCTTTCCATCGGTTCAGCGTATCCGCCTCTTCTCGCTCCTCACTGTTTGTTGCATGATCCAGTCCACTACAATCAGGAATATCATGGGTGATAGTAGGCAACCTTGTTTCACTCCTGTCTTCACTTCAAAGGCATCACTGAACTGAGCTTCTCATTGTCAATTACTTGGCTGGCATGTGGCGTCTTCATGTAGCTGTTGAATGAGGCTGATAAAGGTTTATGGTATTCCGTAGTGTTGGAGCAGTTTCCAAATTACTTGTCGGTCGACGCTGTCGAATGCCTTGTCAAAGTCGATGAGGTTGAGGTAGAGGGTTGACTGCCATTCTATACTCTGTTCTATGATGATGCGTAGAGTAGCGTTGCAATTTGTTCCGCACATGATTTGTACTTCCTGAAGGTAGCCAGCCTGTTCCGGTTGTAGTTTTGAATCCAGTGCATCTTTTGGTCTCTCCAGGATGATGCGGCTTAATATTTTGCTTGCTTTGGGTGGACAGGAGCCTGATTCCGCACCAGTTCTTGCAAACACTGAGGTCACCCTTCTTCGGGAGTTTGACAAGGTAACCCTTCTTCCAATCAATCACCAGGTACCGTCTCTTCCTTCCACACCTTCTGCAATAGTGGTGTATGTCCGCTGTTGTCCCTGCGTCTGTTCTCAGTGCTTCTGGGGGGATCCCATCTGGTCCTGCTGTTTTCCCGCATTTCAGTAGCTTTATGGCGCTCAGGCCTTCCACTTTTCTTGGAGGATTTGTGTTCACTTGTAGTTCTGTTGTTGGGCTGCAAATGGTATTTCTGGACGAAGTGCAGGTGGCGGTGGTGGTCGCTTCAAGAGCTTTTTGAAGTGGTCGGCCCATCGTTTCCTTTGTTTCTCTTCTTTCGTAATTAAATTTCCTTCATTATCTTTTATTGATTCCATCTGTGTTAATCTCTTCCCAGATAGTAACTTGGTTATTTGATACAATGTTGTCAAATCTCTCCTACCAGCAGCCTGTTCTGCTTCACTGGCCAGTGTGTCATGGAAGTGTCTTTTGTCTTTCGGCGCACTCTTCTTCACCTCTTTGTTCAGTGTTTTATACATTGTGCTCAGTTCCTCTTGTCGTTGAGCATCCTTGCACTGGTTTATCTTCAACTTCACTATCTTCCTCTTGTGTATCAGCTTTCATGTGTCCATCAAGATCCATTCCATATCTTCTTTCTTCTTCCTTCCTAATACTGTTGTGCAGGTTTCTTTCCACATCTGTTTCACAGAGTTTCAGTATTCATCCACACAGGTTTCTTCAGGGATGTTGCTCGATATCTCCCATTTTGTCTTGATGGCTGCCGTGAAGATCTCCTTTGTAGTTTCATCCTTCAGTTTCCGAGTGTTGTACTTGAATTGAGGTCTATCACCAGCTTCCTTGAAGGCTTTTAACTTGATTTGGAAGGTTCCTTGCACTAGGTAGTGGTCTGAACCTACATCTGCTCCTCTTCTTGACCTTGTGTTAAGTAGACTGCGTCTCCACTTTCTTGAGATTGAGATAAAGTCTATCTAATATTTAGTGTAGTGTGTCATGGTGTCTGGTGAAATCTATGTGGCTTTGTGGATATCCTTGTGCTTGAACACACTGCCTCACTGCAATCACCAAATCGTTGAATGCACAGAATTCTGCAAACGATTCTCCATTCTCGTTCATCGCTTCATTGAGCGCTTCTCGACCCATGGTTAGTTCTCTTCCTGTGTTGTCTGCTCCCAGTTTGGCATTCATGTCGCCCATTAGAATTTTGATATCGCCAACTGACGTCTTTTCCAGTGTTGATTGAAGTTGTCTGTAGAATTCCTCCTTTTTCTCTTGCTCTGCATTATTTGTAGATGCATAGCGTAGCATTGTATGATTGTGACTTTCCTTCCTTTTGAGTTGCATCCATCTTGGTATCATGATCCTGATCCTGGAGGAGATTGGTTCCCACTGTATGAGAGCCTTCGATGCTGTTGAGGACATCATGATAGCCACTCCCTCAGTGTGCTCGTGGTTGTCATCTGGCTGACAATATCGGAGTAGATTATTGATTCTCCAGTTGACAGTTTGGAGAGTCTACTTCCATTCCATCTGCTTTCACAGATTACTAGCACTTCAATGTGATACCTTCTCATCTCGTTTGCAATCTGGGCTGCCTTGCTGGGTTCAAACACGGTGCGGATATTCCATGTCCCCACGTTTACTTTCGCTTTCATCGAGGGAGAGAAGATGCATCGGCCAATTGGCTTCCTGAAGTCAGGCTTTCACCAACCGGCGTCCTTTCGCCTCTCCGATTCCAGCGAGGAACAATTTTGTTTTTATTTTTTATATTTTGTTTGTGCTTTGAAGTTTGTTTAGCGGTTGGATTGTTTTTCCGGGGTAGGGTTGCTAGCCCTATGTCCAACCTTCACTCTTTACCCGGGCTTAGGACCGGCTAGTAACTAGTGAACTAGGTAACCAGTGTAATTCAGAACAGCATGGATAGAGTTAACAAACATGGACCACATCACTGGAAAGAAATAAAATTATTTCAAATTGATAATCTCTTCAAGGTGTTCAAGACGGTAGAAAGTGAATGGTTCTGCTTCAGTTGGATCGAGTTTGAATCATTTAATCTAGAGTTTCCAACTGCTAGCTCTTAGGATCTTGAATGGTCGTACACTTTTATTTTATTTTTGATGTCATTTTTTGGTCTGATTACATTTAACACTTTCTTGTGGCCTGATTCTTAATAATGCATTCCCTTCAACTTAGTATGGAGTAGTTTCGGGAAAATAAAAGTGAAGTATTTACATAGGCGAGAAAAGGGATATGGGAACATAAAGAAATAGACTTAAGAAATAGTTTTTAAAGTTTCTGACAAGATATTGTATACACCTTTCGTACTGGTATCGCTTCTGAAGCACGAAATATAGTGTTTCCAGTTGCAGAAATATCCTGTTACATGAATATCATTTCAGTAATTTGTTATGCTCCATACTCACGAGATCAAAAGTGGCTACGTGGACTCGTATCCTTTTTTGGTCTCACAAATGAAATCCTTCTTCATATTTACTTCTGCGGCATTGTGGCATATCAAAAGGGAAGGAAACTTATGTATAGCTTACGCTTCTTGGAATATAAACATCGTTTTTATTTTGCTAAGTAAAATTAGATCCTTTGTAAGTATTTATTGGTTCGATATTCTACTACGGGAAAATGTTTTGGCCCATTCAATATACTGAAAGATATGACATCAATTTAAAATCCAGCTAACCTGCTTTAAAGTGCAAAAATTATTTTTTCTGACGTTTTTAAATTTGTGTTTCTGATTGTGAACTATATTCTTCTATTTTACAGGCCATCTCGTCATTAGCTTCACTCGGCAATTATCATGAGATATTCTCCTCTCTGCTTGATCATTTGGATTCCCTTCTTCTTACGGATTCATTTCAACGAACGTCAATAAATATAGATTTTCTACTCACCGAGTGTTGTCAACTACCACTGTGTACTTATGGATTAGCATTGTACTGGCGATTGCTGGAAATTCTTCCACCACCAAGAAAATTTTTAAAAGATTTACATCTTCTAACCAATATGTTGACATCACAGATGGTAACTGACAACCAGAGTGTTCCCAGGATATTTTCTTCACCTTCACATTTTCTTTATTTCATTATCTTGTTGGATAGGATTCAGCAGAATCCTACTCAACCAGATTATCAATTTTCAGGTAAGTACATTAATTTGATTGGAAATTAGGTTTACGTTACGAATATTAACAAGGCAGACACAAATTTACACTCTAGTCACTTGTATTTCATCACTTTCCATTCAGCTAGCATATAGATTGTTGTATAATGAAACAGTGCACCTCAAAGAGGATTAAAGTAATGTGAAGCATCAAGTTCGAATACAAATTTTAAGCGACCGAAAACCAGTGGTTGTATAAAATAGTGACACCATTAATGCTTCCTGCTATATTCTTTCACTTTAGTTAGCATACAGTAATCAGGTTGCAGAGCATGGACGTTTGACTTTCATTCATTGCCAATGAATCGACTCTAATCTTCGTTTTTGTTACCGCAACTATTTCTTGCGCCTTGGTATTGATATGTTGTTAGGAGATATTTTGTTGACAAACACTGATAATCAATGATCAGCTTCTGTTGAAGTTTCGTGTGACATCATTTTATGTGTAAAAGTTCTCTATTTTGTAAACATCTCTTTTCTATGGTTGCATTTTTGAAAGCGGTTTTCATCTAATCGATTTTTCAGGCTTTAGTGATGATGACAACCAAGCAACAGAGTTGAAACCTGATTCACCTGTTGTGTCGTCCACTGCTGCTTCCGCCAATACAACTTCAGCATCCAGCAGTCGATCTTCAACATACTCTTTATTGGATTCCAGAACAAATCTTTTCGTACGTTTGGCCTTTTTAGCATTCAAATTAAGCACATGGTGACAATAATTAAATATCTTAAGACTGCTCGGAGTATGTAATTCCTTTCCTTTTTCGGACTCATTTTTAAGTGAAGACGAATTTTTGTGTGCATACTGAGAGCAAATCCCTATGGCCTTGAAACCTCAGCGTTTTGTGCATCGCAAGTCATGAGTAATATAGGCATGGTACAATATATCTCCTCCTTATATATGGTTACTGTTTTTGGAGATCGCGTTATTTACCATTCAAGCTGTACTGAAAATTGGGAAACAAATTTCTGTATACAATCAAAGATTCGCTGTTAAGTCACCTCCATTTTATTCCTGGATAACTACTTGTTACTGGAATGTTTTATATGTAGAATAAAAGCTTATTTTATAAACAGTACAATCAACTTATATTGTTCCAAGTAAAGGGTCGCATGTTATGTCTGTGTGTGCCTGAACGGAAGTTAAGGATTTTGTAGAGTGCTGTGTCATGTATCCATGATACATTACGCTTATTTACTCGATTCTTTGTTGAGATAAGCAGAAAGCCATTTTTTCTGTCAAGCAAAGTAACCACTCGTTAATTGTTTTGCATCCATTCTTGTGGATGCATGCTTGGAGTATGGATGAAGAAATTCTTGTAATAACAGATTTTGTTCACTGATTGTAGTTCACCGTCAATCGAAGACTACTAAGATAATGTTATATCACTCGACTAAAACTTGTCTGGATGATGAATAGGGTAGGCGAGCATCTAAACCTACTATTCTACTTCAGCACAATAAGTTTTGTTAATTAGTTTTAACCCCCTCCGTCCCCTACCCTTTCATTAATACTAATTAAGAAGAATGATGTATAGTCATTTTAATTATTATTTTATTTTGGTACTTCCTTCATTTTACAGAAAGAACTAAAGCGGTTAGTCCATGCACAATGTTCGAATAAACTCCCATCATCAAACGATAGTGAATCGGAGGAGGCAAAGGCTGCTGCAACTGAAGAATCAATCAATTTATTGTCGTCTTTAATACATCCGACGGCCTTATTTTCATTGTTATTCGAATGTGGTTCTGTCCAAATGAGGTCATACTCGGTAAGTTGTTGCTTTTTGTCTATTGGCTAAAAATGTACATTGAAAAATTGATCAGTAGGTGGTCAATTTGCAATTTATTTTAACAGCTGTTACAACGTAGTTTTTCATTTATCTAACTGTAATATCAACTGGATTTCTATCGGATCACCTAGCCAAGGTGATTTTTAACACAAATTTCGTGAAGATTGAAATATTGTACGTAATGATATGAGTAGCTAAAAATAGGAACAATAACAACAAATTACAACAGTGAAAACACGGGACAACCGTTTCGTTTCTCAAAGATGATCAAGATGATGTTCTTTTTGAAAACGAACTTTTGAAGGTAAATTGTTCAAATCTCTTGAATCTTCTTATATTCGATCGGTTTTCCACTATCATATAACTTACTGAATATTTTAGTGTAATTTACGGATTCACTGGTCTAGGCTCTTGTCTCATACTCGAACTCGCCACACCTAACGAATTTCGGGCAGCTAGGTAGTATACTTGCTCTTCACATAATTAGTGTAACCAGTTGTTTACTGCATGAATTCATATGTGGTTACCAAGTTGGATTTCGAATTTGTTTTAATTTTTAGTTCACTAAGTTTGGCATTCAGTCATTTTTACGTTACCGGATAATTTAAATTATATTTTTCAGATGGTTTTGGATTCTGTTGGGAAAAATGTCAAAGGAATTACTGTTGGTCAATTATCTTACTTATGTAGTTTGCTTCAGTTTTTGAATGTATTAACATCACAATTGTTGGTATTACATGAGTCGAAAGGCACAAAGTCATCAAATACTTCTTCAAAACCCCCTATTGATTCAACAGAATCTGTGAAACGTGCTGGAAAGCACAGAACACGTCATGCAGCTGGGAAAGCACGCACCATTTCAACCACAGAAACCCCTAAGTCATATGTTGGAAGTGCTGGGACAACTACGCTGAAAGAAAAAAAGAGTATCTGTCTGTTGGATGCGGCGGTTTTAGATGAAAGCCCACAGGATACTCTTGTCACCTCGATTAATGAGGAAAATTCTAGCGTTGGCGATGCAAGTTTAACACCTAAACAAGTAAGTCTTGAATCTATAAATGCTATGAAGGTTCATTTGCGGCATCGCTCAATTTGTTTGACATTTATAGTTAGTGGCGTTAATCAGCTGCAACGCAAGCCCAATTATAATACTGTTTAGGTTTCATTTCACTCGTGAGTTCTTTCTTGAAAAAACAAACAGTGAATTATCACAGGTTTTATATCCTTGAGATTTTGTGTCTGTGTATATGAGGCAAACTGCTTTGAGACTACCACATATCTTAAGAATATGCTTTACAATTCCTACTCAGATGTTTGCCTATACGACTGTTGGTTTTCTGCTGTAATAATGTTTAACTTTTTATGTTTTAATTTTGTGATTCCCATTAGTAGGAGGATTAGTTAATTTATGTAAAGTAGTCAGTGGAACTCCGCATTCAGTATGACTGAACGATTCCTTGGATAATCTTCCTTACTGCACTGCTCTTCCTTTCAAACAAAAATGTCATTTCATAGGTTAATATGATGTTTAAAATCTTTATAACTTTACCCAGTGTCACACTAAAATACCTGTATTAGGTCTTCAGAGATGTAATCGTAATTTCTCAAGAATTGGTAGGTTTTCACTACTAAAAACTTTTAAGATATGTCGAAACACCTTTTTCACCTAATCTTTGCTTGTCTGAGATTAAATTTCAATGATGATCAAAGTGTCACATTTAATTGTTATTATCTTCTCATATCACTATGTTTACCTTATTCTTCTTTTTTGTTTTGCAGATATCCACAATGCGTTTACACTCATTAAATACTGGACATACTATGCTAATGACAACTGTACAACTCATGTATAAATTATGTCAGTATGTACGATCAGAACTCGGTTTCCCTAGTTGGCATTATGCGAATTTGAATACTCCAGTGACAATATTGACAGAAAATACTGGATTACTGACACTTTTATGTCCAAATCGTTTATTGGAAAAAAATTATTTACCGTCACCGAATTTATCTTCAAGTATTGTAGCACGTAAACGATTGGCTAATAGTTTGAAATTGTCAAAATTGATCTACAGTGAACAATTTGAGCTGCTAAACGAAATTGCAACCGAAAGCAATTCTAGCAAATGTTCAGCATTGAATCAGGTATATTGAATGTTTACTAATAAGATTGTATTTTTTGCTTTGGTTACACTTTCACAGCACTACTTATTTTGATTGTGTTCCATATGTTGAGCTACATAATCCAATGGTCACCAAATTCTTGTCAGAAAATTCAAATAGTAATATGCAACAACCAGTTTTAAATGCATGAAAGCTTGCCATACACCAGTCACCTTCAACCAAGCGTTGAGTCCTTCAACATTATTGAGCATAGGATAGGGAGGGGAGAATGTGAAGTTAATTATGCAAGACATTTGTAATTGTTTCACAGCAGTCTCTAGTTGGTTACGTTGATATACTTGCCATATAACTTTAAGACCACATAATATTACGACTACTTGCGAGAGATGTCAACATCTGTTATCCTAAGACTTTCGCTCTGTATTTGTGAACTATGTTCCTCTCATGGACTCAGATTTCACATGAGCGTAAACTTGCTAATACGTTCTATTCATTTGAAGTATCTTAGTTATTTAAAAATTGGCTTTAATCACTTGACTACTGTTCCAAACAACAAGTGCGATTTGAAATTTTGTGAAGGAAGAAGAAAAAGTTATACTTTTATCTCTATTTTAAAAATAGCGTAATTTAAAGCAGATGGATAAAATTACGCCACATAAGATAAATAAACTTTTCGGTTATGTGTTATGTGACTTACAGCGTGAATTTGCGCGTAACCTTAGTTATTTAAGTAACTTGTGATGTATGTAAATGTATAGAAGGAGGAAAATAAGCTGAGCCAAATTTAAAGTTGCATTGAGCAATCGGTTTAGATAAACAAACGTAAAATCAACGTAAAACCTCGCACAGAAGCACACCGGTTCAGGCCGCCATACTTCACGGCAACATGCAAAGATTAAGTAGGCGGGGAGGAGGTGATGTTAAAGTAAAAAGGTGTTTGCGAAGATAAGTGATTTGAAAGTCAGGGTTAGTAAAAATGTTCAAGCTTTAGAAGGTGTCAAAGACTAAACAAGTTCACGAAATTGTGACTTATTTTTAGCCATTGATTGCTATTGTCTTGTGAGCCCTGACCAGACAGTCTACGCCTCTCCACACAGATCAAACCAACAGTTAGGGACTTCACAGACGTGCCACATTTTGGTCTGGCCAACTTGACCCTTCTTCCAACTCACTCCAACTTTGGCTACCGGTGCACACCAAGGGAGGCAGCACTTTGGCGTGTGCAACACATATCCCAGCAATTTCCGTCGGTAAAAGTTCACAACTTCATCGACTCATCTGGCTTCCTTGCCTAGTACCTTCCCCATAACCTTGACACTGTTCACACGGTGACTCTACAATACCTCACTAATGCTACGAGGATACATGTAGTCAAAAACCCGTAATCTTTTCATATCTTCTACTTGCAAGTGCCATTTCTCACAGCCATGTAGCAGGAAAGACCAAACTGCAGTACAGTATACTTGTCCTTTAATAGGTAGTCAGATATCTTGCCACTGCAAGAGATGACGCAAAGTTGGTAAATGCCAAACGAGGCTTTCGCACCTAAGTTGAAATTTCGTCAGTTGCTGACTTTCCAAGTGAGTAAATTGACAAACGCATTCTACCACTTCACTTCCTATCTTTAAACTGAGGACAGCTGCAGATCAGTCCTGAAGCATTATCTGATATTTGACATATATTAAACATGTGTTACTTTGAAGCAGTTGAACTGTGCTTCCAAGTGTTCTACCCAACCTTCTAGCTCTGTCCTGAGAGATTAACAGCGTCTCATCCTTTTCGGTGATCGTTTCACTAACCATCGGCTTCTTTCTAGTATCTCTAATAACCCTAGATAGGTGCTGGATACTACCTAATACCGATACCTTCTCCATCGCTTTCGCCGCCCACGACTGCTCATGATGGTTTCGAAGACTTATTGAATTTGGGTTTAAGTTACTTTCGCTATTCATTGTGGTCAGAGCCAGTTGGAATGAGTCTTATCTCATCATCCAATTCGAATAGTTTTGGAAATCTATTGACGTTTGATAACCTTTGGATTCAAGTCACCAACTATCATTTCCGCTGTTTCCTCATCCGACTTAATATCACGCCATGTTTCCTCAGGATGAGCATTGCTATCCTGTTCAGATAGATACTAAGTTATCTTCTCACTAAATGTGTACCTGGTGTTCTCATCTTCCCATCGAGTACACTCAGACTTAACTGCCGCTTGTTTTCTGAGACACGTAAGGTGGAGATACACACATGTCCATAGAAGGGCGTGATCGCAATCCAAACGTGTACTCCAGAAAGAGTGGCAATCCTCTATCGATGACTTATAGCAATATGATCTCTGTGTTCATCATTGGTTTGATGTCGTCAGTTACCATGTGATACGTATTTCTCCTTATACTTAGAGTCAGTGTTGACTAGAAACAAGTGATTACCAAAAAGATATTGCAGAGGATAGTCACTTTGGCATGAGATTCCGTAGATACCTCCAGGATCCTTTTCCTACTTGAGCGTTGAAGTCGCCTGCTGTTATAACTATATCTGAGCGTTTTTCTTTCTCTGGCGAAATAGTTGGCTTGACTTTTGATCGAATTCATCTTTTGCATCATCTGCAATGCAGTCGGTGGGTACGTAAGTCACCCAATAAGTAATACTATGTCACTGTGCCATATCAAATAAACAACGTAATCAGAGTTATACTCGATCACTGCCAAGTTTTTTACTCCTGTCTATTCATAATTTCCACCCACTGTAGGTTGGTTTCAGACCTGGACGAAGACGATCCTGTCAAATTTTCACCTTTTGTCAGTTTATAAAATCTAAACTTACCAGTGGCTGGCACTTGCCATATTTGTTGACCTGAAAGCGGCATTTGACTTAGTTGGCCGTGAGGTGTTATGGCGATGTCTGACTGAAGGTTGTAGGTAGAAAGTATGTAGCACCAACTAAACTCTCTGCTGACATTCACTCAGCTGTGGTGGGGCTTGTGGAGAGTTTTCATGTGAATTAACGAAAGCCAGTAGTGTCCGCTGGGAATGCCCACTGCCACCGTTACTGTTCAACTTCGTCATAGATGTACTGAGGGGCATAACCTTAAATGCCCCTGATATCACAGAGATTGATCTACTTCCTGGAGGTTGACTGAAAGTATGTAGATGATATTGTCCTGCTAGGTAAAAATGCTGACGAAATGCAGGTTTTTTGAATGCAGTGAGCAGAAATCTGAGTATGTTTAGCAAACGTTTCGCACCTATCTCATACAAGATGTTACTCCAGGACTACTCTGCTGGAAATACTCCTAGTTTGATGATAATGTTTGAAGTGGTTGAATGCATCGACCAGTTCACTTACTTAGGTAGTTTCATCTGCCCCAAAGAACTGGTTGCTGACGAAATCGCAGCTTGGATACGGAAGACCCGTTTGACATTTTCCAACTTGCATCGTATCTGACGCTGATTGGAGAGGTACTCGAATATCTATCAGAGGAGGAGTATACTGCGCTGAAGTTCTGTCTAGCCTGTGAGACATGATCGTTGAAAGCAGACCACATGAAAGCGATTACAGGGATTTAATCATAGGTGTCTTCGTAGCATTGCTCACATATGGTAGAATCACCGTGTGAGCTATGCTTGAGGTCAGGTGAAGGGTACTAGGCAAGACAAGTGAGTCAATTGATGAAGTTGTGAACCTCAGTCGACTAAGATGGCTTAGACATTTACTGCGCATACCGATCCACCGTCTCCGACGCACAATCTTAGGGGAAGTTGTATTATTTGGAAGATGGTTTGCAGTGACCAGACCAAGACGTGACACCTGTCGATGAAGTCTCTTACTTTTGGTCCGACCTATGTGTGGAATTGTAGACTTCCTATTTGGGGCCCTCAAAATGATAAGGATCAGTGGTTGCAAACAGTTTCTTTTCTACCCACTTGTTCTTTGTATACTACTGCGAAGTGTGGCAGCTTGAATCGATGTAATTGTGTTAAAGGTTTTACGTTTGTTTTGTTTCTTTGTCTCTGTCACTTCTTGAATGGATTTCGCAGCAGACTTTATTGCCTATGATGTCTTATGAAGAAGTGTCACGATTCTTTCTAGTTCTTACAAGTCATTTAAGTCGGATAGTCTACATACTTTCCTTTACTGGTGTCAAGTCGAGAAGTGAGCTTCCCGCTTGAAAACTTAACGCGACATCCACTTCAGCTTATCCACAATAGCTAGGCACTAAATATGTGGACGCTTGTATACTAAAATGTGCAGATTCGCTGCATTGGTAATGTAAAGTTAAGTGAATAACCTAACCTCGGTCTGGTATTCGTGTATGAGAAACGCTAGAGGTATCCAGGATTTGAGATCCCAGTGTTTTTCACAAAAGACACTTGCTGTCCGTTTCAGCATCAGGTTCAGACCTTGAAATCTTCAATATGAGATTGACAGCGGGGTTTTTGGAGACTGGGAATAGTGTTTCGCTGGATTGCATCGTTTGCAATTGTCGCATTGTTAGAGGTTATGGAAGTTGTAAGAGGCTTAATATTGGTATCATTAAGTAAAGGCGAGTAAGAAGACAAATATGTTGAAGGTAGGTTATATGTGTACGCTGAAAGTATACAGATGGTTGGTACTCTTCGGCTACCCACACCGTTGAAGTTGTTTTTGCCGGATACCTGAAAGAGAAAACATAGGAACCATATGATGTCCACTTGAACCTTGTAGTCTTTGATGTGCTATGTTAACAGGAATCAGAAGTAATATAAAAGTTTCATACTAACAGAACTTATTCGTCGTGTGTTAAATTTGAATTGACTACAGTCATTGATGCCTTAAAACCGAAATGGCTCACTGAAGTTATCAATCTAAAATATCTTGTTCATATTTCATGAACACTGGGAACATCTTAAATAAAGTTTGCATTTTTATGAATAGCAATAATTCGAAATAATCAACATAAAATCTAGTTTCCGAAGTGAACAGGCAATTACTTTCCCATCAGCTGTACATAGCTAACAGTAAGGAAATGATACCTCTTGGAAAAGGTGAATATACTTTTGATGTAAAATATGAATTATTTGTACAGCACAGTCACTTATATGCTAATATAATGCAGTGAAGTGGTATTATGTAATAGCATATTAAGATTGAAGTAGAAAGCCATTAGAAGATAGAGTGATGTGCACCGATGAAAATAAAGCTGCTCATTGGTTAAGTTTTAAAAGTTTGAGCATTTTGGGTCATTTGTTTCTTTAACACATGACAATCAGTTTGAATGAGATATACCATATTAGATTTGTTTATTTGATTTATAACACACAGTGATCTAGTATTATTTACTTGATGACGTTTCAAGCACAAATTATTGCTCATAACCATATCAATGCAATCACACTACTTTCAAATTCTACCACAGTGCCCAAGTTTTACACCCATATTAATAAGTGAGATATACATGAAACTAGATTCGGATACTATCATTCTTAGGTATTTAAATAGGTTCCGCTTACAAGTTTCTTACATTTTCCTGTGTACACTGTCAGCAGTTATCGGTTTCTATAATTTGAAGACATTTTGGTTTATTCACTTATATTTACTCCCTTTTTATTACTTTTTTCTCCTGTGTTTTCAGTTCAATTCAAATCTTTCGCAATGTTTCTATCAAATACTAGCCTATCAATATGAGTTAGCTCTTCGTCGATTGACTATCAAGAAAGAGGGTTCACATGACAGCATAATCAAGTCATTTGATAACAACATACCCTCTGAACCACCATGTGGTCAGTCTGCCCTGGCTATCAATCTATCTAACTATCCAACAAAAACAAAATGTGAAAACGAGACAACATCAACAACTACTGTCGAATATGCTAAACATTTAGCTAAACGTATAAAATTATTTCAAGCATGTTGTCTTTTGAAACGAATGAACGAATTGTGTACCCTATTGGTTAAGCAACTTTTCAACTTACAAGGAAAAACTTATACTTTAAACGACCTAAACAATTATCAATCATTAAACACTGAAAGCTATAATGCTGTACAAATTATTTGTGCAATGCACTATGATCCTATATTGACTGCTTTAAATATTAACTTAATATATGGAGAAGAGAAAAAACTGCCTTCAGTTGCACAGTACTTTGCGTTCATCTATTGTACTTATCGAACATCATCGAAGTCAACAACTGATAGAAGTTCTAATGGCGGTCAAATGAAAACGCTTCTATACTCACGTCAACTAAAAAAGTTATTGAGTCATTCATTAGAAGATAGACTTGTGCACACAGTATCTCATATGGCTAGATGTCTGTCGAATTCAGGTAATTTTCTTTTCCTTCTATTTTGTTGACTAGTTTTTCAGTGTTATTTATTAAACGTGGTCAGAAGGAAATGACTACAATGCGGTTTCACGCACCTTAGTTGCATCTCAATAATTGTTTTGTCCTGCATTCAGACGAACGCAGATCAGTGTTGACTCCAAGTCAGATTTGAAATTCGGTAGACAACCCAATCTCTGGACAAAATATGCAATATTTTTAAAGGTATTGAACCGAGGACATATATTTTGCTTGCTGGCATCCTTCAACAGAACACCTTTAAGAACTATAATAATTTTCATCGTTAGAATTTTATTTTTTGTTCCCCAGCTTCTTAGTTGAAAAATTCATGATTAAGCCACCTGGTATTGTTGGTTGTTTGTCATAGCATACATGATATTCATGTATGTTGAAAGTAACGCTACTCTGTAGCTTAGTAGGCAGTTTAAGCTTTGAACGAAGCTTAAACTTGTGACTCACCTTTTGATTGCCGTGTGTATTGCCGTGTGTATTGCCGTGTCTGTGACATCACATATTACTACTATATTTTCTCAATACCCGAGCTGTGACAGGCATTTCAGACACAGAAGACATAACGCCCTAGTATGTATCTTTGCAAAACTATCCAACCTCTCGGGTAGTCGACTTTTTATCTTCTATGTTTCTTGAAAATTCATGAGTTACCATGATTTCTTGGTGCAAATTCTTTGAGGCTTATTTTTCCCGCATTTACCCCATATTGAACTTGATCATCGGAAAATGGGTGTTGGAGAATATACCATCGCAATTAGTGCTAGTCTGTAATACTGTCTAAGTATTCACCTTCAACATAAAAAAACTTGATGCTTCATTATGTTATTTCATCACACTCAGATCAGACAGTAGACCAGAACATTAAATTGCAAGATTCGAAGGTGACGATATGACTGATACAAGGCCAGCCATAGCCTCAATTTACGGTTATGCATAAAAACATGCAAACCTTTTTATTTACCAGAAGTCAATTATTATAACTTTTTCTTTTATAGGCTCAAGTTCTCTTGAATCTCGTGTTTCTTCATACGTATGCCGTGAAGCTATGGGGTATATGGAGGTTGTATTAGGAAATCATCGTATCCTGAAACAGTTCTTCTCAGATCCCGGTGACAATGTTACAGATGGTAATAACCCTCCAAATACTCCTCCCTATAGCTCAGTTACAGACCTAATAATTCGAAAACCTACCTTCAACAAAGCGTATTTCGTTAACTTTTTCTCATCATCTACCTACAATATTCCAGGAACAAATGCTCACACACTGGACGATATAAAACACCATGATAAAACGCCTTCACTTTTGTATCAAGCTTCAACATTACGTTTATTATGTGTTCTTCTTATGCGTGGTAAGTTGATACCAGTGAAAATTTTCACATTTGTGCTGTGTTTCAGTAATAATGCTACTCGATAGCATCCATCTCCTGGGAACGTTTTTCGTTATCATTTGTTGTCATTCATCTCTGACGAGTCCGGAACAGGACGAAACATGCCTACTGAATTCTACTGCTAGGTACCACCAAATAAACTTTGCATACTCTTATCATAGATTAGTGTTTCGTAATGATATTGATCGTAAGAAAAAAAGGTGAATTACACAAGCGGATGCCAGTTATTGTTCAGAATCAGCTTCGCAAATGGAAATAAGCTTTCTGTTAAAGCAACTTTCCGAAAAAACCAAATCATAGCATCGTGTATTTTTATCCCCTTTGTATCTTTGCCGTTCCTCTTGGTGACCTCTACTTCAACGTACAGTAAGCACTTGTTATAGGTTCTACATTGTTTACTTTTGTTTCTTTGACTTCACACATGATAATCTAACCTAGCAAATTGGTATTTAATTTGAATCTTGGTGGATAGTGACCCATTTATCAGCCCGCATAGGTTATAGACTTGTTATTCTGTTTTACCTTTTCTGAGTTTACACGAAGTAGTCATATGTGCAAGTATATCGTCTTGGATGAACTGATACTTCACAGTTTATTGCATTTCAGGATTGCTAATCCACTTTTGTGATTGGTTAGATATCGTTTGTTTCAAGATTTTATTCTAAGTCACTTTTTTTTGGATCGGCAGTGAATATTCTGTGGTGCCAGTGATATTTCTAGACGTTTGAGTGTCTGTTTTAGTTGTATTCTAAGTTGACTGAGACAGTGTTAGCCATCAAAATCAAGATCAGCTATTGAAGTGTTAACTTAATCAATACGAGGTCCTACTGGGCTATTATCCTGACTTTATTATTATTGTTATCATTGTTATATAATGGACTGGGATTAACCCCGTTAATTAATTGATCTTACGGTTTAGTCTTATTATCTTCGGCATATATTTCTGACCATCAGTAATGTTAATTGTGTGTTTTTATTTTGCATTTCACTATCCTCATTTTAGCTATCAATGCGTCCGCAAGAAATCGTTGCAGTTTCGGTGAACTTGTTCAATTAGCACTTGACTCTTGCATGTTTAAATCATGGAAACCAGGGAAAGATGGAAACGAGAACACACTGTCTGCTTATTGGTTGGATAATTTCCTTCCAGATATTGCGTCATTGGACCAGACTAGTGATAATGAATTATGGTTCACAGATTTGTTGAACAATCATAACGGTTTGTTATCAGATAATGAAGAGCTCATAGAAACTGAAGAGGATATGTTGACGAATCTATTTGACAGTGGTTTAGAGACTGTTAATGATCAGCATAATGATGGAAATCATGTTAGTGTTAATTTTTACCATGCCGATGGAATGTTACTGAGAACGTATTCAGAATTGATTAGTGAGTGGAAGCATAAAAGATCCCTGTTTAGGGTTGTTTTCTATTTTGAACGTTTCACACGGCTTTTAGCATCGAATTGGACAGATGTTGCTAGTTTACGAGAGAAAGTAAGTTAGTTTTCCTGTCTTTTTGTGGTAATTGTTGACGATAATTGACTGTAATCATGTTCTCATTTTCGTTTATCGCTAAAATTTGTAAAAATATGAAAAATATATCATGATTTTTAAAAAATACAGACAATAAGAATAAACATAGTTAGCGTTCCTCAATGAATCAGCTTTCTGCCTCGTTAGCCCTAAACTTATTTGTTAATATAGGAGTACTTGGCCACTGGGCTAGATTTTGATCCCACTTTAGTCTGTTTATTAGTACTGTCACACATTGAAACACTATAATCTACTAGATAATATTGTTTATATTCATATCAGGTAAATTTCACAACCTTGAGAAGTGAATAGCATAGTTCTAATCCTCTCCCCTTCTTTGTTTTAAGGGTAGTAGAATTTTCTATGTATCTGGGACAGGTACAGAGTCACTTTTATTGCGTATATTTGTTTGGTGATCTGATAAACAAATATTCGGTTGTTAATCTCTCGCTCCACTAAGTTAAGTACTTTAAACAATCCTTGATCTAATTAGGCAAACTTATTTAGGTTATCAAATCCCCTCCAGTAATTGCAAGGTCGAATACATGAGTCTAAGTAGTCGACCAGGTTCAGTTAGAAAAACAGCACAAAACTGCTAAATCAAAACTTTTAGTTCCTTATACGATATGAAGAAGGAATGCTCGGTTATAGCTATGCGTGCAATTGCACATAATAGAGTGGGACAGAGCGGCAGTATTAAAAACTAACCTCGTTCGTTGGAGGAAGAGATTGAAAACCGAATCTTTGTTTATCGAATCACCAAACAAATATACGCAATAAAAGTGACTCTGTACCTGTCCCAGATACATAGAAAATTCTACTACCCTTAAAACAAAGAAGGGGAGAGGATTAGAACTATGCTATTCACTTCTCAAGGTTGTGGAATTTACCTGATTTAAATATAGACAATAAGTCACGCCCGAAAAGTTATCCACTAAATGATAGTGTTTCACAGCGTGACAATTGTAATAAAAGTGCTAAAATGAAATTATTTGTTGTTAAAGCCGAAACTTGACACTAGATTAAATGTCCGAGCATCATTCACCGGACACTCTTGCATAACAGCATATACTGGTCTATATGTTTATTTGAAACAAGAATATTGATAGAGATTAGGACTTACCTAGTTTTCCCGACTTTCTTTATTCTTGTGGATATTGTGTAGTTATGTGTTCCACAATTTCGAATAACCAAATTAATTTCCTTATGATAATCTTGAACGAATATCATCGCTCAGGGGAAGAGCAGTCAATAATTCGAGTCGTTGCAATTCCAGAACTTCGTTTGATGAAAGTTTTCTCCACATGCATAAGAAAGCGTATGTGATAAAATTGTTATGGTAAGCGAAAAGATTACCCAGATCTTCATAAGAAGCCCTAAATTCCTGAGGTTTTTCATAACCCATCGTGTTGTTTCAAAGTTCTGAGAAAAAGGCTTGTATACCTACTTTTAAATATCAGATTGGTTGAAAAGTCAAAGCCTATAGGATATGCCTAGCTAGAAAGGCCTAGAAATAGTCAAAGCCACCGTTGTATCCCGTTTATATTTTGATGTTACAATGCACCTGTTATCGTACTGCCTCTTCTATTCACCGAGGGACTGAGCGACAATCAATGATGGAATCTGGTTATTGTTCAAGTGTTCATTCTCATATATATAGTCAGGATTTATCAAAGATTATCATTAACCCGAATCAATCAGTAGTGGGTAATCGATGTAGCTTCCTAGGCCTTAGTGTTTACGACTGATTTCGGTATGTTGATGCAATCAAGCAATCCTACCACTAAGCTAAATAATGTGGGACTGAAATGGACTATATTTCGAAGTCAGATATTGGTAGTTAATCAAGCCCTGGACCTAAGTTTTGTCTCTATAGGCACTCGTTAGTAATACGTATCTACAAGCATGAATAAACAGGTTTTCCCTTGGTGAATTCATCCGTGACACAGTTTCGAATCACTGAGAAAACACTAGTTTCACCGTGCTCGCAGATACGCCTTCTCGATGAGTCTCGACAAGTGCGAAGCCTACCTGTATCTCAGTATTTTTTGCAGATCTACTCTCAATACTTAAAATCATTGATAACCATTTGATGGTGGTTTTCGTGAGATATTAGACGTGATTACACTTTGTTACGCTATTCTCACATACTTTAACTAAGGAGGTAGTCTAAAAAATGCAAGGTTGGTAGACAGTAGTGACAATTAATAAGGTGCATAGTGGTAATATACGTGAAAGTTTAACTGGCTACCATTATTGTTATTATCTATTATTATTATCTACTTGGATGGTTTTTTGTATGAACTGTGATTATTCATTTTCTTCAAGGTAAGGTGTTTTATATGGGTTTTGGATCGAGAGGTAATCAATCCAGAAATAATCATGTAGACTGTTGAAGGAATCTATTAAACTCTATTATTGTTCATTCATTACATTCATAGTAGACATTCGTGCATGTATTAAATTTTTATAGTATCGTTTAAGAGTTACTTTTACTCGACATGAATTTTTTGTAAAGAACCTTGACATTTTCACTGATTCAGGAATACACACACATCTTTGTTATTGAGACCGGTGGTATTTAGTTTGTAAATCCTGATTAACAGATTCCAGTATGGTGGTTGAGCAATAGTCACTTGTTTGTTCCAAGACAAGTTTTTCCAAATTTCTTTCTCAAAAACTTCGGCACTGGTTATAAATAAGGTGTTTTGAATTATGATGAGACGTAATTTCAGTTCTCATTTTTCTATGATTCTGAATAAAGTTATTATCATAATCTTCATTATTGCCATTCATCTATAATCTTTTTAATTTCTTAAAATAGTATTGTAATCAGTTGTTGAGCTCCGCAATAAATGTTTGGCGTCCTCGTTTGTCTGTGCCGGGCAGTATTTCTGTGAGTTCGCAGCCTTCATCATCTTCGTCCACTCCTTCTATAGAACAGTCTACAATATCTGGACAATATGACTTGACATTTTTACCCTATGCAATTACATCGCTACATTGTCTATCGTTTGGTTTTAGCGCTGGTTTAGTGCATACGAAATTATTTAGCTTTTTCACACATTGTGCTGATATCTGCTATGAATTTATTTTGGAGGATGAAAAGAATAAGAAAGACAAGAAATTAGTTCATGGCAATGAGACAGATCTGTTGATATCAATGAATTTGCGGCACCATAAGCAGGTAAACTCAGTAAATTGGTTTATGAGTAACTTGTCGATTTAGAAAAAATGATACTTGTTGTGCACCCATTTGTAGCTGAATTATAACCAGAATACGTCTGACCCTTCTATTAGTCAGCATCAGGATAGAACCTGGTATTACTGGATAGTGGTCCAAGTTTCCACACCTCATATCAGCTCATCAAAGCAAGGAAAAATGATGAAACGTAAAAACAAGGAAGAAAATAACCAATAATAAGGAGATTCGGTGTGGCGATTATAATAAAAATAGTCTGTGAATAAGTCTGTACTACTGAAATCGATTCTGAGCCATATTATATAGTGTCTAGTCAATTTCGGTTATCACGCCGACTTCGATCTAGGAGTCTGGATTCCCCTGTATGGTAAAACTCCAGTCGGAAACTGTTATCATGTTTTAGTTTTACCGCCTCTAGCACTTTTCCAACCTGAACCTACTCCAGCCACATTGTATCCGGCTCAGACGGTAACTAGATATAAGAAACACATCCTAGCCGTCTGAGTCGATGAAAGTTCAGAACTTAATCGGTTGACTTTCTGTGTCTGGCTAACACTCATTTGTCTTCTAATCTCATTTGAATACGTCGTATAACACTCCTTGTCTTGATACGTTTGTGCTGATGGTGCTCGATAACGGAGTCGGGAAAACTTATCCTTTTTTCGGTTTATATACTCATCACTTATTGCCTGTACCTTTGTTCTCACCAAAATTCTATTCCAGTGCTCACTGCTTCATGCATTGCAGCATTATTTTCCAGACGACTTGACTGTTATCTGCTAGGTGTAAGCTCAAAAGAGATTACTTCTACCTAGGGTTATAGGCTCTTCTTATAATTCCCCCACTAAGTTGAAGTCAAAGTTTAAAGTCCTCAACTGATACCCCCACACATTTTATGAACGTTTTGTACCATCTGAAAAGACATAACAATGAAGAGCTTTCTGCAAAGTGGATCATTTATCATTGCAACACTGGTAAACAACTTAGAAAAAAAATCAATGAAAATCGAAAAGTAGATTAGGAAGATGTAACAGGACAGAAGATAAATAAATGGCTTGATAAGATGATCAGAATTTTGTAGATGGGCCTCTGTGATCCATTCCTAATCACCTCTACGAAACTCTCCAACCACTGATCCTTAGGTTTTCAAGGATTGCAACCAGACGTCTTACGCTTTCCAGCTATATCTAAAACCAACACTGACATTCCATGGATTGATGTCATGTTTTGGTGTACACTTTTGTATTTTCTGATATGGTCTTGACCCAACGTATAACGTTGCGGCAAGTTATTACGTGAGAAATTTCCCTGTGATTCAGGTTAACAACTTTCTCAGTTAACTGGGCTTTTTAACTGAGAAGTTTACGCGTGATCCAATATCTAATGAATTAATTTTAACCTTTAGTCTACTTAATTTGGTTACTGTTTAGAACTGTCGCATAATATTGACTTGTATTTTAAGCTTAATTCTTATGGATTTACAATCTTCCTTGTTTTGTTTCCGATTCCGGCTTCACACCTTGTTATGTATAATGAGAACCACTATATTCTGTTTAATTATGTTTCAGCAGACGAATTCATATGAGTAGTTGTGAACCATTAAAATTGAATAACATTGAATTTTATTGACAACATAGCAGTGATGATGGTTTTGTCGGTAGAAGTTCAAGCTAATCACCTAAACGCCTTCTAAGACATACATAGTTCCATTGAACCTATATCACTGTCTATCCAACTGATGATCACAGTAATACCATTTATTATTTGAACAATTTTCAGCTTACATAGTTAACTTCATTCTTCCTCAAGGGTGAATAATGTTATCGACTAACCATACAAATCAACCATATGTGATAGCATATTGTTTTCAGATATCCTTATTGGTGTATTATCTGTTTCATGAACCATTATATTATTAAAAAGCGGATTTTACTGTCGCATTTTTTCTTCACTGTACAATAGATAAAAATTTTCTCGTTATACGATTGCGTTTATTTTTCTTCAATTGAAAATTATTACTTTTAGGCTTCGTTGATTCAAAGTTTAGAGTCAATCTACTTTTATGTGTCTGCACTTATGGTTGCATTGAATCCATCCAGCAAGATGAAATTGTCTGATAGTGATTCATTAACAGCTATGATGAATTCTCCAAGTGTTCGTCTAGATTATTGGCCAAATTTCTTTCATACACAGCCTGGTCTACTGAATATTCTTATGGATCATGGATTAAATTATTCTGGTAACAATGATAATGTGTCTGGTTCATCGTTGACTGATAATTTGCTTTCTAAAACACAAATATTCTCTCATCTATTGAGTTCGCACTACTCACATGACTGTAAATCAACATTTCGAAAGGTGAGGTGTTTTAACATATTTTTTCTCTTTTTCTCCTTATTCTGGTGCTAAGTTTGAAATTGTCAATGCTCATTTTAGATTTTTGTGTTAGATTTCTCATTCCAAGTCTGTTGCTACACTTTGAGATTGGTGACGGATGTTTGGCGCCAGCGTCAGTCATTATCATCACAACTTGTCACTCTTTTGGTAGTAAAATATGATATTGTTTTATGTGTGTCAGAAAACATAGTTACTAATAACGGAAAGGTTGTTACTGATTCTCAAAGCGGGAACTCTTCTAATCCTACCGAAGTAACTTCATGTATAATCCACCTGAGATGGTGTCTACATTTGTATTTCGCTTTGGTAGTCTGTTACGCAAATGTTGGTAGTACTTTAGTCGGTGAATTTATAGACTGTAAAAAGGCATTAATTTTAACTGCAATCCATTTGAGTTTAGTGTGTTATTCATTTGAGAAGCAAGTCAGTGATTGCTGATTAGGATCCTGCATATAAACAGTTTCTGTTCAGAAACTTTGTGTACCTGCAACTGTAAGGTCATGGGAACAATCAGGAAAGTTTTTTCTACTTGTTTAGTTTTAGCTCATATCATGCTAGTTGACATCTTGAAGTGTTTTTGGAAGAAAGCAAGTTAGTCGCAAGGGATTTCTTCCTAAAGTTGGTCACATATAAAACTTCTACAAGTTCTTAATTTCATAAAATCACATTTATTCCTTAATAAAGACACTATGCCGCTTTTAAGGGAAAACCGTAGACCAAATCAGAATGTGTAGTTTGCAGGTACAACTTTCTTCCGGCTTCACTTCTGTCCTATCCGTGTTGAACCTTCATAACACTGCTGAAATGCCTACTGTTTCTCATTTGCACTGGTCATGCATCCCAGTTGTGAGGGCGCGTGAGTGGTTGGTGGTGATGTGCACATATCAGGTAAATACCACAGTTAATTCAGTCGATTATGGGTTTATATTCTTTTGAACTTGAATCGTAAGCTGTGTCTGAAATACCTATGGATCAACGTTTTACACACCATACTTCGTACTTTATATTTCTTTTGACTGCATTCACTTATCTTCATCCTTCACCTCACTACCTTTTTACTTGATGTGCTGATATGAGGTGTGGCAACTCGGACCGTTACGCAGTAATGCCTGGTTCTATGTTGACAGTGATGATGATGATTTACACACCATTTAGGTAGTTATAATTGAAACCCCGTTGAACAACATTTCGCTTGGTAAGTGCATAAATATTTGATAGTTATCTTATCACTGTTCTCGTATAAATTAGATGTTAATTTCTCTAGTTTGCATAAAGCTTAGGTTAAGTATGATGAAGTAAAAAGCGAAAGGTCTTCGGAAATCATATTAGTATATTGGTTCCCGATTTCGCATACTTTTCAACACTATAGGTAGAGGAAGGGGTAGACAAAGTGGATTGTTCGTTGATGGGATAATTAAACCGGAAATTATAGATTATCTAATATTTGAAGGGAGATAAAATGATTGCGCTTACAGTTTCTGATCTCCTTTGAAGTGGGTACATGGTGCTTCTGGACACATTCCTAATTGCCTACAGCCCCAACCAGCTGACTGACAGTGTTTCACGCAAAATCATGATAACAGCAAATGAGTGACTTTAAAGGCCACCCTAGCAACGATTGAAGCAGCCAATTAGGTTTCTTCATCTCGGTTGGAAGGGTAGGTTTTAATAAAAAGAGCAGTCTCATTGGTTGTTTCAGTTGTTGTTAGGGTGGCCTTTAAAGCCATTACTGTAAATAGGTGTCTCATTGTGATCTCATAATACTTAAGGTTTCACCATCTAACCATAAACTCTTACTAACGGAAATCAAACTTGGTAGTAGCTAACGACTACAATATATGTACTGACTGCCTCAACCCGTATAACTTCACAATCGCATCATCCAGCTTGTCTGTCGTACCGAAAATCAGTTGTCTGACTTCACTTCTACTTGCTCACTTCCCTTGAACAGGTAAAAGGTAACAGTTTTAATAACTGATTAGGCCGAAGGTGTTTTACAGCATTTTATAAACTGTTATTTGTTTGAGTCATCAGGACATAAGTTATCAACGTATGCAACAAAAAGTGCATGTTGCAAAGAGTTAAATATAAATGTGTTTTCATTTTACCTAGGGAAAGGATCTTTACATGTAGGTAAAAGGATATAATGTTACTCAATTTTTCATTGAAATATCTCACTTATTGAAATTCTTTAGTGCCTATTAGAGTATGATCCTAGGGTCTAAACGTGTTAATTCACACTTTATGATGTGTTTGAATTACATAGAAAATAATGAAAAGAATAGAAATTTGAATTGTAAGTTAGTGATTATTCACTAAGCGTACTTGTCATAAGCTGGATCACAAATTCAACCCAGAGACTTCAAAAGTGATTTAAACTTTTATAACTTCCTTTCTTTTATATTTTATTCCGTAGAAATGGAATGAGTTTGCTATTTGGAATACAGCATCTTGTACACGATTGGTGAACAGTTTAAGCCAGTCAGATGAATCTTCAGAACCAAACCCTTTTAATCAGTTGATTTTAAATGTTGACCATCAGTCTGACACAGATAAAAGTGATGACTATGACGACTGCGTAGAAGATGATATTTACTGTTCATTTCCTGGGCCGTTAATAAACGATTCAACGTGTTCTTTTGTTGCAACTCAGAAAATGTTCATTGATCAACATTGGTATCATTGTTTTACATGTAGTCTACACGAATCTCATGGTGTTTGTTCTGTATGTGCTAAAGTATGTCATGCGGGACATGATTTGAGTTATGCTAAATATAGTGGATTCTTTTGTGATTGTGGTGCTGGTCAACATGGTGATTCATTTTGTCAGGCGATAACACCTAGAATTTTATTGCCTAAAGATGCATTTATTGACAATTGTGTACAACAGAATGATAATCTATTTTTGCAGTACATAAACAAGAATGACTTGAATAATTATTTACCATGGTTAACAGGTAAATTAATCATTAAAATGAGCAAAATGTCTCCATATACATCATGCAATTTTTGTTTTTCATTTTAAAAGTACCTTTTTAATTTTTGGGGACCTGTTCCGTTTTGAAATAACGTCAGTTGTAAATAGGATTGATAAGCGAAAAAATAGAAAACAACTGCTTCATTCTACCTTCTGCCATTAGTATATACTATCGATATCCTTTATTATGAAGATCATATGTTTTAGGCTTTTTCGCTATTTCATAATTGTGTTGAGATTTCTAGGTTCAGAATTTTTCAATTTTGGTTAATTAATGGTTGTTCAACCAATATCAGTTCATAGTGAGATATGATTAGTTGGTTTTGTCACCTAATGTTTATTCAATTGGTCATGAGTCTGAAAAGCCAATTCATCAATCAAGATTTACGTAACTGACGGTTTCAGATCTTTTCGAACCAGTCATCATTGACAGCCTTCCTACAAAGGTTGTTACATCAAATTACAATCAAGGTGTATTACAGATTTTCTAATGTTTTTAGATTTTAGGCGCTAATTTGATTTTCCTGTTCAGTAACTTGTAGCATCATTTAATTGTGATAGGCGGGCAGAATTCACACTGTTGAATAGTCAGTGACGAAAATAAATTAACTTGCCAGTAAATACTCTTCTGATATCAGTTCATATGAGTGTTCCTTTAACTATTTGGACCGAAAAATCTATTCATTCAACTTTCATTGTATATTTATCGACTAAACCATTAGTCGGGAAATTCTGTAAGGTATAGATTTTCTGACGTCTTATTTTTGTTTTGTCACGCTACTTAGAAATGAAATTAAACATATTGTTATCAACTCATGATATTCATTAGCATCAATTCGTAGTACATGCACTATTTCTTTACAGTAACTAATGTATGGTATATCATCACTCTTAAAATAAAGATTTGCACAGAATTTGGTATACACCTCATTTTTCAATTTAAAATGTTAAATTGCTCGATGTAAAGTGAATTGATTTTTAAATGTTTCACTGTCTGTGTGTTTTATTATTCACATTAGAACTGTAGTCAGTTAACTTATGGTTCAGTGACATTTTTTATGAAGTCTCATCTAAGCTTTTCATATTTCTGAATTCAATTCAACTTATACTTGAAGATTGAAGAACATTAGATAAACTCTAGAAAAATCAAAATTTCAGTTGCTTTTGGAACTCAATCTTATGAAATGATTTACATCTCTGAATAGTAACTCTGGATCTGGGGCTCATTAGTTGACTTTGAATCAGTAGGTCACTGTTTCGAAACCAACTCTATGTACCGAGGTGTGGACATTTTGATAGTATCACTAAGACCCACGCAATAGGTGTGACTTATCGCCTACTGCATGAACGTGCATATGATTGGTGAGTTTATTTCGAATAATAACTCTGGGACAAGCCTTTGAATTGTTAGGATTGTTGGCCTTCTTGTCTAAAAATACTCTTCGAGTCACGTCACTTCAACAACTATCTTTTCCAATCAAATTCTCCTAGAATATGCACAACGTTCATCTTGTCATTTTGATTCAAGGCTAATTTTTTAAAAGCAAATTGAACACTAGTAAACAATTGACCAATGCACTCTTTTATTTGCTAAAGGAATCCTCCCATCACTTTAAGTCTTATTGATTATCTCGATATGCCTTTATGTTTCTCTCATGCAAATTCAATTCTACTTATTCCTAACAATATTTATTCTTGCTGTTATTAATTCAGGTGGTTCGAACCCTGCTCCACCTACCGAGGTTTGAGCAGCCAGGTAGTATCACTAGCTCTTACACAATAGGTGTAACTGACTGCCTACTGGATGGATGTGCACGGAGTGGCTGAGTGCGTTTCGTTTCAATAACACCTACTTGTAGTAATTGAGGTGTGGCAACTCGGACCGTTACGCAGTAATGCCTGGTCCTATGTTGATAATGATGATGATGACTTGTAGTAATTCGTTTTATAATATTCATATCTGACTTAAGCACTGAGTTATCCATGTTCCAGCCACTGAGAAAATATCCGTTACCTCATAGTTGCAGATACACCTTATTTATGTGTGCCAACAGGCCTGAAATCTAGGTTAACCACTTCTTAGTGTTTGACTACTAACATCAATATTCACTTGTCACACCTGGTCTTAAATTATCTAACCAGGAGAAAACTTCATGACTGTTTGTGTATAGTCGCCCCTATTTTTTTGAAGTTTATTACAGATATATGGTTTTCAAGTCTCTTATGTTTATTGAAGCTTTTCTATAATAGTGCCATATCATTATAGCTACAGAGACTTATTTTTATTTGTCATTCTCACACCTACGAAGCAGAAAGCTTGATAATTAGGCTAAAGGTCTAAATGCTTCTGTTGACGATGAGGTTACATTTTCCAACTATGAAAACTATAAATACGTATACACTATCGTAGCCTCACAAGAACCCTGTTAACAAGTTTCTGTATTTTATGCAGGATACTTCTGTCTTTCAGTTTAACCTGAATGGTGCACCAGCATGTTACTGAGATAATTTATAAACAGAAAGCATGGATTGATAAAACTGTCTTTGTTTCATATTATGCTTGGATTGCTTTCAAAAAACAATTTAAACAAAATTTTTCCTTTTAATGTTTTTGTTACCTCAGATGGATATCATTCATTCATTTTGCCTTCGGGTTCTTCAACAGAATTGTATTACCCACCCAACCGTTCATCTACTACTTCTGTGGTTGTTGATGATCATCGGTGTCCTATGAATTATTCAAATGGATTATCAATAATGGACAAACAAGAATCTCACCTAATTTCCTTAGGTTCTAAACCAGTCAAGCGACGTCGTAAAGGATCTTCAACCTTTACTGAAACACAGAATGAAAAAACAGGTTCGAGTTACAGTTTTATTTATGTATTCCTAAAATTGTCATTAGTTATTTCATTTTCATCTCTCCACTAGTATTTATAGGACAGAAGGTCTGGAAGGAAGGAAAGATACCTGCAGATTGGAAGAAGGGCTACCTTGTCAAACTCCCGAAGAAGGGCGACCTGAGTCTTCGCAAAAACTGCTCCTGTTCAGCCAAAGCAAGCAAAATATTAGGCCGCATCATTCTGGAGCGACTAAAGGATGCGCTGGATTCAAAACTATGACCGGAACAAGCTGGCGGGATTCAGGAAGTACAAATCATGTGCGGAACAAGTTGCAACGCTAAGCTACGAATAATCATAGAACAGAAAAGAGCATAGAATGGCAGTCAACCCTCTACCTCAACTTCATCGACTTTGACAAGGCATTCGACAGCGTCGACCGAGAAGTAATTTGGCAGCTGCTGCTTCAACACTACGGAATACCACAAATCTTTATCAACCTCATTCAACAACTATATGAAGACGCCACATGCCACGTAATTGACAATGAGAAGCTCAGTTCAGTGATGACTTTGAAGTGAAGACAGGAGTGAAACAAGGTTGCCTACTATCACCCATGATATTCCTGATTGTAGTGGACTGGATCATGCAGCAGACAACAGTGAGGAGCGAGGAGAGGGGGGATACGCTGGACCGATGGAAAGACCCTAGAAGATTTGGATTTCGCCGATGACTTGTGTCTAGTGTGACACAAAGTTGAAGATCTACAAGGGAAAACTAACAAGTCGACAGAAGAGGCAGCGGAGATGGGACTTCCTTCAGGTGAAGGTAGAGAAGACAGAGATAGAGGTGGTGAGGATACCCAACCAACAACAACAACAACAAGCTCCAATGACCATCAATGGGAGAAACTTAACGGAAGTGGCCTCCTTCACCTATCTGGGCAGCACTTTTTCAACTACAGACGCCACAGGCACAGACGAGGACGTCAAAGCCAGGATGGGAAAGCAAGACAGGCGTTCATTAACCTGAAACCAGTGTGCAGATCCTCTGCACTCAGCATGTGGAACAAGATCCGGATTTTCAACACCAACGTCAAGTCAGTGCTTCTATGTGATGGTCACGAAAGGGATTTCCAACAAACTGCAGACATTCATCAACAACTGACTACGCTGGCTCGATACTGAAGCTCAGGTGGCCAGAATAATAAGAATAAGCAATAAGGAACCCTGGCTGGCTGGCAACGAACCAACCAAGAAGCTATACTGAACAAATATGCAGAAGGAAGTGGAGATGGATTGGATTGGGCATACACTGAGCAGACCATTCAGGGACATCATACGCCAGGCATTCGAGTGAAACTCGGATAGGAAACGGCGAGTTGGGCGTTCGAGGAGAGGGTGACATGGAGGAGATGCTGTGAGGAAGAAATGAGAGCTCCTGGGTAGTTGTGGAACTAGGTTCAAACGATTGTAGGTAACAGAGTGGAATGGAGACGTGCTACTGAAGCCTTATGTTCCACTAGGAACCCAAGGGAAAAGTAATAATAATAATAATAATAATAATAATAATAATAATAATAATATTCCTGTTCGTTGATTTCGAATTGACCATGTTTTCAATTACTTAATGATGTAAGATTTCAGATAACACTTGTTTGAAGTAGGCGCACATAGTTTGCTATTGATGTTTTCACTTTTTTGTCAAATAGTTTCCTGTTGTTAGTTTGGTAGTTTTCAAACATGTATCATTTATCAGTTATTGTGTTAAAAGTTTACTAACTAATGAGCTGATATCTTTAAAAGGAGTTAGGGGAGCGTAGATTAGATTATGTTAAGAAACGAAAACCAACACCACTTCTGAACTCACAGAATCTTCATTGGAATCCTCTTTTCATCTGTTTGACTGGTGTTGCGCACAGTTAAATGTTTTTACTAAAAAAAATATCTATGCACTATCAATCTAGTCTTAATTTGTAGTGAACGAACTCTGTTTCGCTTTATTTTTTTTCTCTGTCTACACTTTCAAGTATACCTAGGAACGTGTTTTTAAAAGAAAGGTGTAAGACTTCCTAGTTACAACCTGCAGATTTTCTCAGCAGATTGAATTATTATTTTAAGAAATTAGTTTGCTTATTTTATTCCAGGTGCGTTATAGTACATACGCATGTAATTTATTTGAATTTCATGCCTGTTTAGCAGTTCCTATTCTAATTATCTCAGCGTAAATCAACAGAGTAATAAATATAAAAAAAATTGTTGGTGTTTTCTGTATTTTATAACCGGGTAGAAATAAGTCTACTGTATAAGTCACTGCATTTGAAACGTCTCTGTTTGTGTTTTATCACATGGAAATGATGTTGTCGTTCAGTGAAGAAAATACTTCATGCAAAACAGTTCCAACAATTTCACTAGTCCTCAGGAAATAGTTGACTAATCCCTCATTATCTGCTTCGATTTGCTTGTTGCTTAAACCCCTGCAGTTTAATCATCTGACTTGTAAAAATGTTTGCACTTATTGCAAATAAATAATGCTACAGTACCACTTTATTGCTAAGATTAGATTTCGTCTTTCGTTTGAAATTTTACAGGATTGATAATTATACGATAAATTTATAAACTGTTTAATATACAATCTTATTTTATAGCTACATTTGACACTTCACTTACCTTTATTTAGTTTCCCGTCAACGTTCGTTTTCGAGTGTCAGTAGTTCCGGAATTAATCCTCCTGCCTCGTTGGATACTGCATTGAATACAAATGCAAATCAGTCAACAAATCAAATGAATTTACTTCCAGCATGGCGTGAATTACCTTCTGTTAGTAATACTGATTCATTTCCTCGCTCACCATTAAATCAACAACAAACTTCATCCGTCAGCAATCGTTCCAGCAATCTTAGGCGAGCTGGTGCAGTTCGAATGCGTAAAATCTCTTCAGATACTCATTTAGTTTCGGGAATATTGAAAACTCTACAAGTGAATGAACAACAACCTAGATTATCTGATATTCAAATTCACCAACCGAATCACCAAGATAATTTGCCTACCAATCAGTACGGTGCAGAAATGCCTTGCAATTCAAATGTTGTTAAACCAAATTCCCTGTCATCATCTCTTCTTGGTGTTGATCGACAAGATAGTAAACGAATACAAAATTTGATTTACTTTCTTAATCTACTTGATACTCACAATTGTTATACAACAACGACGACTACTAAACGAAAACGTAAATACTCTAAACGCTGTAATCCTTGTGATACTGTTCTACCAAAAGTAGATCCAAATCGATTTTATTGTGCTCAAGTAGTACCTAATGAAAGGAAGTTAGTTGAATACATGCGTAGTCAAGTAAGTATACCGCTACCTCCCTGATTATGATGTTTGCTCATGAAAGTTATTCCACACCATTTGATAACTTGACATTATTTATTCAGATCATGCCTATTAGTTCAGAGTCTCGTGTTAACAAAGTTTAGCATTTATACTGTTTGATGATTGGACGTGAAATGGAAATTGAAACCACAGCCGAACTCGAACCAGCGACCACTGGGTTTCTGGCCCGATACTCTACCAACTGAGCTACGAGGTCCGACTTCTGGCCAGATTTTTATTTCATTTTAATCACCATGGACTTTACCCTACTACCATGTGAATTCGTGGTGGGTTACTAATACTTGATCATTGGCTGCCTACTCAGGACTTCTCATCCCGATCCAAATCTAATTGAATTAGAGAGGGGGAGCATCATATTAATTATCATTTTGATGCGGTAGTAACGCGTCACGAATTCACATGGTAGTCGGGCAAAACCCATGGTGATTGGAGCGAAATTAAAATCTGGTCATCTGTCGGACGTCGTAGATCGGTTGGTAGAGTATCGGGCCGGAAACCTGATTGTCGCTGGTTCGAGTTCGGCCACGATCTGAATTTCCATTTCAGATTCAATCATCGCTCGGTATAAATACTGGTCTGTCGAACCACAGCTATCTCAGATCGTCAAAAGTTTAGAATTGTCGAATTCAATATTGATTAGGATTTTGAGTATATATTCCCAAGCAAGATTAAAAAAGGAAATTATTTTCCCCAAACTCACTTTTTTCCTAAAGGGTTTGCTGACTACTGTTAATATGCTAGGGTAGTTAACTCGTAAATGCGAAGTTGAAACGTAAGGAACATGACATATTCAGCTACCTTGTACACATTAATGGAGTAGGCGATGAGCCACACCTGTTGTGTGAGGGTTAGTGACACCACCTCTCTGCTTAAACCTCAGTAGGTAGAGTGGGACCTGAACCAACAGCCCAATGGTTGGTAGTCATCTTCCTAAACCACTGAGCCATAGCTCCTCTGCGAAGGTGAATATTTAAGATAAGTACATATAGTGGTGAAGCAAACCCATCAAACCCAGTGAGAAATATTTCCAGGAAATTTAGTGTGAAAATAAGTGTAAATAAGTTTTAGGTGCATTATGGCTGTTGTGGATTTTAGTATACTTTCCGAATCTATGTAATAAGTAGTTTTGTAACCAACCTCTCATCAGCAGACTGACAAATGTACTAAATAAAGTTTTTCGCAGAGAAATAGTGAAACTAAATAAAGTGCACCAGTAATCTATGCATTCATTGGGATTATTACACCTTTTTTTATATCTTTTCCTGCTGTTCACTTCAAATATGGTTTGTTTTCAGAGTGAAGTACTGAGCATTAGAAAACTAAATTTTTGGTGTTGTTCCCACTTCAACCTTTTGTGCTTGTGTATTTTTTGTAGATGTGGTTCATAGGTTTAAGTACTCAATCTTCAACCAGTGGCTAGTATTTTCAAACTTATGTCCATTTAATTCGACCTACGCAAGCCACGTATTAAGTGTGGCTCTTGACCTAGTATATGTAGTGTAAAAAGTCCATTTCATCATTTCCCCTTTTACCAACCTGGTCCATTCACAATTTTATCATTCATCCTTAATTTCTAAGATATCTGTATTTCATTATTGAGACTCCTGAATTATTTCACTATACGTTGATAACATTTAAGAAAATGTTCCCTGGTTCATGGTATAGTTTCGCAACATACCAGGAAAAGTAAACTCAACAGATATGGACTTATATTAGAATAATTTGAAAGTTGTTGTCGGATAATCTAAAAAACAAATACATGAAATTCTCCAGCTTCAACTTGAAACCTTGTGTTACCGCATTACAGTCCAAGTTACAACGCTTCTTATGAATCTACGAAGATACCGTACGACGGAATGAAAATAGCGTGAAAACAGACGAGATTCAACAAATAATGAGATATCATACAACAGTTGTAATGAAGATAAGACATAGATTCACCTGTTTCACTAAAATAGACTATGAATCATATTACCTAAAGTATCGAACCATTGGTCGCAAGTGTTTCTTAGACTACTTCTACCTCTACATTGGCTCAGACCAACAACTATATACTTGTTGTATTCATACAACGTTCCAATCTGGCTACTAATGGTATTTTCCTAACCTAATTCTATTTCAGCTAACATCCTATGTCAAGTTAGACGATGACTAGGCAGGTGCAACATATGTCCAGGCCACCTGAGTCGATGAAGGCTGACAACCTCATCAATCTCTAGAAACACATTATAAGAAGTAAAACAGACCATCTATAAAGTTAATTAAAAATAAAAAGAGTGAACATCATTGATAGGTATGACTTGAAGTTGAAAACTCATTCAAGCTTCTGACGTAAATATGTCCGTTCGAGCGAATAGCCTTCAATAGTGTCGCGTGCTTACTCAACTTTCAAGCAATGGAAGTGTCAGGTTGGAACTTCGCTCCACCTACCTCGGCTCCTAATATTTTACGCAACAGGTGTGGCTCATAACCTGCCAAACAAACATATCTCAGGCTGTTACATATTTTATTATTTTATAGTCAACAATTCTGGGCCGTGGTCCTTAAATGTATCTGGTGATAGTCTGTCTAAGTCCACTCGTCCTTCTCACTTCAGGTCGTCCACAACCTTCTTCTTTTCTACACAGTTTGTTCGTCCATTTAATTTGCTACCTGATGTCATTCTACCATAAAGCAGGTATGGACCAATTTAAATATCCCTTAAAGTGTTTCAGTCATTTCCTTTGAGAAAGAATCATGAACCTATCTCTCGCGAATATATTCATAAGTTATCAACTATCAACCATTGTCTATCGACAGTGCCTTCTGCGTATCTTCAGTCTTCACTGCTCATTGTCACTTCTTAGACTCCGTCAATTTACACATTAGCTGCTTCTGCTCGTTATTTTGCTTGAAACTTGTGAAGGTGCATTAATGGGCATCCATTAATTCATTTTACAGTCGTTTGCTGTTTTCAACGCTGTTTTAACAGCAGATTGGAGATAACACAAGATTTATTCGTAGTGAGTATTATCGTCTTGTACTGACAACCGTCTAGTCGTTTGCGCTTTAAAAGTAACCGTAGTTCAGCTTGAACAGGTTCGCTAGTTTTATATCCAATATCCATCTAGATGCAGATGTATGCATGCTCATCTGATTTTTTAGTTGAAAGTCAAGAAATAGTTGATTCAACTAACGTATTTATTTGAGAAATATGATGGACACACCTGACTACCAAGTCAAGTCAACAACTATGGACTGACAAAAAGTGAGTGAATGGATAATATTTAAATCAATGTTTCTTAAGTCTTCTGGGACCCGAGTTAGTTATATAGTGTTTCCGTATGTGGCTCAGATCAACAAGCTAGCGTTTAGTGCTGATCGTTCTCAGTATTGTTTCCACCTGACATTACTCCAGCTTGCACTCCACGTTGGCTTGGTTAGTGGTTGAAAAGATGTAATTTATTTCCTAATCCCTCTGTGGCACGAGTTTACGATGTAATCGACTAATGTACCGTCCTTGATAACTATAAATGTGAGCAATACAAGAAGACAATTATAATAAGTAACTAATTCATTTTGCGCACTTTCAGCGTTCGTATTTGACATCACTCGTGGGATATAGGACAAACTGTGCATTACATCCATTTCCTCATGTACATTCAAATATTTCACTTTTATCCTGATGAAAATTGGTCAGTATTAAACAAACCTTTAATATCCATGCAAAGATTTCACTAACCAGTGATTTATCGGTGACAATGAAACTTTTTGACGATGAAGTTATCAACAGGCTGTTACTGCAATGGTACAGAACCTCATAATGTATACCTCATTTGTTTATTATGATCGTGTTACCTGATAGGCACTTCTCTTTTCCTGTCACAGATTAATTCTGACGAAACTGGTTCATGTCGTTCGAAACTGATGATGATGTTGTGCACAAGCGATGTTGTTTCACAAGCAGCAGAAATTTTAATGGGATCCACTGAACCGGGAGCTAAAAGTAAGTTATTAGTAACAATGACTGCAAGTAAGATTTTCTAGTAGTTATTAAAAGTTTTTTTGGGAATCCTGAAAACTCTTAGAACTTATCTGCGTACCAGTGTCATTGAACAATGAGGTTGATGCTTTAATGAACTACAAAAGTATCAGAGGATAATAGGTGAACGTATAACTACGAGAACGATTTCTGTGAGGTGAAATTTATATGTATGTATGCTACCTTCATATACATAAAAGGATGCCAGGGAACGGACTAAATAGCCTATTCTCTTTGATCCACTGAAAATCAACCCACTCGTTAAAGTTATCTAGATTACACAAATGCGTAGATCAGAAATTGAAGCTTAAATACCTCTACTTCCAGTGGACAATAGGTCAAAATTTTGATTTCTTTTTCGACTACCTCCTATCACTTTGCTCTTTTCTACCTTTAAACAAGGCTTACTCAGTCATCTCATGGACTGTTCAACTGGTAATGGTGTAAAATTCAGAGAGAATTCTCGTCTTGATCAATTAAAACGAATGCTGTCAAGTGAGCGAGATAGTAATCCAGTTATTCGAATGTGTTCAAATATTGCGGTAAGTAAGCACTATTCTTTCTCTTGTATTTGTACAGGGCTCTACTCATTTATTTGGGGCTCCCTTGTTTATCTTTAGTACTTGTAATAGTGACCCTTTGACTGTTCTTTTTCCCCAACAGCCTAATCTCTGTTTTTAATGTGTATAACCTTTACTGTTTACACATGTTCAGATCTAGAACAATCAGTTTTTCATAGATTTATGACAAGAGAATGTTGTGAATAAATGATCATGCTACTGTCTGAGACTATCTTTTTTCGTCATCGCTGGTGGGTAGTATCACGTCAGTATTTTATTTTTCCCATTTCTCAAGTTGCATATAAGGGAAGGTAAGTTAGCTTACAAGAGAATGCATTGTATTCCTACAACTACGTCGAATGATGACCGAAACCCTTACATTTCTACACATTAGCTGCTTTCTGCATGTCATCTGATTGCTTACATTATTTCAAGGATGCTTTCGTTTCGAAATAGTGTGCCAAAGTGAATATTCTCTCCATTGACTTATTCTGAACCTGACACTTTTAGAATTAGGATTAAAGTTACACTTAATCTGGAATCCCTTTCCCAATTAGTCAAACACTAGATAACTAATTATTATGGCTTCAGATTTGAATTTTGATCATGATGCTAATTCATTCAGCAACATTTTTATAGGTGAAGCTGTACTTGGGTTTTGGTTTCGATTTTCACCTTACTGCATCGTAGGCAACTAGATACTTTCACGAACCGTCACACTATGAATTGGCTCGTAGTCTAGTACTTAAAACTTTAACAGGTTAAATAACGTTAAACGTTCATTTGTTGTGGAAACTGGTGCTGGAATTTATTCGATGTGTTACGCTTTGAGAATTTCTATTTCACTTGTTCCATCTCTTATTTATTCGTGTTTTTTTCCTACTAAACAGTTGCCAGTTCCATCTATGCCAGCACAAAGTAGGTCATTGTGGCGCACTATCTTCCTTGCTGGTCATCAACTATTTCGTTCTACATCCCCTATTTCTGCTTACGACTTGAGTAAATATTTGATACCTCAATCACCTTCTGGTTATCCGTTAACGATTTGTAATGATGCGGATTACAATGTTGGTTCAAAAACGATTCAGTCAGTTCCAAATATTCGTCATACACCTACGTCCAGTGATCATTTGTCGTCAACTGTGTCTTCAGGGAGACTTGTAATCCATTCGCTGACTGACAATTTATCTGGTGGGATTTCATCTTTTTCCCCCTCTTCACTGTCAACAACACCTATTAATGCTATAGTATCTTTACCAGCATTATCCATGTCTACTGCAGGTAATGCTTCACGTGGAACATCAGCATCATCTAACCCTGTTTTACTCATTCAAGCATTAGCTAGTATTCTTGCTAGTCATGAAGGTTCAAGTAGCGGGGAAAATTTGTTTATGTCACCGCTCACTGGTGGAGGTACATCTGAGTCACCTGATATAAATGCAACTGCAATATCTTTTCTACCATCTAGTACAGCATTGTCCCTAAGAGAACTGTTTGGATCCCGCATATCGAACGCTGTATCATCCTCTGCTACTCCTGTTCTGACCAAACCTAATTCATCTGTTCCTGGAACTTCTGTATCCAGTGGAGTTGTTTCTTGTATTCTGCGTGTACCAAGCCCAGCACGATCAACATGTTCTTATTTCCTGGTAGTAGCAAGTACCGGGCCCCGTTCAATTGTTTCCGGCTCAAGTTCAGGGTCAGTTACTACAACACCTGGTACAGCAGATAACCTAAAGGGTCCACGGTCACCATTCGGTCAACGGGGCTTAATGACAATATATAATTTGGATAAGTTTTTGATACAGATCGCAGAAAAACAAGATAGAGGTTTAGAAGAAGTTGCCAAATTAAAAGCTATCACTGCCTTACTCCATTCAAGGCGTTTTGAATCGCAAGTTGAATCTAACGATGAAAACAAAGGTTTGTGTCCTAGTTTTTCTTCTTATTTACGCTCTATGCAATAAGAGATTTTCCCCTCATTCTTTTTTTATCTCACTATATCCAATCTACAGCTTTATCAATCCTGTTCATCGTGAAAATGTTGGAAAAATTGTTGATGACACCTCATAGAATTATTGTCGGTCGAAAGATTTTCATATTTAGTTGTTGGAAACATTTTTGCAGATATTAATCATATTCGATGAATGAGTCAATAACAATGAACTAAAAGTTATATCTAAATGTATATGTTCATCTTTTTATTTTTTTCTTCTAGGAGCTCCTAATGACTATTATCACGCACCCATAATCGTAAATTTTTAATGATTGAGCTAATAGATACCATTTTCATCTTTTCTTACCGAGTTTCGTAATTTTTGGTTCGTATTGGTTTTCATATCTAATATCCGTTGCGTGAAAACACTGGACTGCTAGGCTTAGAAGACTGAAGTTTTATACTAATTCTCCCATAGACAATCATACTGACCACTACCATTGCGAGGATATGTACGAACAATACTGTCATGTCCACAAAAATACTTATATTTCATTAGATATGTAATATATTTGTACAAAACTCAGCGTGTTTGAATGGAACCGAATTCATTGCTTCACTCTGAAATCTGCTTTTATCTACCTCAAGGAACTAATCGAAATGACAATCGCATAGAAATAGGGTCAAAATGGTCTACTTTTTCTTGCAGTCTTTTTCGGGTCATAGATATTTTAAATACTAGTGCTCTAAAGGCCACCCTTACAACTGCTAAGATAGCCAGTCAGTTTCCATGCCCTATGAGAAAAATTACATTTTAAGCCCTAAGTAGGGGGTCTTGATTGTTTATCTCAGTGATTGCCAGGGTGACAATCAGAGTTACTCATCCTTTATAGTGAATATATATATATATATATATATATATATATATATATATATATACATATATATATATATATATATATATATATAAGTTGCAACTTTGTTCACAGTCAATGTGTGAAGAGTATATAGAATAAGACAATTACTGAGAAACACGTTTCATCTCCATATGCGTTTTTAAATTGAAAATGAACCAGTACTTCCAGTTCTAGGTTTCAGTGCATGTATGATAAACCAAGATACATAACAATGATGGAAAGACACATTGATTCGATTAGTTACACGCTGTTTATTTAGATGATGGTTATCCAAGTAGTAAAGATGCGACTAGAAAATGAAACATTACTTTTAATTCTCCCCTTTGCGGAGTATTATCAGAGGGTTGCGAAGGCGTTGTTAACTGCACTTTAAGTCTCTTATTCAAGCAATTCGAATTTATTAATGTATAAGTAAAATCCAGTCAGTTAGTCTTTCTTTGTATGACACGAAACCTTATTGTAGAAGTTTGCTATCATTGGGAATAATTTTGCCCTATTTCTATTGAATTTAGCACAGTCACTGACCTGTTTCATAATCTCTGAATGTTGGCTTAGGTTTTTCGAGTTTACTTCATATGCTTTCAACGTTTCTTAATCCTCGCACCACGTGTTTGGAGGTACCTCTTATAAATACTTCATCCCAATCAAGTAACCTTGTTTCATAGGCACATACGATTAATGGCCACCTTTAAAATAGTCATAATCTAGGCAAAGTTGAGAAAGAGGATCAGATACACAGTTTTAACCCTGTTCATATTGATATCTGTTATTATAATTGTGATTGGTTCCAGGAAGTAACCTGGGCAAATTATTGAACTTATTTGCATTACCCTTCATTTTCAGATTGTTTATTTTCTTATACAATTTTGTTTAATTTGATGTCACTTTTTCTATCTGTTTGTTCTTTATATACTACTATGAAGCGTGGTAACTTGAGCCGTTGTACCTGTGTGCTGAATTCTACGTTGATTTTGTCAGTCAATTAGTCTTATTCAACTTCAAATACTAATTTTTATACAAATATAACGTATATATCTTTACCTTATTGCTCGGTATTTTTAAAACTGTCAGGTCGAATATTAACCAGTCTATTTAAACTTGTGTTTCAGATTACTACCGAAATTTTACACTCGTCTTTTGCATACTGGCATTACTTTCGTTCATTATTCTTACGTGTAGACGAATATAATTTGTTTGAAATGCATAAAAAAGGAAGAATATTTCGATACTAAATTTCATATAGGCTTTCCACACTTGTTCACCAGATCACTTAGTAGTTATACAACCACAAAATTAAAATTATTTTTTGTAGTCTCGTTTAACACTTGGAAATTAACAATTCCTATCCAGGGACAGGTAATCCAATGTAAAAGAAGTCTTGAAACTACTGTTCCACAACTCTATGAAATAGTTAGGTGATTTTCATCTGACCACCATGAATCAGTTATGTCGTTAATGGAAGATGTCAATGTTAACTTCTCACCGTAAAAAGTTGACCTTGTTGAACCAATAATCGATCTGCTGTGATATGTGAGTAATCATTCACCTGATTCTCATAAAGTGAATTAGTCATAAAAGTCTTCAGTTATTGTATACTAGCAAGCCTAAAATAAGATATCCAAGCCAGTTAACTATTACAAGTTCACGTACTAGACTGAGGGATGTATTCATTGGATGTGTGCATGCGGAGGTTATATGATACAAACTGACTTTTTTTGACCCCGAGCCAGTTAGTGTAAGATTTGAACATGAAAGCGATCAAACTGTGTATCCGATATGTCAATCAACTAACCATTCCTTCAGAAATTTTGTAACCCTCATAATGTCTTTACTGTCTGCTCAATCAACCAATCTGTGAAACCCGAATGTTTACTAATGTCATCTCAGATCAAAGCCAAAAGAAAACTCTGTTAACAACCATATCCAGGTCCATACATTAGGCAATCAGTCACACTTATTGTGTGAAGCGTAATAGATGAAACCTGGCTCCCTGAACCTCCAGCAGTGGAGTGGAGTTCAAACCTATTATTATGACTCATCGGCCTATAGCAAAGAATCACAGCTCATATCACTTAAATAACATTAAGGCTTTTTTACTATATCTTTTTCGTGACATTTCTTCGTAGTTCTTTAAATCTCTAATTTACCTCTATTTTATAGACAGTCAAAAATCACTTCTACATCAGCCAGAAAAATCGACATCTATCAAACGGAATTAGCTAATTCATTAGATTCTATGGTACATGAAGTGAATCAGAACTTGAAACAACTTTCTATCAGTCTTGATGAATTACCTAAATCTAGCACTGCAACTGCTGGTATTTTCATCTCAAATATGTCTGTTAATCTATACTGCCCATCTACTTTTGTCGTATGTGGTCTATGGGTAAGTAAGCGTACTGTTCAGATGGAAAGTATAAAAGTATATTTTTAACACACATACGACATTAACTAAGGAAATAGATTTTGTCAAAGTTTTCAATTTGTGGTACACACATATAATTTGTTGATTGGTCGATGTATTGCATGCTAATGAAATATTGTCACTGAATACGAACTGTATGTCTGCACATTTCAAAATTATTCTACCCGTTAGAAGTAGGAAGATACTTCGAATACCCCACATAAATGACTGTGTATTCAATCACATTAGTTTGTAAACGGAAGGTTCTAGAGGTACTATTAAGAGACACTGATGACAAATTGAGGTACTAGTTGTCAGTTCTTCGACATGACTTCATATGTTGAGAATGTTGACACCGGAAGAAGTTACTAACTCTAACTATTTCTAAGCTCTTGCACGTCAAACAAACAAAAAGGGGTCACATAGTTGAAGCTTTTATATCACGGTTGGTTACTTCACGCAATTCAAGGGTTGTTAATTCTGTTGCAAATTATCCTGTTACTTCAGAATGTTTGTAGCTAATTTCTTCCATTGCTAATATATTTACAAACTGTTCGTATGATAGTTCTGTGATTCTAAATATCTACTGCTTCATTGCTAATGATTTTCGGCAGCTTTTAGCTTTGTCAGTAGTGAAATTTAGAAAGAATGAAGATTATTATTTTTTAAATGTCGCACATTTAAATTCCTTAGTTCGAATTAGTTACTGTATAGTAACTATATTTACTAGTTTAGCTACTATGGTTAATTTGCAGTATTTTCACAGGAAATAATGATTTCCAATGCTCATAGGTTAGTTCTTTAAGCTTATTTTCTCTTTGCATTATAGGAGTGTGTTGTTATGAGTCTGTCGTCTGTAGGTCAGATTTGTGGGCGTATTTCAGTGACACCGGTAGTGGGGACAAGAAGAGAACAGATTATCAAAGCCTTTTGGTTGCCTAATTCCATCAAGCTGTTGGCTGTTCTAACTGATCAATCAGTCCAAGTAAGGAACTAGGTTATATTCTTTTTAGTGTCCTACTTCTGTTCTCATTTCTAACTTTTATTTTGTCAAAAAATAATGCAACTAAAATGCGTATTTTCTTGTACTTTTCCGCGAAAATCCACGTGGATAGATTAAAACAACCTCAAAGCAGAGACTGATACAATACGCTCTGATAGGGGTACTCCATTGTTTTCTGAGGTTCAGTCTTTGACTAGGAAAGTTTCATTATCTGGTTTTTATTATTTTTTCAGCACTTTTTCATGAAGTTAGTGTTGTTATCAAACTTGATGATGTAGCTTTCATGAACAAATAGCAAAAGACAATAAATACTTCACTATTGTTTGCCTCATCCTTAGCTAAAAATCGTTTCTATCAGCTCTATGATGAACTTACTTTACTGATTTATAATTGATGCATATAAATTCCGTGCTGAGTAAGAACGAACCTATATAATGAGGCGAAGCACTTGAAAAACCTGTTAGAGGATGGGCATAAATAAATGTATCTGATATACAGTTATAAAATGTGTCGTTAGGAGCATTTTTTTTGGGTGGTATCTTTGTTGGCTTTCTTCTGGTAAAATAAGCATTTTATTGGGGAAAAAACCCTTTAAAATGTCTCATATAGAACTATTAGCATCACTTATGTTGTGTGGAAAACAAACACTACCGAGTATAGTTCAGTTTCAGAAACAAAATAATTATTTCGTTTACAAAAGTACAAGTAATCTACAACTCATCTGAGTTCCACAGAATATGACTATGCATCTTGTATCGAATCAGCCTCATACCAGCGACACTATTTAGCTGACCTAGCTCTTGTGTGGTGTTATTTTACATGAGCTGTTTGTAGATATTCTTGTTGGTTTTACAACCACTGTTTTACAATGGTATGACTGTGTTTTTCACTATATGCTTAGTTTAATTTAAATTGGATTTTTCAGCCGTATCTATAGGAAATCACAATGAAACTACACAGCAATAAAGCTTTCTGTAACTTTGAATCAAAAGTCTTCTTCATAACCTCAGCTTCCTTAATTGTATACCCTGTTCAACCGAATGTAAAGTTACGCTATTTGTTATCCTTACAAACATGTTTCAAATTTCTCTCCAGAAATACGAACTTAAAACGATCGATGGATACTTCGACAAATAAACCAGACCCTCCAGTGGTGCATGAGATTAAAAACAGCATTTGTCTGAATTACTGTTTTGTGAATACAAGCAACAATAACACCAACTACTGACCTCATATCATTAAGTTTCTTCAGGATTAATCATATCAAAGCACCATCAACATACTTTATGAGAAATGCGTCAACAATATGAACAGCAAATCTTTGTCAAAAACAAGCCACCTTGGAAACTTTTAGAAGAGTGCAGATTCGTAGTGTAAGATAAAATACATAAAATCTAGGGAAGATAAAGCACCTGAAAATCGATTGAAGAGTATAGAATTAAATCATAAAGTGAGAAACCTACCAATATCCTAGTATTTTTAAAAAGGATGAACAGAACTCGATTACATGCATTCTTGACAACGAAGCGATATTATTATCGGCAAATTAAACTATATTACTCAGGTAGTATAAGACCGAATGCGCAAAACGATGCGAAAGTCAAAATAGATCATTAACATGAATTAGGGAGTGAATTAATACATCAATTATTAGTTGTTTTTATGCATGAAGACTAATTTATTTTCTTAATGCACTCCTTCTCATTTCAGATATTCGATGTATTTGACAGTCCAAATAAGCCTAAATATCATTTTAAACCAGTTGATGGAAGCTTTTGTGATGCTACTTTTATTCGTTTACCACAATCTACACTATATCCAACTCAAGAACAACACGATAATAATTTTGAAAATTTGATAAGTGATAATCCTTTTGAGTGGGATATTCACCTTTTAGTTATGGCTAATATGGGATCTATTTTACATCAGGTTGGTTGTACTGCTTTGTTTTATTGTAATCCTTATGACTTTGACTACATTACATACGTAAATAGCTACTAGTTTTTATGTTAATCGTTTTCTGCAGTGGTTTCCACAGGAGTTTATATGTATATTGCTGAAGTTTGCTCCGATATTTAGCCGATAGAACACTAAGAAGTTTCTCACAACAATGAAATTTGTCGAAATAAGCAAGATAACCAGGAAATGAACGGTTTAGCAAAGGAGATCCTTTTCAACGAAAGTATTTTCAAAAGCTGTACAATCGTATAGATAAATTTGTTAGTGTTGAGCCAAACATCGAAATGTCTAGGTTTCTATTGTCAATCTTTAGAAGACCACAACCACAGCAAGCAAATAAGAACAATCTAAAAACATAAAGGTGTCATATTTAGGAGTTATGAATAGGACAGAAATAATCATTAACTTTGCTTAGTATATAGAACTGTGGATGATTAGGTTACACCTTATGGAAGAAAATTATAGACAGACTTGTTCTGTATTCTGCGCCCATTTCATTTCTTGTTCTTGCTTGTTTCTTGTTTGTTTGTTTTTTGTAGAAATTATGTCCTGATTGCTTATCGTCATTGGGTCCATTCTTTCTGGCTGAATCATTGGAATGGGATACTGCAAGCTTGTTGAAAGGCAAAATAACATCCGATGAATTAGGTCCAATTCCTGAATTAACGCGAGATCGTGTAACTGGTGTATTAGGCGGTGGTGGAGTCAGTCTACAGTATATCAGTTCAATGGGTCTTTTACTACATGCTTATAAATCTGGACATTCAGTTGCTAGTGGTATTGAATTATTTGCTGTGGGAAGTGATTCTTCTTCTCACTCACAAGACAGAAATAAACTGTGTATTACCCATTCATTCCTGTTAGCAACTGGTCCAAGAGAAGTGAAATCAGGTGATGGTACTGGATCACCTGCTAAGCCTCTTAGGTTTGTTAATCTTTTTGAAGATTGAATTAATTTTAACATTGGCTTATAATGATAGCACCTTAAGCCAAATGAGACGCATGTGAATGGGTGGTTCACAGTAATAATTAGTAGTAGTGATACCACAACTATTATTATTATTATTATTATTATTATTATTATTATTATTATTATTATTATAGCACAATCTTGGTAAAACGTCGGCATCAAGGGACGTGGCGGTGTTCAGGAATCTGGCGGAGAGTGGACGCGTGATCAGTTCATCTGTGACCTGAGAAAAACGTAGCCTGCTTTTCGCAGATCATTTTCTCACGTGTTTTACTCAGTTTGCAAAGTATGTTAGCAGCCAGCAGTTCAGACGCTGCCGCTAGCAGGCTACATGGACTCCTCCTAAATTTGGTTACAACAATTACTTAATTGCAAATTCATAGGGTTCTCAGTGTTCCATACGTTTTAGCCTAGTCTAGTCAGTCCCCTGACTAAAATTTCAGCTCCGCTTTTGAAAGGAGTTTTTTTTATCTAGGTGTCGTCTGCTGCTTAATAACTCCGAGTTCCTTATAGACCTCTACTTTGTTAGGTGGATCGTAGATAACTAGCCCTCAAGAGTAAGATATTAAAGTCGATGTTGATTAGGAAGAAGGCCAGCTGAACTGCTTTCTAAAGTACTCAACGTTCCTTGTGTCTGTGAAAGTTAGTGATAGACTTAGCATCTACTTCGTAGACCATCTCACTGACACTATATATTTTGCTCTCAGTAACTTAAATGAAATGGAACGGCTTCTGATTATTGACAGATGCACCTCTACTGCACCCATCTTACTCGCACGTTGTGACCAGCAGGCCATAATATTCTCACGCAAAATGTCGCTCTGTTCATCACGCAAGAGGCTTACGCACACACTTGTATTCTTATCTAGGAGAATACATGTAGGTGATTCCGAAGGAGCGGAAACTAATTGATATATATTTAGTTCGATTGAAAGAGGGAGTATACCAGTTAGCACAACAGTGACGTCCGCGCCGAAAGTCGGCATCGACTAAAAGTGAGTAGTGATCTGCACCAAGCTGCTATCTTGACGTGGTGATTGAGCTTGTATATGTCGATGACTCGAAGAGCAATCCTGGTGAAACGCTTGTTCACTAGGGGTTTTACCGTATCAGAAACGTCTGTTAAGTAGTGCTGAGACAGGAAGAAATTACTCTTAACTATGTTCTTAGACATAGAGGTGATGGATTATGGTGGCTTAGATCAGTCATTAGTGGTGATAAAAAACCGCATGAGGTATGTCTGACTTCCTGTTTCATAACACAGCTCAATGGTCGTGGCATCAACAAGGTCGTACGTAACCGGCCTCAGGCAGAATGCTTCATGGACCCTGCGGTCACGCACCAATTTTTTTAAAAAGATACCTCAAGGATACAGCCATCTACGATGTGGATAGCCGGTAAGTATCAACCACCCTCACAACTCTCAGCGCTCAAGTTCCCTCGGACCACTATCCACCTCCCTCATCTTTACCTTCTAATCTTCCGCCACGTCCCTCGATTAACAATCCTACATCATTAATTCCTTCTCGCTCTGCAGCTTTCAACAACGATCTGAGTCCGTGGAACAGCATCACTAGTCTTCTTAAACCGTTTCTCGAAATTACACATTGGAGCCTTCAATATCCGCACCCCCTGTCAAATTGGTCAACAAGCTTCATTAGCCGTAGATGTGAGCTGTATTTGTGAGACACTACTAAGGAACCCAAGTTATTCCCTTAACCTCTCCCGACTAATATGTTGAACCCACAAAGTTCACCCTATGACTTCCTGGAGATCCGATGGCTATTTATCGCGGTCTTGCAGGTGTAGGTGTGGCATCAAGCACTGGGTTAGAAGGCTGGCTGCTAAACTGGATCCCAATTGATAGTCGCTCATGCACTGTCCAGATGAACACAGTGAGAACTAAGAGCAATCGTGAAACTCGCCGTTGTCTCTTTGTAATCTCTGCTTACTCACCCACTAACTGCAGTTCGGATGAAGTGAAGGATGAGTTCTACCGAAAACTGTCTAACCTCCTCTCGAATGCCAAACGTTCGGACGTGATGATTGTTGCAGGTGACTTCAATGCTAAGGTGGGTAGACTCAGTGAAGCAGAAAGGCACTCAGGTGGCACTTTTGGAGTCCCGGCTGGACGAACAGATAACGGTGATCGCCTACTACAACTGTACTCCGATAACTGCTTACATTTACCTAGCACAAATTTCAGACATAAAGACACTGTCTAACATGGCGTTCACCGAGCTCAACTCAGCGATGGACACAGACCACATTGGTATTAGCCATCTGTGGAGAGGATCGGTGGAAGACTGCCGCTCCTTCTGGAGTACGTGTTTGGACAGCGATCATGCGTTGGTCCGAGCACGTATATGCCTGCGTCTCAATGGACGTAGGAAAAATTTGGCAACAAAAAACCACTAAGAGTGCTGCTGGACAACGAAAACACCAAAGCCATGTTCAGTGAGAAGTTGGCTAGGCAGTTATCGGAACAGAAGACTATCACTCATCCAGAAGAAGCTTGGTGCCATCTCCAGTCTGCTGTAAAAGTAGGGTTGAAGACCGTAGCCGACTCCGAATGAGTGGCTAAAAAGAGCCAAAGGATATCAGCAGCTTCTTCCGAACTAATGGATGCACGTGAACGCGTCACTGCAGGTTCTGAGTACAACGAAGAGCGAGGGCAACTTGAAAGTAGATTGAGAAGAAGTCTACTCAACGACCGTGAAGAGTGGTGGGCAGCGAAGGCTAGAGAGATGGAGAAAGCAGAGGCGATTGGTAACAGTAGACAGTTATTTCGACTTATTAGGGAAACGGGGGAGAAAGGGTCAACAAGGATTAGTGAGACTATAGTGTAGAATGACGGGTCTGCAATTCACTCGTAGGGGAGACGACTGAGAGGAAGAGGGAGAACAGTTCAACTAGCCTACTATTCAACTGGGTACTATTGCGTTGCCCCTTATCCAATCGGAGCCGGAGTGGAACAGTGGGATAGAATCCCGAGCACTTGCAAAAGTCAATAGAGCGGTAGTTAACTTGAAACGAGGAAAGGCAGTAGGACCAGACAAACTAGTTTCTGAGGTCTATCAGTATTTTGGTAGAGTGTTTGTAGTCAAGTTAACGGAAGTGTTAACTAGTGCATGGGAGTCAAATATAATCCTCTATGACTGATCTCAACCACTGATTATCCTGGTCTTCAAGAAACTTGAGAAGTCCTGACGAACATAATGTCTAAGATTCTGGGATGTTTAATCATTGGATGCCTGAGTGGAGCTTGGGCACAGCAATTCCGAAGAAACCAGACAGGCTTTAGACCCGGCTGTGGGTGTGTCGACTAAATATTTTACACTGGCACACTTACTGACACCTGACAATAACCGTATTTTTCCACCTGAAGGTGGCATTTGATCCTGTCGATCAAGCGGTCTTGTGGCAGTGTCTCTCACTGCAAGGAGTACCGAATAAGTAAATCACCTTATTGAAGGCTCTTCACTCGAATAGTTGTGGGTGCATAAGAGCCTATGGTTAGGTGTCGGGTGAGCTGTTTACGTTAGGTGGTGTCTGTCAAGCATGCCCACTGTCTCCATTCTTATTCAACTTCATCATAGATATTCTTATGGCGGTCTCCCTCTCAATATCTGACTACTACACAGGGATCAACCTAATCAGAGGAGAATTCTTGATGTACCCAGAATAAGCAGATGATATAGTCCTGTTAGGTGAAGACGCTGACAAAATGTAGAGTCTTCTCGACATTTTGAGTGGTAATTCGAGAATGCTTGGGATGCGTTTCTCATCACCTAAATACAAGGTGTCGCTCGAGGACTGGTCGTCAACGGTGCATTGGCTCAAATTGGAGAGTGAGTTGATTGATTGCCTTGAACACTTCACTTACCTGGAAAGTTGGATTAACCGTGGTACATTGGTCAGTGGTTGATGAAATCTCTGCACGAATACAAAAGGAACAGTTGGCTTGTGCCAACTCACGCTATTTGTGGCGCCTCCGCGATATCCGATTGTCGACTAAGGGTCGAGCGTACTCTGCTACAATCCGCTCTCTTCTACTGTATGGCTGTGAAACATGGCCATGCCCATGTAGCATAGGTCTTGTTTCGTGATGTCATCACGTGAGTAATGCAGAAGTCAAACATTGAGTTTCACACACGATAGGTAAGTCAGATGACACGGTTGTGACCATTCATCGACTGAGATGGCTGGGACATGCATTACACATGCCTAGTCACCGTCTGCCTCGTCGAACGATGTTGTCGAAGCAGATTCAGGTTGGAAAAAGGCTTGGAGTGACCAGACTAAAACATGGCATGATTACATGAAGTCCTTGACTGTTCTTTCGAACCCCATCTTAACCGCTATACTTGACCTCATCAGTTTCTCATTCCTCCTCTTTCTCTCTGCTTATTTTGACTGATATTTCTTTTTTTCTTCATTTGTCATTTTATTACCTTGTTACTTGGTACGCTTGTTAGCTGATATAACCTGTGGCAACTTGGACCGTCACGCAGTTTATGGTCCTGTGTTGATTTTGATGATATGCGAAGTTGCAGATGTCCCCATTATCTCACTTCCAACCAAATAAATCCCGCTGACCTACCAAACGACCCTTCTTTAAAGCATATGCATAACCTGTGGTTGGCTTAGTCGTTTTCAACACTTGGTTATACGATTTTATTTCGGCTGTGAATTGAGGAGTAGTAACTTTTCTCATACCAAATGTTAGTCAATGTTCATTGTTCTGTTTGTCGAAATGTTCAATGAATTCTGCCAAACGATGTGTGATGACTAACTCAAGTGACTTACTATTGCATTTCATCTGATTTATGATAATGGATGGTAACAGGTGGTTGAATGAATAGAAGTTTTATGTACAAGCTTTATAAATATCTGTAGATTTCATCGTTTATTACTGTCTCAGTCGTTAATAGAGAAGTGTTCGTTCAGTGATCATAGGTCGCTGTGATACTATTTTAGCGCACCTCGTAGCTCATTTGCATGAGCATCGGGCCGGAAACCCGAAGGTTCGAATTTGGCTGCGGTCCAAATTTTCATCTCACCTTCAATCATCACCTAGTATAAATAGATTACATTTGAAAAAAGTTGATAATCTCATTTGCCTAATGTACACCATGCTTACTGATTCTATCCTATTTTCCCATTCCTAGAAATTTGTCTGTTGTCTCATCGGAAACGTCTCATAGTAATCCAGATAAACTGTTAATCTCATTAATTTTGGCAGCTCATTCTGCTGCTGCTTCTGACCCGTCTTTACAGTCAACTAGTAAATATCTATCTACTCAGTTGACTTGCAAGCCGTTTATTCCTTGTATTGGCCCACTATTTCGTTGGACTGAGGTTATGGGTGATCATCCAGGTCTAGTAAATTGCATGTCGAAGATGAATTCAGCATCTTCATCGTCATCTAATTCACAACATAAATCCTTCTTAATGGCATTTGAACCTGATCAAGTATTGGTACAACATTTATCTGTTCATCCTAATTCACGTATGTTCAATATGTATGATTCAACAGTTACCAAGTTAACACTTGCTACCACTGCCACATCCTCTTCTACTGCTGCTTCTAATTTTACACCCACTAGTACTACAAATGCTTCTAATCTGAACGAAAATATTAAAGTTATCAACTCAGAAAAGTCTAGTGCTGAACCAGCTTTTTGTGAGTTCGATTTTTGTTATCAAATAACTTCGTATCCCTTTTTGTGTCATCTTTTTATCATACAAATAGTATTGATGTTAGTATATCACAAAGTTCTGAGAAATTTTCATCAATGTATCTGACTAACTGGTACAATCAATGCACACATATGCATCGGCTCAAGTTACCACAATTCACAGGTGGATAGAAAAGGAGTGATATCAAAGTAGTTAGAGTAGTGTGTTTGAGAATAAGCAATCTGAAGATTATGTTTAGTGCAAGTATTCAAGCCTTAGAAGACATCGATAAGTGAATACATCTTCGCCATTGTGACCGACTCCCAACTGTGTCACCAAGTGTCCTCGTCTCGGTGACTCCAACCACGTAGTCTACGTCTCCTCACAGGACTAAGACCAACAGTTAGAGACTTCATGCACTAGTGCCACCTCTTGGTCTGCTCATGCTGAATTTTCTTCTTATCTAATCCAGCCTCCACTAACATTGTTCTTCAAGGTAGGGGGTGACTGGGCATCTGCATTACATATCCAAGCCACCCAGTCGATTGAGGTTTACAACCTCATCATCAATATATCTACATACTCAGTTTATCTTACCTGGTATTTATTTTCCTTGTAACCGTGATGATTTACCGTTGAATCATAATGCACTGGAAGTGATGTTTTTACTCATCATTCTAACGGCATATATAGTTACGATGGATAAGTGGAGAAATTATTAATATATACCCTAAAAATGGTTATGTACAGGTAACAGAAACGTTTAGAATAATCTGATGTTTTTTTGGATAGAAATAAACAGTGAATACATCTATACAACCTAGTTACTGAGTTATCATGTGAGACGTTGCGGATACAATTCAGAAGCTCATTCTTTCTAGTCTTTATGGTTACATCTTGGTTCAGTCACTTTAAAACCATTTTTGAAACTTCTAATTATGGACAATGCATATACTAGTTGATTCAGTTTCTATGCATAAAGCAGAAATCATTCGATTTGTTCACATGCACACATATAGCAATATCGTGAAGACATCCAAGTTTGTCAGTTTTCGTGGTGGAATAAATAACTTTCCAAAGCATTTTTAATTTGAAGCAGTTTGTCTTTAAAAATCCTTTTCATATTTCGACGAAAGCCTAGACAAAGCTTTTCATCTTGCATTGTGAGTGTAGCATAGGTAATAATAATCTTTCTATTTTTTTCTCTGTCAGCTCCTACAGAACAGTTCCTGGATTCATTTTCATTTCATTGGTTTGGCTCTCCAGGATATATGAGTCGTACAATGACGTTTTTGTTAACATCCCATGGGCATATACTGGCCAGCGCTTCTGTACCTAGGTTAGTAGCATAAGTTGGTTTGATGAACTATTTACTATTCACCTTTTCTCTTCAGTGTATATTTTAGTTTAAGTGATGGGTTTCATCATACAGTCAATTTCAGGTAATATATTTTAGCAATATATGCAATGTAATGTGTAATGTCTTAAACTTATCATGCAATTAACTGTCAACCTGTTTCTGTATCTTTCATCTGAATACCTTCTATCTTGATGTGCTGATGTTTGGGATGTGATACATTAGTTGGCCATTACGCATTGTTCCTGACTGACTGATATAATAATTTGTTTCAAATTCATTTCTCGATATGTTAGTAATCTTTGTTGTGCAATTCACTTTGTTGATAATCTGTGTATTGTCAAAACGTCTGCTAAGTTTCTTTATTGATTTGTAAATAAACTTAATTACTCTACTTGTTGTTTAACTGAAAAGTTAGGGAATTTACCTGGTTAAAGACTAATGGAGCATGTTGTTGGGTGATATGTGAGTCTGAATCGAATGGCTACTGATTGATCTGTGATTTTCATTACTATTTACCTCCTCGAAATGTTTCAAGTAGAACTCGTTTTGATGTCAGTTATTGACTTTGTGCTTTTTATCAAGTTATTTGAGCCAACATTCAACAGTATGTAAAATGTTTTTTTACGGTGTACTTTCTTTATATTAATAATAATAACATGTAGCACAGTAGGGAAGATTTGAAGCTGAAGATGTGGGTGATAATTATTTGATGTTTTACGTGCTTTGAGGTTCGTTTGTGGAGGTTTCATAACAGTTATAACGATTTGATATACTCATTCTAACCTAAGCAAACTTATTCAGCATCTACTGTCATCGGTGTGAACAGGATCTTCTCTAGACGAAGCCTTTGAGATTGAGAATTTCGACCACTAGTTTTTCTGGTTGACTGAAATTTCGAAACTAATTGGGTAAAATCAGTAGGAAAATTAGGGAATATACATTGTTAGAATGATGGGGAATTTTAGAATTGTCTATCAGAAGATATATGTGAAATGCAAACTGTTTCAACTATCTCACTTTGTGTCAGACTGTAAAGTGGAATTCCTTCTATTTATATATAACATAGTGATAAAACTATATTCAAAAGATATATTTATTTGGGAATATGCTACTGTTGAAAAATATTTTCAACAGAATAGTCAATTCAAAAAGTTCACCAGACAGGATATTTTTATGGGAAACTTTCACTTCGGCTACACCAACATTTTCAGAATATACTTGTGTTTATTTAAATTTCATTTAGGGAAGATTAGGTCGCAGGTTAAAGTGATCAACAACTGAAATATACTATCAGCAGTGTTGCTATCCACTGCACAGTGGCTACCTTTGTATTAAATACAATATTTAGTTGGATAAAAAAAATTGGATTGCTACTTGCCTCATCACAGATGTTTTCGCAAAACTGAATGTGGTTTCATGTAGGTACACTAGTAGGACAAAGGGACTTACTTCTATATATACACGCCAGAGAACGTGTGAATTTATGGGTCGAACTTCATTTATCATTCAGTCATATTATACTTACGTCATATGGAACATAAGGTTCACTAATTTAAAACTGGTTGGAGATACACCTTGCAAAACATTACCGAAAAAGATAGGGTCAGAGCTACACGCTGATTGCCTCTAATAAACTTACAGCAATCTCAGTGTAATTTGATGGTGAGTCTTCGTGCTCTGTAATAACCTTGCAAGATGATCGTCGGTCTACGTTGATGATTACGAACATGAGGTTGGTTGCTTTCCAATGAACAATGAATGAAGGATGTTAAAATAATTTCATAATACAAGTAGATTTAATTAATTCTCAATTTAAAAAATGAAATGTAATCTATGCATACCGAAAAGATCTCTGTTGAGCCCTTTAACTGCCTCGGTAACGAATTTATGATTTTATTTCCACTATTTGGCAACTGTGAACACTATTTGATAATCTTAACTCATGTTCGCCCTCATCATCTCATCATTGAGCCAATGTTTTTCGTAGTCGACAAGCATTTTCATAATACTTTTCAATTATTTCAATCGGAATTTAACTCAATTTTATTCTATTTTTATGTTATCATTTATTCTGCTTTAATATTCGACTCTTATTACCTTGTAAGTGAAGAGAAGTATGAATTTGCTATTCTTGCTGTAATGAAGCTTTTAGGTAGAAGATTTAGTAGTACCAACAATACGATGCTAAAACCTGTACGAAATAAGATAATAGCAGGTATTAGCGTTCACATATCACTAATCTATTGATATCTTATTGTTCTGGACACTCAACTATCATGCTCCATTTTTGTAGATTACACTCATCTTTTCTCCACTCTAATTGAATAAACTCAGATAACTATTTGAATGTCTTAAGAACTCAACCCTCGTTAGAACTTATATATGATGCCTTCCTTGGTACTCTTAATATACCAATTTGACGTTCCAAGTAAATAATTAATAGAGAATTTCTTATCTCCAGCTCAACCGTTTCCGTTGACTGTGTTGTCGTTTTTGATATTATTGATGGATACTAGCAAGCAGTGGAATCTAGAGTGCATGTTTCACTACGGTTGGGACTCGTCTGTTGGATGCACCCGCCTTCCAGAAAGTGGTATTCTCCTAACTGAAACCTGAACCAAGAACTCATCATTTCCAACTTCAGAATGTTATCCACTAGGTTATTAATTCATTTCCTCACTTCTTTGACTGTTGATAGTTGTTATTTTCTAAAACTAAGCTGAATAGTTAGATTGTAGTCGAATAATGTTGTGGTAGATTTCACTACTGAATCATCAAAACGAAGAAGCACCGTTTAATTTTTCACTTCATGAATTGAATAATGTGATATTCTGTTATTGTACTTAAACTACTTTTATTTTTGCTAGTAGTGTAGTTATTATCACTTAACTAAGCCTTTTTTTGCAGACTAGTTTTTATACTGGGTGATGACTGGGGGTGAAATAAAAAAAATTGAACCGCAGCCGGATTCGAACCAGTGACCACTGCGTTTCCGGCCCGATGCTGTACCCTCATAGCTCAGTTGGTAGAGCATCGGGCCAGAAAACCGGTGGTCGCTGGTCCGAATCCGCTCATGGTCCAAATTTTCATTTCACCTTCAATTATCACCCAGTATAATATAGCTATGTCAATAAATTAGTTGTACAAGTCTTCTTGATTGCTGTACTTAAGTTTTTCTTGTTAATGGATTCCTAATTTAGGTCTTCAATTTATACACTGCAAACCACAAACCGCAATAAGTTTGATGATGAGGTGCCTAATTATGAATTGTCTGTAATTCCTGGACAGTACTGGCTACAGAAAGATTTTCACAATAAATCTGTGTTAACTGGTCATTTACTAAGTTTTGATTGTCCATTGTTCGATGGTCCTATTTCAAATAAATCTCTGGTACATAGCCTACCGAAAGGTGCTTTGTGGGATTCAGCAACGACTTCAACCTATCAACTCTCTGAAGATGTTGAGCATGAAAATCGGACAGCAACCATTGGAAGGAAACCGTTAAGTATTGCGGATGAAAATAAAATAGAATTATTGCGTAATTGCTTAATTGAGTCACCTGCATTTGGTACTTTACTGTTGACTTTTTCGAACATGTGATCGAAACAAATGAAGTAAGTATACATTTATGCACGTTTTACTAGTTATCTGTTTAAGTTCATTTTCATATATCGTCAAGTTCTTATGCAACTTTCGCTTTTACGTTTTCAGGTTTAATATTACTTTCTTAGCTTGGTCTGGACAGTCGAGCTGTAAATTGTGACAGATTTTTTGCGATATATCGTCCAATATGAACTAGTTTTAGAGGTTAACTGTTACCGCCTTTCTCTTAGGATGGAGTTATTTTTATGTACAAATAGCCGTAAATCTTTCCTTGTCTAGACATGTCGTTGTGTATGGGGTTTTTGTGTACACATACTTCCTTTGATATCCGTGTACATTGTATTTACTTACATACAGACATTCAGTTGTTTACCTTGTCTAAATTACTGAGTGTTTTTACTACATTTATTGAGCATTGAAAGCTTTACGTTTGTATCTGATGCCTGAACAGTAAAGAACAATTTTATCACATTAGTTTATCTAGTGCATTTTTGGTGCTGTTGTTGTGTTCTATGGAATGTATGACTTCCGTGTGAAACTTCGATAACCGTTCTAGTTAGATAGACTAAAACAGAACCTCGCACAAGGTTGAAGCAATTCAGGTTACTCTCACACCAATACTGTAAAAAAATGTATAGGGAAAAAGCGATAATATGTTAGAAAGAAGTGTGTGAGACGGGGCAACATTAAATGGAGTTTATGGAAAAGACGTAATCTTGCTAGAATTTGTTTGTAAGTTGCGAATTCGTCTGTTTCGCCTACCTTATTTCTCGAGACTCTGTTAGTTGTCGTTTTCACCTGAATTTCTTCATTGTTTTGATATCTGATCAAATGGCTTCATGAGATACAAAGTTTCTTTATCACTTTGATATCGTATCATTCATCTTTTAAATTTCACATTGAATTGTATTATTGCTCCATAAATGCATACATACATACAAATAATATCAGTTGCCTAAAGTTAAACATAAATTTGCTTTCAAACTTATTCAAATTTTTGTTTCCTTCTCTTTTTGAAAAATGAATTGCAGGTTGATTTTGGCGGTCCAGACCTTTTGCAATTTTACAATCATGAACAACTTAGACGTCGTTTAACAACTCAAGGTAATCCTGTTACTGGTGCTGGAACATGTACACGTAAGATTAGTAGTACTGTTAATAATAGTCAACATCGGGATGATAAACATATTGTACCGAAAGTTTTATCTGGTTCTGCTACATCTACATCGACTGGATTAACAAGTAGTAAATCAAAAGATTTAACTGCAATCATTGGACAACAACAACAACATATTGCTTATGTGATTGATATATACAACCGTTGTCCAAATGAAACTGTACTGGCTGGTTTACGTGTTACACTACCGATACCAATCGATGAAAATGCGAGTCGATGGCCACGATTTTCAAGGTATTATTCGTTTGTTCTGTAAAATTTTAGGTGGTATTATAGTAGTATTATGTTTCTTATGAAGCTGTTATCAATTGTCATTGAAATCTTCAAACTGCAGTAATTTATGTTTCCTCTATTTTTAATAGACATTACCATCAGTTGGGTTTACAAACTCAGTATTTTAGCTATGATCATGTTTCAAGTATGAAGTCCTAATTCGGATTCTGGTGTCATTTAATTTTGAGCAGAAACACCTACCTACGCTAAGGGTGATCGAGTCGTATCATAATTTGTCAGAGACTTGTAACCTAGTAAATAGAATGTTTACCGGTTCTTATTATTCGTTTCAACTAGTTGCTCAAAATTCCATATTAGATTTGTTTATTTGATTTATAACACATAGTGATGTAGTATTACTTGGTGACGTTTCGAGCATAAATTATTGCTCATATTCATATCAATGTTCAAAAGTTTAACTTTACTATACTTACGTTTTAAAAGGTTAATATTACTAGAAACCTTAAGCATAGTGTGTAGCAGTTTAATAGACACAAAGGTTTTTCGTTACAGTATATTCTTTAAATGATTGCATCAAATTCCCATATTCTGTATCCATTTTACATCATACATGTATAAATATCTATCCCAAGATCTCAATTAGCAGGTTGATGACTATTAGCTACGGCTAAATTGGCTTGTGATACAATTTTTTGGATAGACGTTTACTCTAAGGTGAGGCAGTGGTGACAAACTCAGCGAGTCAACTCAGCAAATTCGACTTGGAAATATTTTGCATTTGGTATGTACCTCCACTTTATTGTTTGCAATTTTTATTTATGTTAATATAAACCAACGTTGTCTTTTATCCACTTTAGCTTTTCGATAGAACTATTCTCGTTCCACTGCCTTACCCAGGAGTTTCTTCTCCTCGTACAATTGATCTACCATTATACCGTTGTGAAATGCTGAAATCCACTAAACTATTACAACTAGTTGGTAAGTTTAATCAACATTTGTTTTCATGTGTTAATCTTTCTCTAACTACTTACTTACTACACAGGGATAACGGTGTAATGGGTGCAACTGATAAACATGAATTTAGGTAGTATATAGTGAGAGGTTGGCAGGAATCATAAGCGATTACGAGCGATGAGTAAATATTCTGCACAGAGAAACGCAAGAGACAACGTCGGTGCATGAAGAGCTAAACGAGATGGAAGAAGAAGAGAAAACGAGACACATTGTGCAGTTGAATATTTCAATGGAATGGTTACAGTATCTCATCAGAAATGTACAAAGTGTCATGATAAACATTCTTCTGCGTTTCATCCTTTGACGTTTTCTTACAATTGGTATCGCTGCTTCTGGATGTGATAAAAATTCCGTGACCTGGAGTTTTCGAGGACGAAGACTTCAAGGTCTTCCTCAGGGACTTCGAGTCGGTCGCGGAGCTGGTGGGTGTCCAAGATCCAGGAGCGGTGCTTGGCACGTTCTTGAGGGGTAGAGCGAAAGCGACGTGGAACGCGTGAATCGAAAGCAGATTCGGTAGAGAATGATTGAACGAGTGGAGGCAGTTTGACAACCCAGCGGACAGGGAGCTGGCAATGCAGCAGTTCCGGAGCACGAAACTTGGAATAGATGTGTAGACCTGCTGGTTATTGGCTGTGAAGTTGGCGAAACTACTTCGAATAACCTTTCCCACTTTGGATAAGGACTTCGAGGAGCAGTTGCTGGCTGAATGTCCTGAATGCCACCGCCCAGCAGCTACGACTAGTGAATGCAGCCCAACAAAGAGATATAAGTGAGCTTACGAAAGTGACCAGACAGCTGATGGGGGTACAGTAGTAGCTGCGATAGAGTCACCAAATGTAAAACACTAGAAAAAGCAAATAGGTAACTTTGAATAATATCAGCAGACAAAGTAAATGCTTTTGGAGAACCGGCACATAGGCGAAGAAACTGTCTATGGAGGCGAAAAAGAAAACGCTTTAAAGGATATTATATAGGTTCTTTTTTCCCGACTAGACTTGATGTCGAAGGAGCTATAGATAGAGAGGTGTTGTGTCTGCTAGAATACTTGTTGACAGCAATCTCTGACTACGTCCGATGTACTTTGCTCCACAGGAGCAGGTGAACTGGTAGATACATATGGATGTGACCTGTCGAGGGATATTGTCGTTTATACAAACGGAGAACAATTTACGACTGGTAGAGATCAAGTGAAGTTTGGCTGAGAAAAAAGTACTACTAATTGATCTGGAAAGACGGTTTTCAGGATACCTGATGCCGATCTATCGATAAGAATATGCGAGAACCACATGCGAAACCAGTTACCAGCTCAGTTTCTAAAAGAGACTTTGTTCATGAATCTGAACTTCAACGGTGATGTAGCATCGATTCCAACCATTCAACCGACCCAAACAAGGATTTTAAGGTTGTCTATCAAATTCGCCCAAACACCTTACGTTTCCTCCGTGTTCAGCTTCTAAAAACAGCAGAGGCCTTGGCTAACCATGAACTGAAGCCTGACCTTTGTGTACAAAAAAAGTATGTATAGTCTTTATCTCTATCTTGGCCTCAATTTATTTTATTCTTGGTATGCTTCACTCACTTTTTTCGTTTTTCACCCACCCCCTTTTTTGTCAGATTAATCTTTGTGCTCATATATCGTCTTATCACTTTATTTTTTATATTTAGTTGTTTCTGGCGGTATTTCATCTGATCTTCCTAATAATCATAACTTTTAACAAAACATTTTCAATTTATTCCAATTAACTTGTCTCACTCGTATTACCTAATCCTTTGATTGTTTATTAACGTTCTTCTAGTTAGTATTCATCGTAGACTGACATCAGTTGGAGGAAGGATGGAAATCTGGGAGCACTGGACAGCCGTTTCGTCCTAGTTTGGGACTCCTAGACAGTGCGCACCCAGCGATCGAACCCGTGACTTTCAGATGGTCAGCTCGTTACCACTGAGCCACGTTCTCACCCTCTTTCTAATCTACATGCACCTTATAAACGATTTGAAAATCTTACGTAACCCTTTTTTGTTATCATTTGACCTTTACGTCATCAACTAGCAACATCATAATTATAACCACCATTATTATTCTTTCAACCCCCATTATTTAAGTTAAATCGTCCTCACGGATTACAGTCTTTAAATATCATATATATACGAATGTACAGCTCGAGAATAAATTCGTTGAAAAGAGTTCTCTTCACTGAATATCTTTTTGGTGTCACAATGGGAATTATGAACGCATCTGTGCATTTTACACTTTTCTTTCACAGTTGGCACAAGTGACGATCCTGAAGACATGACAAGCATAGATTGTATCATGGTGTATTGCCTGGCTCGTGATACTCTTTTTTCGTTGCATCAGGTTTATCCTTTTGATACAGTCAACGAATCACAAGCAGTGAGACTAAATTATTCCTGCCATAAAAGCGATAAAAAGTCGAAAAATAAGTCTCAATTTCTGTCAGCCAATACTGATAAAATTAAAGGTCCTATGGACTTATTTGTGATGAAAAATAACTCTTTGAATAATATTGGCACTGAAGGCTTCAATTCTGATGATGATAATAATACTAATGAAGATGTGGAAGAACCCAATAATTCAGATGAGTTTGTCAAAATGAATTGTAACACTTTTGGTAAGTTATTCGAAATGCTGTGTATGCTTTCTGCACTTTGTGATATTCACTGTGTATCAAATCTGTTAAAGATAAACTGTTTATGGATGATATTAGTTCACATAATGAGACATGTAAGATGAAGGCATTGGAATGCGATCATTGACTTTAACATTCGATTTAGAAAGTTCCGGGTTTCACTTTTGAATCTCATTCCACCTACATTACTTCAAACAACTAGATTGTATTTTGCACTCTCACACAATTGTGACTCAGCTTGCCTCATAAACTTGTACCGATTTGAATTGTGAAATATCATAATTCATAAGAAGCAATAATTCGGTTTTGATAAAAACGCTTGTTCAGTCTCTTCATTTGAATTTCAATGTAGCTTTTAATGCTTCAGCGTTACTGTGTAATTTTACTGTTGAATCAAGTGATTTAACTTCATGGTTGATTGTTCCTGGTCTTGATTAGTTAAAGGTAACCGAAGATGGACTTATCTATGTGTTTGACGTCATTCATTAATGAGCATTTCTGATTCAGCCACCGGCTTAGTCCTGTTTGTTTTGATTCTTTATTATTCAGCATACTTATATCTGGCTCATTACAATGATTTGGGAAACAGTCTTCTGCAGGATAGATTTTAGTTAGTTGGAGGCGATCGACAAGAAACCCTTGTTTCATGCTTATTGGCATTCGTCAACAAGGAGTATATACAACCTCAAAGGAACTGATATCCCCTCTGAGGTTCGAGCCCTCGCCACTCAATATTCCAGTCAGTGGTGTCACCACTGAGCTGTTCGAGCTGCGATTTACCTCTTGTAGGAATCAATTAGACACATTGATTAAGTCATTGTAGACCAAATAATGGTTTATCGTAAAATATTTCAATGCCAGTTCGCGAATGCGTTTGGTTTCTACACTAAATGTTTCGGAAAATACTACTTTTTATTCACTGTATGTAAAATAATTGCGTTTTATATATTGACTGGTTTCTTTTAAAAAAATATTTTTACAGAACACTCATTGGCCTTCAGACTGGATCGCTTATTCAGTACAGGTTTTGTCACAGATTTAGTTCTTACTGATAACGTCAATAACAATAACCACAATAAATTGTCACGATCTTATATGCCACAACTGTCTATTGCTAAACCGTTCCCATCCTCACCAGCTACAATGCAGACATTTACGAACTTCATTCATAGTCCTTATTTCACATGTCTTGGATCATCATCTTCTGTTCCTCTTAGTTTGGTTTCGAACTATTGTAGTTTGACAGCTGCCATCACTAACTTGTTATGTACAGTCGTTCATATGGGTATTACTTCGAAATCTAAAGAACATGTGAGTTTTTTAAGCTATTTGGAGTTTTTATCGGAGTTACTTTTTTGTTGTCTATACTGTATCCGTTTTGATTGACTTTACTTCTACCTACTTCGCTACAGTTTTAAAACAGTTGCAGGTTAATGAATGTTTGCTCTACACAAATAAGACGAAACTCTCGTCCTAGATTCCTCCGCTAGCCACAACCAAGTAAATGCTTTGCGCATATCCTTAAGTTGCAGTCTATTTAGTTGTCTATGTCCAAGACATTCCTGCCATAAAGAATTGTTGACAAAAATTTTGAAAAAGAAAGATGCCACTACAGAAAAACTTGAGGCGTCAAAAATCACTCAGGCCGATCTGCAATATTTTGCAGATTAGATCAGAGTGATCCATACACCAGATGGTAGTTTCGCCCGTTTGCGGTGGAGCTCATAAGCCGTGAATGTAAACAAATTTAGCTCATGGAGCCGAATTAGTTCAGACCATCTAAATCTGATTATCTGACTTGCATGGACCAGTATACCTAAAATAGTATGATTAATTTGCAAATCATTTACAAATTGCACGGCCCATGTTGACGAAATGCTACAAATTAGTCTGAGTGATTTCTAACTGCTCAAGTTGTTCAGTAGTAATTTCTTTCGCCAGTTCACAACACTGTCAAATCACACCTTTTGATTTTGGCTGATTGGTTCCCACTGGAAACCTTGTTGGTATCACAGTTGGGCAGTTGAAAAGCTACTCATTTTCAAATTGATCATCCTAACTTTTGAAAGTCCCTATTAGTTTTGGAAAATAAACACTTGGTAGATCTGAAATGTTAATTAGTTAATTTTAGCATACTTTCATTGCCTGTACCTGCTATTTGTCTGTATCATGTATCTAAACAGAAAGATATCCCGAGATTTCTCTACATGACTGGGAAGTAATAATTCGAGATTTTGTATCCCATTAGCTACCTGTGTTTATTTCCAGCAAAGTCTTGGTACAATGTGCTACGAAGTTTTTTAACAACACTACTGATAGACCGTACGAACTAGTAGAATGCAGTGATTATGATTTGCATTATATGTGTCTTGGTTAAAATCGTACACCCGTTTAGTGCCATAAATTGACCTACTCGGTAATAATCAAAGGTGAAAGAATACCCAAACTGTAATAGGGTTTGAACCAACTAGTTCATTTAATGAGCATTTTTTAGTTCTCTTCAATCATAAGCAATACAAGAGTGATTGACTGAGATAGTCAGTTATTTCATTTACCTATGAATGTTTCTTCACTTATTTAAGGTATAATTTTTCAGTTATCTTTACAACCTTTCTCTCGAATATTATTAATTTTTAGAATCCTAATATGACAGGAGTTCACTTACTTATGTGCAGTTTGAGACAAATGTTAAATAAGTACTGTTCTACGGAAAAACCAAACCAGTCGATAGAAAATGAGAAGCAATCTCCTATTGGTTTGAAAACTTTATGTACAGAAGCTAAAACGTATTTAGATTGGATTTCATTGACATCGTTGGATTGTAAATCATTACCATCACCTACGCATTCTACAATAATGAATTTAGGAATCCATCTCTACGAGCTAGTTTTCATACTAACGTGTTTTCTAGATATCGAGCAAGTAAACAGATTCCTGCAAATATTGAATCTTTCTTAGACAGAGTATTATACAATCAGTTTGATGACTCCCAAAATCAGCTAACTAGCTTTCTACAGACATCTCCATATGATACTAGATCTCATCAGTGTGATATAATTACGAAGCACAACAGCGTCTTGAAATCCATTTATTTAACGCATCGATTTTCAACTCAAATTTATCATTTATTAAACATCAGTCCACTGGGCCTAATCAAATGGTTGTCAAAATATGAAAATAGCAGTGATAATGTGTTTTGTTGTATGTTGAATCAATTATTCAACGTATTCGTCTCCAGTCTACCAGTAAGCCCAATTCCGTTCCATTCAATTGATCCAATATGGGCTGTAGAATTTGGTGTTTTATCTCCTGCAGTAGAACAGTCTACTAAACAAAACATTCCTCATTCAACATTTACCGTATGTACTGATCATAACTTTTCATTTCACTCTTCGTCACCACCATTCATGTTAGATTTTAAACCCAAGTCATACTTTAATCAGTCTATTCAACGCTTCATAATACCGCTAACACGTGCTATATACACACTTTTATTAAGTTCAACTATGAATAATATTATACAATCTAATAAGGATACTGATTTAGACGAATTAATTATGACAAGTTTGATTAAACCATCTGGAGATGACAATGAACAAGATGAGGTATCAAACGTTGAGTCATTGAATTATGGGAAACTTCTGATTAAATTATTGGTACAATCTAATACTTTAGTAAGTGTTTGTTGTGACATCTCATTGTGCGTTACACTTAGTTATATCATATTGGGGTGATCACAGTTATTTTAATTATTCGTTTTTCAAAATGTATCGAGTTATATCTTGTGTCTCTTATGTGGTAATTTTTTTCCCAACCGATAGCTGTTTCCTTAACGTCGTGGCCGGACTTGCATATCACAATGACCCAATGAGCCATCCTGGTGGAATGCTTGTTACCTAAAGGTCCTACTTTGCCAGAAAGGTATGCTGGATAGTGATGAGACGAAAAGCAGTTACCTTTGTAGTGTAAATAACTACATTATGATGGGGGTTTGAGGGCGATGTCGTACTGCTACTAGCTGGTGGGGGGTGACAACATTAAGGTTTTCTTTTCGAATGACCTGCACCGCCATGCTGATGCTGCAATACAAACAAAGCGGGGAGGAAGAGGTTAGAAAAGATTGATTTTGGATCCCATCCCCGCCACCACTGTTGTAATCTGCGTTATATATCACAATACGATCAACGATAAAACAATGGCTTCTCAACACGATATTTAGCTCACATCAGAAGAAGACAATGGGATCGAAAATCTATTTACTTCAACCGAATGTATATATATATATATATATTTGTATATACTCTGACGACATTTAGTACTTTTACTTGTTTAATCTCGGCGTAATATATTAGAACAAATAAAAGAAATTATTTCGCACGTATATATTTAGTAAGTGTTATTGTTGATATAACATCCTAAACCTTTTAACAGAAGCATTTTCGACACATCTTGCACTGGCTATTGTAAAATATGTTCAGGGATTTAAAACTGATACTTAATGTGGAAGCTATTCAAAATGGATTCTCACTGAAATATTTTTTACCTATAATATTAGGTAAGCGTTTTTTAATTTACAGTTATATATCGGTATGTTTTCATTCATACTGACTCGTTTTTACTAGTAATTTAGTCCTGTTCAGTTTATTTCGTTGAGATCATTTATTGCTCATCTGTTTTCTGTTATAGATTCGTATATGAATCCTATCTATTAAGATTTATTGGGAAACCATCTCAGTTATTCACTATTATTTTAATGATTTCTTAAACATGGATTTTGAAGTATATAACAGCCTTCATTATTTTTTGCAGTTAGAAGAATAGTCTGATAGTATTGGTAAATCGAATGCTTTATTTGGAGAGTATATTTGTCATGTTTTTCAATCTTCCTATGTAGGTTTCCTGTGCCACTCGTGATGCCCTATGTCGTTTACTCCTTCGCGCAAAACCAAAAGGTGGAGTTGTTTGGTGTAAAACCCATTCCTCCCTAGACCGTCGATATCCTTCCTGTTTCAGAAAGTCAAGCACTTCTCGTCATTCCGAAAACAAATCTACTAAGGTTGTCTCAGAGAGGAGTGTGACTCAAGCGGTGAATGCTGAATCGTTGTCTATACAAGGTTCTAGTATGGTATATGCTCCTCGTAGTTCTCACTCAATATCGACAAGTACTGCTTCTACTTCTGGAAGAACTTTTCAGTCAAGAACTACACCATATTCTGGTCGTAGACGTCCTCAACGCGATTATCATCTCTTACAACCGACTCAGTTGGTTGATGCACTATTAGCGGATGGTCATCCCAACTTTCGAGATTTTATTTCTCGTGACCACCTGTATGATCTTTTTAACCGTAGAGTTACAACAGGAGTTGACAACCGTCAAGATGCTTTTGGTAGCTGGTATTCACGAACTGATAACTCTATCAGACCACGTAGATCAAGCCACTTCTTGAGGATTTTAGTAAGTTTCATCTTGAAAGGCATATTTCACCCATGTTAGTCAAAATATATTAAACACTTTCAGTCATTAGTCAGCAAAAGCTTTAAAGCATATTCTCACCTTTTTGCGACATTTTATTTCGCACATATAGATGTCTCGAAAAGTGCATTTGTATTCACTGACATGCAATGAACTTGAGGAAAAGTATACGAACTTACTGAATCTCAGTATTCGTTTTAATACGTATTCAAGAATAACCCATAAAATGGTAGTGTTATGATAGCCTTACTAGGCATCTGTTAGTGAATGCGCAGTCGAGGTTTGTTTTGTATCGCATCTTGTCTACAGATGATTTTTTGTGCACCATGTTTTATCGTGATTAAGATCTAAACTCCATTAAGTTACTTTAGAGTAAGAAATATCTCAAACTGTTTTTTTTCCTTCTGTCTATCACTCACCTAAAGTGCAGGTCATATCATGTCTTATTGGCTGCACATCACACATATTCCTGTCTGAAGAACGAACGTTTGCTGTAGGATGTCCTCAACCTAATTTCATACTATATTCAGAGCATGTAATGCAAAATCAAGCAGTGCATAAATTACCATCTGCCCACTGACTCATAAGTCAAAAGACGTTTTGTAAATATCATCGTCATTACATTGAGCGATCAATGATGAACTTGTGTGATCGTTGATATTGTTCAGAATTTCTCCCTGAATTTCTTTAGAGCCAAATCATCTAATATTATAAAACGCAATCTTTAACGTTATTAGTTCAGAATTGATCAAAAGGAAGTCTTTAGATAGCGAAATAGTTTCATGTGGAGCTGTGGTCCATTGGTTTAGGGAGATGATTTTCAACCAATGGGTCACGAGTTGAAACACCGCTCTACCTGCCGAGAATTGAGCAGCAGTTAGTATTATTATCCGTCACACATTAGGTCTGGTTCAAATGTGCACAAGATTGCTGAGTGTATTATCTATCTCTACCATAATTGCATTATACACCCATTGGTTTGCGGGTGGTCAGCAACTAGTGACTGTTTATTGGTCACGGAATATGGTCTGCTCAGGGATATTGCCACTTACTTTATTTCACTTATTATTTATTGATACTTGTTGTATCGCGGATCAAATCGATCGATCTTTTTGGAATATCAACTGCTGTGCGGATGCCTTGATATTTTTTGAAGATTCCTTATGTTGTATTTGCTTAGATATATCCCAAATAATTATTTTCCTATTATTTACCAACAGTGTAAATGTCTAATTTTACTTTGCTTTCTTATTCCTTCTGTTAACACAAGAATCGACCTCCTTCACTATCAGTTTGGCAAGGTGAAAATAGGTCTCCGCCCAGTACAGCAGCTTTTAACACCAACGAACCAATTCGATATATGGATATGGAAAATGATGTTTTAGATGATTACGGTCAGTCAGAAATGAATTTAGAAAGTGATATTGCTTCAGACAATCACTTACTACCTGAATTTATTGATCTAGGGGAAAGTGATCCTCCTATTTCATCACTAACTGATGAGAGTGATGATGACAGGGCATATCGCATTCTACGTTTGTGCAGACGCATTTGGGGTTCTCGGCGAATTGTTTCATTGAGACAGATTGTGGCAGATTCTGAATCTGGTGGTGAAGCTGACTTTGATTGTCGAATAAGTCTTGCGGCGAATGAAAATGATGATATTGCCGAGACTGAGCCAGAGAATATTGACGGTGACGATGATGACGAAGGAGATGAAGATGACGAGGAGGATGATGAAAATGAGAATGAAGATGATCATGGTGAAGATGTAGACGTAGATAACGAAAAATATGATGATGAGGGAGAGGAAGAAGGAGATGATATGGAAGATAGTGACGGACAGTTGGGGTTGGATCTAAGTGAGGACTTAACAAGTGAGACGACTTTATTGTTAGCTCAGTTGGTTGCTGAATTCGGTCATTCTGGTGTTAATGGTCAAGAATCCCTTGTCGATCAACTAGGTATTAATTTTTCTGGATTCAGTAGGAGTTTTCTGAATAGAACGCAAAGAGCAACTCAACATACAACGACCACAACCACAACACCAATTACCGGAGCTAGTGTATCAGTCTCTAATTCACTAGCGTCTTCTACTATGACAGCTACATCAACAAGAATGCGGGAAGTTCCGATGCAGGAGTCAGTTGAAAGCCCTACTACTCCACAATCAAGCACTGCAGATTTTAGACATAGTCCTACATCCGCTCAAACAGATTCCAGAGTTCATTCAAGCACTGATCCCGTTAGAGAATGGGACGCACATAATGACGAGAATGAAGAACCAAGAGAAAGTACAAGGCAACAAGAAGTTGATACTGTGGCTGAAGGTGACGAAGAAGCAGTGGATATACATCCAAACATACTAGATTTAGATGATCCAGAGCTAGGCATGGATATGTGGGCATTTTCTGATAATGTAGAAGATGATGTGGTATGTTCTGTAAATTTTTACACTCTTATAAGAAAATTAACGTGTTAAAACTTGTATATTTCATAGGAGATAACAATTAAACTTTTTATGTCACACATTACAATGTGAAATGTCATTCAGTTGTTATACACTAGGCATGAGTGACTAGCTGGGAAATTTTCGATGACACAAAGTGGTAGTTAGTTAGCATTACCTCTTTGAGATACATGAAATCTTATCGCATATGTATCTTTTTTGTCAATCATTACGGGTAGTGTTCAACTGCTGTTGTTACTCTGTAGTACTAGATTATCTGAATCGAATTTAAAAGCTTAATGAAGTGGTGGACTCATTGAAAGCAAGGTTACTAAAGAAAATTTTCCCATACACGAATTTCTCTTTATGGATTTGGAAAGACTACTAACAACTAGGATAAATAAGTAGTCTTATTCTATTCCGTGATTCTTTAGTTCATGGAAAAACAAATCAGAAACCAGGCAGTGTCCTTTTCCCTTTATTCTTTTGTAATGTGTTTATCGTGATTAGTTAAACACATTTTCACGCTATTCTCAAGACCAGAAGAATCGCCTGCTATATAAGCCTAAGTCTAAAGCAGTACAATTCTAGGAATTATAGTTGGGTGTTTTCAAGTCTCATCAAATAATTATACATGTCTGTAATGATACAATGATTTACATATCGCTCTTCAGTTTCAAGCTAAGACGTGAATTTTTTTTATAACATTGTTGTCATATATATATATATATATATATATATATATATATATATATATATATATATATATATATATTTCACCTTAGCTATATCCAGATTGGAATATCCTATTGATTTTTGTCTCTTCAACCAGTCTGATATTAACACGTTGATTCACATGCTTTTTCCCGAAACTTTGGTACAACACGGATTGGTTGTAAAAAGCTTCAGGGATTTAGAGCTTTTATGGTGGAGTTGGTCATCAGATGTCCGTTATCGGACTCTAAGTAATAATTAAATCTGATCGGTCAGAACTCTGTAGTGTGTGTTTTGTCTGATGTTTGATGCTTCAGACCAATGACGTAGCGATTTTTCTATGTCGATGTTTATGTTGAGATGGTATTTTAAAAGTGGATAACGCGTATCACAACGTCAGATGATGTTGGTGAGCTATTGTGAGATCATATTTGACCAATCTTCAAAACAGAATAATCTACAGCGAATCTTTTTTTAATTTATAAGTTACGAATGTTATTTAGTTTATACTGTTCTGTTTGTAAACCTTGACAAGTTTCGACTTTGAAATTGGGATAATAATAAGTGCTGTTTGACTGTTTGCTTTCGATTTAGTTATTCACTCTAGCCTTGCAGTTAAGTCTTCGTGATCAAGGCGGTCCAGGTACCAGAGAAAGCATTGAGCGAAGTAATCGTGAGCCAACTGGTACTCCATACCTTCAATCTATCTCACAGGAAGGTGTTTCGATACCTGGAAATGAAATTACTGAGCAAGATGAATCAAATAATGAACAAGATTTTGTGGAATGTGAACATCAAGATCAACGGACTAATTGTTCTGGTGAACCAGAGCATTCAGATACAGTAAGATACTTTTGAATTATGTTAACTTCTTAAGCTATGCGATTTTGATGTTGATATTCATTCTATCTAAGCAGATAGCAAGTAAACAATGCAAATTAGGAATTATGGAAAGTTTATGATATTTTGCTAAGCTCACTGTAGTACAGATCGAAGATTTTCGCTTGACTGATTTTTAAAGGCTTCAATCATATCCTAAGTAAGTCACTGTTGATTACAACTCATATGAGGATTTTGTGGACTACTATTGATGAGTGTGGCTAGGGCACTCATTACAGTTATCTGTTTATATATGCTGTATTATCTTGACTGCTTGTGCAATAATAAAGTGAAACTTGTGATTGCCATGTCCAAATATCACTTCGTGAACTCTGATTATTATTGTCAATTGTCTAGTGAACTCTAACGGCCTCATTATTTTGTTCAAATGACATCAAACCAACTATGAACACAGATACATCATATTGCTATAAGTCATCGATAGATGATCGCTGCTCTTTCTAGAGTACCCATTTAAACTCCCATCATACGTTAGTGCGGACACCTTACAGTTCGTAGAAAACAAGTGGCAATTAACCCTGTCAGCATTCGATTGGAAGATGAGAATGTCAAGTGCGTATTTAGGGAAGACATAGCTTAGCATTTATCTGAACGTGATACCAATACTCATCCTGAGGAAATCTGGTGTGATACGAAGTCTGCTGCAAAAGCCGTAGTAGAGACAGTCGATAACCGCTCAAAGGTTAGAAATTGTAATTAGATTTCCACAGCACCATCTAAACTAATTTATGCGAGAAGACTGATTCCACCAGGGCCCGATGACAATGAAAAACAAAAGCATCTGAAACGTTAATTGATCTAAAGTCTTCGCGTCGATTGTGAGCAGTGGTGGGTGGCGAAAACAAGAGAAATGGAGACGGCATCAGCTTAAGGTAACCCTCGCAACTATTTAGGCTTAGTAGGGATACCATCAAGAAGACGATGGTTATTGGAACCATCACCCAAAGGAATGGGACGCTGATAACCTTCCAAGACAAATGAATTGAACGTTAGGCGGAACACTTTGGAACACAGTTCAACTGTCCCTCACCAACCCTTCGATTGCCCAACATCTGACCTAGACGTGAATATGATGTATATGTCGGCTCCTTCAATTCTCCTTGGTGTTGAGAAACTTGAAAAGGTGAAAAGCACCGGGACCTGACAGTTTGCCACCTAAAGTTTTCAAGGATAGAGGTAGGAAATTGCTAATTAAAGTGATAGTGGTACTAGGTAGTGTCGTCGGATTTGTCCACTTCACTGGTCATTCCAATCATTAAGAAGGTAGAGAATCCTTTATATGACAAGCTTAGGGGATTTAGTTTGACTAATCTTGTGTCTACGATCGTAGGGTTCGTAGTTATGTTGATACCTAACTGGTGCTCAGGAAAACCAGGTAGGTTTCAGACCTGGTCGAGAGTGCATCGATCATATTTTTAACCTTCGGTGGCCGACACTTTTTATATTTGTTGACCTGAAGGAGGCATTTGACTTTGTCGACCGTGGGGTGTTGCGGTAGTGTCTCACTGAAGTTAGTACCGAGCAAACATGTAACGCTAATCAAACTCTCTACTTGATTTCACACAGCCGTGCTAGGGCTTATGGAGAGTTGTCATGTAAATTGATGACAACTAGCGTTGTTCGTCAAGGATTCCCACTGTCACAGTTTCTACTTAACTTCATCATAGACGTACTAATGGACTTAACGTTAGGCACATCTGACATCATAGGGATTCATTTATTCCTGAAGGGCAGGCATCTAGTTAACTTGGAGTATGGACACTGTATTGTCCTGCTAGATGAAGACGCTGACAAGATGCAGGGTCTTCTGAGCACGTTGAGCGAAAATTTGAGTATGTTTGGGATGCGTTTTGCTGTCACCTGTCAAGTGCAAGATGATACTCAAGGATTGGTCTGCCTCAAGTACTCCCTGTTTCATGATAGGGAGTGAACTGATGGAATATATCTACCAGTTCACTTGCTTAATAAGTTGCATCGGCCCGAACGGGCTGGTTGCTGACGAAATGTCACCTGGGATACAGAAGGTCCATTTGGCATATGCCAACTTGCGCCACTTGTGGCGCTGACTGGCGAGATATCCGACTACTTATTAATCAACGGGCATGCTGTGCGGCAGTCCATCATGTTGTGTTGTACCGCCGTTAAAAGTACACAACATGAAGCGGTTGCAGGGTTTGAAGCGTAGGTGTCTTCATAGGATTGCTACTGTTCGGTGGAACCACCATGTGATCAATGTTGGGGTTAGATGAAAACTACTAGACAAGACAGGTATGTTGGTCAATGAAATTGTGAACTTCAGTCGACTGAAACGGCTTTGACACTTTCTACGTATGCCCAGTCATCGCTTACGTCGACGTCCCATGCTAGGGGGAACTGGAGTATGTCGGAAGAGAGTTCAGGGTGGTCAGGACAGGACGTGGCACCAATCTATGAAGACCTTAACTGTTGGTTTGATGGATGTTGAGTATTGTAAACTATCTGATTTGGAGTTCCTGAGACGATAGGAATCAGTGGTTGAAGACTTGGTGACATGCCTGAAGTCGGTAACCTTAGCGCAAATGTTTCCGCTCTCTGACATCTACATCTTGAATATTCACACTTACCTTTATCTTTAATTTGTTTATTCTCTCACACAACTATGTGTACTTTGATATCACTCCTTTTCTGTGCACTTGTTCTTTGTGTATTATTATGAAGTTTGGCAAGTTGAACCAGTGGATTAATGTACGAGATTCTACTTTGATTTTTCCTGTGTGTCAAAATCTTAACTGGAAAGTCATATGAATCATCATTAAATCGTTTATATGTGTAAACGAATTAACGATGATTTATATGACTTTCTAGTTAAGATTTTGACATACAGATATATATATATATATATATATATATATATATATATATATAATTCATACCTTCTAGGTACGAAATGTTTCAAAATGCATCATCTTTAAGCAGAGATGTGTATGATCTGTTAACTATCTCTAAAATCATGTAAAAAACTACCTCCTTTTCTGAGTATTTTCGCAAATGTTCATTTTGGTTTACTTTTAAGAGTAGAAAGGACCTTCACATTCACATCTAAGCTTTCAGATTCTTTTAAAAAATTCGTTTTAGCATACAGTGATAAAATACCTTCACCAAACCGCTTGATAATACCTACCTGACCACTACCTTTTAGTGTTCTGCGACATTAGTAAACACATGAAAAATTGAATTTGGGATATAAAAAAGACTTCGACTGACTTTAAAAGCCACCCTAATGAAAACTGAAATAACCAATTAGACTTCTTTGTTTTACGAAAATCTCCCCCTCCAACAGAAACAAAGAAGCCTGATTGACTATTTTAGTTATCTCTAGGAGTAGACTTTCAAGTCACTCGAGACTGCAGCAAATAAACTTGGGTCCGGTGATGTCATCCTTAGCAGCTGTACTAACGCAGTTAATTAGTCATCACAATAGTTGGTAAAAAATTTCAGTATTTGTCAGTCTATAAGATTATTAACTTGTGATCAGGAAAATAATATAAGACTGGCAGTTACGTAACATGGAATACAAAAATATATGACAACGTGAATAAGTAAGTTGAAATCAAGAATCGAAAAATTCCCACCGAAATGCGTAAATTGTTGTCAGGACGGAAGGGAACAAGAAACTGGTAACTAAGCCGAAAACGATTCCGTCATAACAACATGCAACTTTAAAATAGGTCAGCTAACCATAAGAATTGGAAAGTTTTAAAAAGAATAAGTACTCACCGGGGCTAATGAATGACGAAATTATTTCTGAATACACAATTCTGGTTTTCATTTTAGTATTCCCGGGGCCTTAGAAATGGTATCCCAACTAATAAACTGATGATTATGTGCAACTAACTACTTTTTCATAGGATAGTGGCAGGAATGGCCTACCACAAACCGTAAATACAACCTCTTAAAATCAGTAGCATTGATTAATGTGAATCAAAGGTAACAGTTTGGTTTTTGTTGACTTCAGGATCGAAATTTGACATGATAGAATTGAATAAGTTGAATGCTGGTTATGTGGTTTATTAAGATAATATATTTGTGAATCCTAATTTTACAAGTATATTTGCTTGATAGTACTGTTTTTATTTTCGCTTATTTCATTTGAATCAATTTAAACTTGTTCACAAACTAATGTAAAGGTGTATTCTAAATTTTTTTGTTCAATTTATAGAATCTGACACCTACCAATTCTGTTTTCCCAGGTAATTACCTATTTCCAAAGATCTTCAGTTTTTTATGCGTATAATAATGAATATATTATTGATTACATGTTTAGTACTATTGACAATCCCATGCGTGATTTAACTCTAGTTTGGTATAAATTAGACACTCGTTGAAAACTTGTTTTGTAGCAAAGGTGTTTAAATTCCGGTCATTCACCGGCGAATGCAAGTTTCTGTAGCAGACAGTGAACTTCTGAACGTAAACCCAGTTGACAGTTCACTGTATCACATTTCTAATAAACGTAATAATTAAAAGTTAGAAAAACGGTGATTTTTATTTTTGAATCCACTTTCTGTGGTTCCGAAAGATAGTTTGCCTAAAATCTCTCCATGTATTTGCGTGAAACTAACCCCAAGGATCTAATCTTTCAGGTATGGCTTTGGTGCGTAAGTATGAAAGATTTAAGTTAGGCGTGGAGATATCTGTGTAATACCTTTTTAATCTGAGTTTAGTCGGATGGTGATGATTAGCTGATGCAACTGTGAGCTAATAACCATGGGTAAAGTATATTTCTACCAGTTATCGTTCAAAGTTTGCAGTGGATTGAAGTTTTTTTTTCGTTACAAACCGTGCTTCAAATCATCCCTGCAAACTGACAACAAACCACACATTTTATATGAATCCTGGTCAAGATTTGTCTACAAACAACGGAATTTCTGATTTCAGACACGTATAACAAACATATATATCGTTCAGATAAGCCTATGGAGCAGTAAGCCCCTGAAGAACGTCTAGTTTCAATGCGTATCTATGATCCTATCACTGTCTGTCTGAGCGTATATGCAGGTATGTGTACTGGTATCCAACAATATCCAATTTTTTGCTGATAAACTTTTACCTTTTTTGATCCAGAAGTCGTACAGTATTGTCTCACTCAAAGAAGTATATGGTCTATATATCAACCCTGTAAAAGGGCTCTTCATTTGAATACTCGTGATGCTATCATAGCTCTTCGTGTCTTGTGTATGTTCATTCATTTCTTTAAGTAAAATTTGTTCACAACACCGAGTCTTTTGATTGCTAAGCGAGAGTGCTAAAGTTCTTTCTTTATATAAGATTTTGCTCTCAGATTGGTTTTTATCAGTTTTCCGTTTTTCGGTAGGCAGCAGTAGTTGAAGGCACTAACCACTCAACTAACTTGGGGAGTTACGATAAACTGAGTTAACAAATTTCGGTAGTGAATTCAAAATACTTGTCTAACTTTTGGCAGCCTACACTGTTTCCCAGACACGCTAAATACCTTTTTATGACAGTGTGATTTTCATCATTTCCCTGCGGGACGTAATCCTTTAAGCTTAGGGATATGCAAATGTTATAAGTAGACAACACTCAGCATCTTCATTCATTGCTTCTCACTTGTTTCGTTTTTTGATAACTAGCAGGAACTTAACGGTTGTCTTGTAGCTACATTCCATAATGCACCACCTTTATTTTTAAAAGCTTAGATTTTCGATGCTTCAGTGATCAGTTCCTGGAGAGTGATCAATTTCATCTTGTCTAATCATAATTGTTAACCGGATTCTTTGGATTGTTGCATACTGCCGTAACTAAGCTAGGAAACTCACCACTGTAGAACTTTGGTTGATGTTGAGTAGTTCGAGGCAATTATCAGGAAGCCCTTTCATACTTGTTGGCAATCGTCAACAAGGCGTCCCTTCAACTTTGAACGAACTTAGGTTTCCTAAGAGGTTCAAAACTTTGTCAACCGGTACTATAGTGAAATCACTTTTCGAACAGCTCAACAGAAACGTCTCTTGGTGCAACACTGAATGTCTTGGGTTCCAATTTCAGAAGTGGGGGGGGGGTGCATCAGTTCCCTAGAGTGTGAAGATACGCTCTGCTGACAAGCTTTTAGTAATCACGACACCCACAGGTTCAGAACTTCCTGTCAAATACCACCCAGTACTGTTCAGTGTTACCCTGAAATATAAATGTTACATCTTTTACCTCAATGAATTTTGTGTTTTACTGCTGTTTGTTTTTTTGAACCTCTGTTACTTCTTTAGAATCACTTAATCAGCCAGTTGTCACAACGTCATCTTCAAACCCTAATGACTTGAACAATCTGCATCATGAGGAAAAAAATGAAAACGATGATGAAGAGCTACCTGACTTGCACTTTTTATTTGCTGAGACACCATCTTCACCTAAACCAGTAGATGAAACGCAAAGTCGTAATTGGAGTGTTGACCAGTTATTAAATATCACCGATGGCGATGAAGATAACGCTAATTTAAATGTTAAATCTGATGAAATGATGTTAATTGATAATGAAGACACACAATCAGTTTGCAGTTCTAGTGGCAGTGATTTTGACAGTGCACCAGAATCAAATATTATACCATTACCATGTCATCAGGATACTGCAATGTTTATGCGTTGTATAAAGTGTGGTTTGAAAGTCACTCGTGTTGAAGATTATGTCGACAATAATTATAGTGATGACGGTGATTATGCTGATGACGATAATCGTATCCATGACCATGATCCTCCCCATGAGTATGATATAACTAGTGGTGGTGGCTTTGGTAAACATTCTAATCAAATTGATGATGCAAACAACCTTCACTCTCATCATCATCATCAAGATAATAATGATGATGGAGAAAATGATCAAAATAATGAACAAGCAATCTTATCTTCCATAAAATCTTTGAAGAAACTTCGTCTTGATCCCGATTATCGTAGACAAAATTTGGCTTTATTATTCTGTTTAAATCTGGCCACACATTTATCACGTGAATGGCCTGATATAATTAACCAATTTAAGCAATCCAAGTGTTCCCTAACTACATCTCCAGGTTCTAGTCAACACTTTGTACCTATTCTACAATTCATTATTAGTCTAATACGTGTTTTGCATGCAAATGCCTGCCAATTATATGCTGAAGTCATATCACTGCAGCTACATCAACAATCAGTTACTGGGCATTCGACTACCACTACTTCATCTGCTCGTTTGAATCATCAAGATAAATTTTACTTGGAGTATATAAAACAGTTACTTGTAATAATTAAGTGAGTTATTGAAAACTGTTATTCACTTTCCCTTTTTTATTACCATTTGTTAAAGTGACCAAAGTAATAAATATGCAAACCTTTTAAAGACTCTGAATTATGTACTGATAACGGCCTACTTGTATAACTGCTGTGGCGATATACGATACTTATACAATCGGTGTCAATTGAAAATGCAAAGGTCTTTTACGTATTATTCATTTCGTGGCAAAGAATTAGATCAGTTATGGATCTCTAGAGAATTTAATCCAGCTCAATCTGGTACAAAAGTCGAATTCATAAGCTAACAAACCATATCTTTACTTGTGGACTTAAGTAGGAATTTTTACAACGAAATATTTATCATACTCCTGATACAATCTTGAGAGGTTAGATATCCAGTGTCTTGCTGTTTCATAAATATGCCATCCGAACACTCCTATCCAAGTGTATTAAGGGAGTAATGGTTTCGATAATATTGAAAAGTATTTTTAACATGACTGACTTGGTTTCAGATATTATTATGGATTGTCTACTTATTATGAATATGGGTATTATTGCTAATCTAACTTAATGTTTTTTTTATATACGTTCGTGGTTAACTTCGTCCAAACTCTCTGAACATTTCTACCTACTTAGGTGATGAACCATTCTAACTGAGGAAGAGTAAATGCGACCACTTCTTAATTTTCCGCTGTGCTGCTGTGAAGTTTTACTGCATTACTCCAATTAGAATGATAATCAACTACATTTCATCAGCAAACTGAAGTTTTTTCTTTTTTCTCAATTTTAGAGACACACTGAAACAGCTTATTCGAGTACTTATCCATGGTGTAATAAAAACTGCCTTAACTGCATCTCATGCAAAGTTAAGCAAATCTACCAATGGAGAATCTGCTTCAACAGTACTCAACACTGTTCATCTACGTGAAAGTCTTGAGGAAATCGTTAATTTGGATTGCTCATTGTTGTTAGAATTTATAGTACTGCAATTGCAGGCACTAATAGAAATATTTGGATCAATTCCGTCATCATCTGCTACCACCACATGTGTTGCTTCCTTACCTTTAATGAATTTGTGGCTATGTGGTGAATCTATCTCCGATGACTGCAAAAAGCTGAACCAGTCACCATTAGCACCACAACAACAGTCCAGTTTATATCTGGGGATGACAACAGCAAATGAACAGGCAAATATATTGTCAAATGATGAACGTGATCTGCGTACATTAATTGATCAGATAATCGAATTTTGTTTAACCTTAATGGAAACGCTTTACGCACGCGTACTTAAATTTTATGAGTTCAGTAATAGTGGCAACAGTGGTGTAAGTCTACCTTCCTATCCTTCTAATCACGTTTGACTTGACCTATTTAGAACATAAAAATTTCCATTTCAAGTATATATCACTTATTTAGGAGCAGCTTTTAAAGTGAAAACTTCCCACATCTCCTTAATCAACCTTTAATAAATCACTACTGGGACCATAACTGTTTATTTCACAGGTGATTGAAAAGTGTACTATTCCTCACTAATTACTATCCACTGTCTTGTACTGCTGTCTACTTGATCTTTTAGTAACAGTATCGGACATACATATAGCTACTGTTGCTCTAGATACCATTTTTATCGTACGACAGCATGCATGTTATTGAAATTGTACTTAATCAGTTGGCAACCGATATGTTTTGCACCATCAAAGTGCAAGTTGTTTTGACAAGATAGAAATCTGTACGTACACTGACCCTTGAAAGTGAACCATAGAAAGTATTCAAAACGTTTGTCTGTCTGAATAGTTGTGTTGTGCTTGATGTAGGTAATTGATAAGATTTATGACCGTTTATTGACATCCAGAGAAGAATACGCATATCTAAGCCACTTCAGGTTACGCTATTCTGCCTGTTAAAGGTCGGATATGGAATATTTCGGTATGATTAGCTTTACTTTTAATATCAGACCGAATCCCTCCAGACGGCGAATACATAACGACTCTTGTGTGTTCAACTGTTATTACCTATAAAGGTCTAAATGCTAGAGGTCCTCACTCACTGAATGAACTCATCATGAAACACCCACTTCGATGACTTCGACGTGGGCTACGAATATCATCTCAGCAGCTTCAATCCCGTTCACTTATTGCTCTAGATGTCGAACTTGATGGACAAGTCGTCATTGTGTAAGGTCGCGTCTTGGGATAAAGGATAGTTGAGACAGTATTTTCTTAGTGCTTGAATACTTTTTGAGTGTAGTTCGAACGATCATGCAATTCTGGCTTAAAACGATATTGCCTGCGGCTCTGAATCGAAACCACTGATTATACTGTAACTCTCTAGTTTCGCATTATTTAACAGTAAAACGGTGATTAGAGTGTTTAGGAATTTATCCCTCAGAATAACTCTCCCTAGTTCCTTTCTATTTCTTTTCTTTTCGTCTTTCCTTCTCTGAAAATCAAATTCATATACTAATACTGTTACATTATTTTGTGACTTGTTTATTGGTGCTCATGTTAATGTTAGTTTGCACTGGAAATAAACAATTTTTTTGTTTTGATCTACAAAAGGCATTCGATTTTATCTCAAAAACCATGGATAATACTTTGATGTTTCAGATTTTTCGATGAGTAGCAGAATGCATGAAACTCAGATTAGTACTAGTTTTGAAATTATCGCTTACTATCGTACTAACCTTTACATTGCAACCTGATTCCTTCTAATTTCTGCACAGATCTAGCGTAGCAGCCTGACCTGACTAACCTTTTACGAGCTTTTTTAATTATGTTTATTGGTCTTCCAGAAATATTTATTATTATTGTTGTCTTTATTTTTTGTCCGCCATGTAAGTGCTGACTGACTTCTCTGCTTTCCATTTTAGGAGATGGGTGGCTTTGAACAAGGTGATGTGAAAGACCTAAAATGTTCAGTTTTCACCAATTACCCGAATGCTATAAGTAATCCATTAGCGTGTGGTTTTCTACAAAGTAGTCTGTTCAGTCTGCAAAATTGTGGTGATACAGTGGCTGGTACATTGGCTAGTGGTCTACTTAGTTGGTCACCTTTACTGAGTGGATCACATTGTCTTGATTACATTGGTAATCCAATGACAAGTCAGTTAGGTTGGCTAGCTACCAAAGCTTGTGTTAAACTACCCAATATTCTTTTGTACCTTTTATCATCTTTATTGAAAGATAAAAGTGTTTCATCATCTTTACTGCCGTCATCAAGTTGTGATAAACAGTCATGCCATCCTAAAGTATCGTATTTATCTAGTGAGTTTGAAAGTCGTTGGTGTTCTGTGCTCTTTAACTATAAAGAATTATTAAATCATCCCAACTTGTTTCAATCTCATTTTACATCAATGAATCCAATCAGTCTTCAAGGTAACAACAATCCAGAGAGTATGGATTCGAACAATCTTTTTCAGTTTATAAATGTAGAAGGTTCTCAACAGACCTCGAAAGTCATTTATCCTCTGGGACGGGAATTACAGTCTGTAAGTTACTTTTTTTTATTTTATCGAAATCCATGTCATAGAAATAAGTTAAAAGATGCCAACAGATATCCATCTTGCATCAGTCACTCACTGTAAGGTAAATCGTTTGATAAGAGATCTCACGTTCCCAGAAGTAGTTATTTTCGGTAACGCCAGTAAAGATGAAACAATGCTTCTTTATTCCTGCAGTTGTCATTATAACATAGTTCACCAAGTGGCAAAATGTTTTTGTTATCTGACTGGATGAGTGAAGGATTGATGAATTTCTAGGTGGTCTCTATCAGTTGTTGAGATCAACCGTTGTGTCCTTGGCAGAATAAGAGCAGTTCGATGAGTTAATTCATGTATTTCAGTAACTTCATCAGGCTACATACACATGAATATCTATCTATTCATATGTGCTATTAAATGCGAAATGATAAAATCCACGAGCAGGTGAGATAGAGCAAAAAATCAGTATTTATTTTTATAAGGCATATAAAATAATGAAGCATGAAAAATATCTTGTGCTTTAGGATCTGTTGATTATATATACTTACAGTGGACCTGAGGACTGTACACCACCATGCTCTTCTTCGTTTTGTTATTCAAATAACATATCTGCACTCCTACAAATGCCTAAATTTCCGTAGGTGAAACCATTGACTAAACAAGTCACACATTTCGATTTTGACAAGTTTTACTCTTTAAATAATTTGTTCTTTTATTTTTTGAATGTCTTTGTAATCGAGGAATTAAATCTCAAATTCATTTCAATTTATTTGCACAAACGTTTTCGTTTCCAAGGTTTCCTGAATTTGCTTTTCCCTCTTCGTTTTCTTCAGCTATTGGTATCAATTGTTGGACCTAAAAGTTATCGTCAATTACAGGATGTTCATCGTTTGGCGAAGCTTTTACAGCGGATTCGTGACATTTGTGTTAATACAGGTGGTCTAGTCCTTCATCTTGGTTGTTTTGGATCGATGCAGTTTACTACTGGTGGGCCACCATGTACTTCTTCAAATGATACGAATAATTTATCAACGAATCTGAAATTCCACTTAAACTCTAATTCTACAACAGCTACTGATGATCAGGGATTAAATTCAAATCGTGATGCTTGTTTGCATGATGCAGACTTATTTACCAGACAATTACGTTTGCCATACATAGCTCAAAGGGAGATTGTAAGTCATCATCATCACTGTTCTTCACTATACTTTAGTGGTTCATTAGCCAATGCTTTATTGTACTTATGTCAAAGAATTTTTATTACATTCTCTGATATTTCTTCTTTGCCACTGAAACTCTATAGAACATTGATTTCAAGTTGATATACGGAGTCATTTCTTGTTGCTGTTTATGCTTAGTTTGTGTAATTACTACATACCTTATAGTTTATGATGACGACTCCTGAAATTGCTCCAGGCTGTTGATTTTTAACGGAAACCACGCTGATATTGCAGCCGGTACAGACCTTGCGACTAATTCATAAGACAGACAAAATCAACCTAGAAATCCCCACAGAAGTGCATCCGCTTACTTCATCACACTTCATAGCAGCATGCCAGGAAAAGACGTGTCAAAAAGAGTTACATTAAAGTATGGGAGGAAAAATCTGAAAATCAAGTTTACTGAATATATTTTAATTTTTAAAGGCAGTTGCTGCTTCAACACTACAGAATACCAAAAATATTTATCAACCTCATTCAACAACTATATGAAGACGCCACATGCCAGCCAAGTAATTGACAATGAGAAGCTCAGTTCAGTGATGCCTTTGAAGTGAAGACAGGAGCGAAACAAGGTTGCCTACTATCACCCATGATATTCCTGATTGTAGTGGACTGGATCATGCAACAAACAGTGAGGAGCGAGAAGAGGCGGATACGCTGGACCGATGGAAAGACCCTAGAAGATTTGGATTTCGCCGATGACTTGTGTCTAGTGTGACACAAAGTTGAAGATCTACAAGCGAAAACTAACAAGTTGATAGAAGAGGCAGGGCAGCGAATACGGGACTTCCTTTAGGTGAACGTAGAGAAGACAGAGATAGAGGTGGTGAGGATACCCAACCAACAACCGCATCAACAACAACAAACACCAATGACCATCAATGGGAGAAACTTAAGGGAAGTGGCCTCCTTCACCTGTCTGGGCAGCACTTTTTCAACTACAGACGCCACAGGCACAGACGAGGACGTCAAAGCCAGGATCGGGAAGACAGTAAGACAGGCGTTCATTAGCCTGGAACCAGTGTGGAGATCTTTTCCACTCAGCCTAAAATGTGAACAAGATCCGGATTTTCAACACCAACGTCAAGTCAGTGCTTCTATATGGCTTAGAGACTTGGCGCGTTACGAAAGGAATTTCCAACAAACTGCAGACATTCATCAACAACTGACTACGCTGGCTCGTTACTGAAGCTCAGATGGCCAGAATGATAAGAATAAGCAACAAGGAACCCTGGCTGGCTGGCAACGAACCAACCAAGAAGCTATACTGAACAAATATGCAGAAGGAAGTGGAAATGGATTGGATTGGGCATACATGGAGAAAGCCGACTGGGGACATCACGCGTCAGGCCAGTCACTCGAGTGGAAACCAGATAGGAAGCGATGAGTTGGGTGTCCGAGGTGAGAGTGACATGGAGGAGAATGTGCGAGGGGGAAATGAGAGCTTCTGGGCTGTCGTGGAACCAGGTTCAAAAGATTTCAGAGAACAGAGTGGAATATAGATGTGCTACTGAAGCCCTATATTCCATAAGGAACCCAAGGGACAAATATTAATGATTCTTTTTAAAAGCGTATGCTTTATCTCAACAAATAATCAGTCTGTTAGTGGATAGGTTGTAGTATTATTCAACACTTATCCACTTGTGATTTAAAGAGTCATTCTTATAGTGTGATGAGTTAATATAGTCAATTTAGAAATATTTGTTCAAACTTATGAATTCACTATTAGCTTATCATCGTTTATTTAGTATTTCGTCGGTTACATATAGTTTATTGCTGAGTACACAAGCTACATTTTGCTTATTGGATCATTCAGTAAATTGACCTTCTTGTAGAAATACAACTTTTTTGTCTGATTTGCTTCTCAGCTGTTCATACATCAGCTACACATTTTTTTAAAAGTCTTTTTATTATCTTTCACAGTTGGAAAATATATCATCCTGTTTGGTCATCGCAGTACGGAATACTGCTTATTGGCAAAGATTGTGTCTTCGTTCATCAGGTAAATTTTATTTATTTCTCATCTATTCACAATTAGTGATATACATTACAATCTGTTAGGAAATCTACTTCATCATGTATTTACTTTTTTCTAATAATGAAAGAAATAAACTTATGCTATCCTATCTAAGTTAATAAGGTCATTAAAAGAACAAATGACACCTATAAATGCTTATGATATTGGATTTATGTTGATTTTCTAACTTCTACCGCCGTTATTTAGCAGGCAGAATTGTTATACAGCTAGGAGAAGCGAATCAACCTTAAGAACTAAAACTTCATGTTATGAGTTCGTTTGATGTAGAGCGTGATGTCATACTTTAAAACAGCAGAAAAATCCCTATAGAACTTGCGTTTTCCTGGAAATTCTACTTTATCGTTGCTACTCACCTATTAATCGTCTCACTTTTGGGCTATTTATTATGATTAATGATTATTCGCCGATAAATCTGAGATCTATCAGCAGTAAATTTGTATTTGATTTCTGATGATTAATGTACCGTCTAAACTATTTTTACTGTATTTTTTTCAAGAAAGTTGTTTGAATGAATTTTTGTGATGTCGTTCTAAGATTCAGTAGGATGTCACATATTGAATTTTTAGTTTTTAAAAATTATAAAAGATGTTCTTCTAGTACTTTTTTTTTTACCTTTTCTCTTTCATTCGTGCCTTATTGTTTATTTATTTGGTAACTGTTTGAACTCCTTTTTGCATAGGCACGTTATTGTTTCTGTTGCACGCTAGTCTGGTTCTTGATCGAAAAATTGCTCGTAATATGCTGTATTTGATTCAGCTTGCTATTTGCCCGGGTTCATTGGAGTCACGTAATTACGGCGCACCGAAGCATGTAAGTCTTTTGTCTCATGCAATTTGCTTAATTGAGTTGTTTCTCATGTAACGAGGAGTCAATCTGTTCGGATGTAATCCTGCTATCTGCTGAAGGGATATTTGTTTCCAGATTATATTGCACTACTGTTTCATCCTACTTGTGAATTCCTCACAAGCTTGAATTCTAAGTTTTTACTGGTACGATAGCCATAAAACACCAAATCTGAAGTGTAACGCCTATCTCAAGGAGTGACTGTAAGGACCATTCCAGCAACCACTGAAATAATCCATCATGTTTCCATATTTTGGCAAGAAAGGTAGTTTTTCAATAGACAAGTGTAACTGATTGGCCATTTTAGTGGTTGTCAGACTGCCATTCAAAGTCACTCTTCTCAAGTACATTTATCATATTGGTTTAGTCGCTGCGATGTCTTGGTTGCTACATTTTCAGATTACAACTTGAGAATTCATTGGAAGTAACTTCAAACGCCATCTGAACTATCTCTGTAATAACCAATTAAGTTTCGCTATTTCAGTTGTACAGCAATTTTTTCATGAAATCAAGAAACCTGATTGATTATTTCAATAGTTACCGGTGTAGCCTTTGGAGTTTCTCTTTATTTGTGCCCTTAAGAAGGATGATTATAAACTCTTCTGAGGTTTATCCATATTTTGGTGCACAGATGTTGCGTGTGTAGTTGATCCCTAAGTCACTTGGTTTTGTCACAGATATCATTTATCATACTAAAAAATTTTTTTATAGTATCCAGCAAATATCCATATCTCAACAAATAAGCAAGCTATTAATTAACTTGTTTTTTGCGTACATAGCATTCAATATACCCAAACGCTTGCTGTTAGAGTGACTCGAATGGCCACCCTTACAACTACTGAAATAACCAACAGTGTTTCCTGACTTTATGAAAAACCTATGTTCCATATGAAACTAAGAGACCTAATTAGTTGTTATTTCATTGGTGTTGCGAGAGTGGCTATTAGTATCACTTCCTGTGTCATTAATTTCAGTCTCCTTAAATTCGAAAATCGAAATCCACTCAGTAACGATATTTTAGAATTCTTTTTTTATTGATGCATCATTATTTTATTGGATAAAGTTAGAAAAAGGCATAAAGGTAACAGACAGTGGTCAATCAAAGCTGACTATCGGTCAGCTCAGACAATAACTGGCAGCGTGATTACGAGATGAATAGTGCTCACGAACTACTTAAGTCAGTTCGAGTTGACTATGTTCAACTTACTTTCTCGGGCTATAATGTAGCAATCAGTCTACCGTTCTATCAATGTCACCTGATAGTTTGGAGGTTGGTCGTAATGGTGAAACAATAGACGTAAAATGACACTACTGATCAACTGTCTTGGTTTATAAACATTTAGTATTCAGATTACTGTCCAATTTTCCTTTCAGTCACATGATTTTCGACGCTCAGCCTATTCATCGATTCAAGCGACTGAAATGAAATTATCAAGAATTACAGCGCGTTATTTAATACATTCTAGAAATTCACGTAATTCCACTTGTTCTGAAATCAGTGTAGATGAAAATACACCGAATCGTTTAGATTGCACAGAATTCAATATTTCACCACTATTTATTCAGTTTATTCGAACATTTCTATGTCAATGTCCTAAAAAGTCAATTCGTGATTCAGCTGCGCATATATTACTTACAATTTTCAGGTGAGAAAATGAAGTCTGGTTCATTTATTGTACTGATTATATACTGATGTTAGTTTATGTAAAATCAGATACATTTATTTTGTATGTACGATTTCACTCTTTTCTATAGTTTGACTAAAATACCAGCTGGATAATACCTCAGTATAATTTATGGTTCATTTATTCAGTATAATCCATTTTTCACTACCTACTGTCGGGAAAAAACTTTGCCTGGATATCAGCAAAAAAAACGAAGGATAGATAAAGCAAGAGTAATAGAAGACAGTTATGAATTGATACCAGTAGTAATCATTTAGCAGTTTTCTTTTTTCTTCTCTCAGTGAAGACTAAAACGAATGCAGTGAATGCTTCTTTGAAGGTATCTTTGAGATTCCTCGTAGAAAACACTTCTGTTTTTGTTAATATTCTCCTTGTCTACTCATTGTTTTATTATTATTTGATATCTCAACATCTCCCGGTGCCCATGATGTACCACGTTTGTGTTCTAATAATAATAGCACTACGAAATAATCACTACACATATATTCGTGAACTTCTCTTGTACTTCAGTCTGACAATACTGAAATCGATTTTAGTTCTTGACACCATTTTGATCTTTTCTGACAAACTGCTACATCAGTTGCTTTTCGAAATTCACATACGAATTTGCATTCGATCTAAGTAATGCTCATTCGACGATTATATTGTTCTCACTTTGTATTGAAAAGGGACTGATAGTACGACTGGCAATAATTGTATGCTGAAATTGCTCACCTTGATGTTAATTCCCTGTGTAAGGGTTTTTGAACACAACTGCATTGCTTCATCTCACTCTTCTAGTTATTATTTGATGAGATACTGGAACATATCTACTTTTTGATGAGTCAAGATGTAATGAAAAGTTCATCGAAATCAGGTTAAGCTTTGGCAATAAATCATGAATTAAAATATTTTTTCAGCTGTAGTAGTTTGTATTTGATCAAAATTCTGTTGTACGACCTATCCAACAAGGGTTCATCACCATAGTGCTTTCGAAACTCCAACTGCTGTTGTACTGTTTTAGAAACTGCAGCCTGCTCTATTGCCTATGGTAGTTAAAAGTATTCTGATTCTGGTGCGAAAACAGTTTGTTCAAAGATTTTGAAGGCATGGTTTCAATCGCTGTCAGAAGCTATAAAGTGTAAGTTCAAAGTTTCCAGCTGGTTGGCTCTAGGCATGGGGAAGCGTATATGACGTTAACTAGCCTAGTTTAGATATTATCCTACAAATTTTATTCGATAGAATTAGGATAATACTGTGGAATATAGACTCATACTGCTCAACATCTTGTAACTGATTCATATAAACAGATGATTTTATAGAATCACTAAAGCTTTATAACTACGAGTGTTCCTCAAAGTAATTTCTACATTAAGTTTAGTTTGCGTGAAGCATTTTGACATATTTTCTACTTATTTGTTGGTTAACTGAAATGGTTCAGATCAATACTTTATCTCGTGTTGACATGATCGATATTAAATGAATTTTGTCAACTGTTGCAAACAGTTTTTATTTCATAACTTTCATTTGTTTTTTATTTGTATCATAGAGTCGTGGTACATTGTTAAGAGGTGACTTCCAACCAGTGGGTCGCCGATCCTAACACCACTCCACCTATCAAGGTTTAGAAAGTCAGATATCATTAGCCCTTGCACAACAGGTTTGGATCATTGCCTTCTGCATGAGTGTGTACATGATTACTGAGTACTTTTTCATTTTTTTCCGATTTGTATCATCCTCTTAATTTTATTGTTATTTTGTTGAATTTCTGTTACCATACTGAAACGATTATTGTCTCATTATTTTTCTATATAGCTGTGTTTCTCGAGAAACGCAATCTCATATTCTCGGTTTAATCTCATTCTTATGGTCAGAATTACCGACATTTGTGCCTTACTCTAGTCAGTTCGTTCAACTAAGTATTCATTTGTTGAATTCATATCCTATGTGGTCAGGGCGAGCTCATTTTATCGAACAAGTTGTTTGGATTTTAGTAAAACGTCTCGAAGCGCTCAAACGCCATCCAAATCGCACGCTTTATTCAGTACTAATGGTAAGTTTGGTTTTGAGGAACAATCTTGTTTGTATTTAGTTATACTTGTTATTTTAATTCATGTGTCGTTTATGACTTCATTATCCTGCGTTGCAGCATCTTCAATGATTACTGAAATGAAAATTTATTTATTTATCTGTTTATTTAGCACTTTGCTCATTCCCAAAAAGGGTTTTTGCCCGGTGTCCTAATTCCATCAGAATCTTCTAAAAAGAGTCGGTCAGTTGACCGACGCACTGATGAGTTTGCATTTCTTCAATCTGCTAGCAGCGACTCATCAACTACTCGTACATGGGCTTCTGTTGCAGCTCAGAAACCATGCAGCTCACAAGTTCCTCCAAGTAGTAATGGTAGTAGTGGGGGACGTGTTGACACAACAGAAACTGGCCAACTTCAGTTTGAATCAGCAGATTCCAATTTTAAAACATTGATGTCTCCGAATTCAGCATTCACATTTGAACTAGAACCATGTCTATTGTGCCATGCAAAAGCGATTGATGAACCATTTTATATTATACTTCGTTGGGATTCTGAACCAAGTGTATCGAGACGTTCAATCCAATCAGTGGTATCGACTATCTACAACAGTCGATTTACACATCAATTTCATCAGTCGTCTTTGGGCACTCCATCGACTCAAAACCTCTTACGTACCACTGCACAACAGTCGAATCTAAGCACAAATGGAACAGGTAAATTTTTTATCTTTTTCGTAGAATTTACACACATAAACGTGGACTATTTAGAATGATATCTGAAGTTAGTAGGAACAAATTTCTTATTTCAGGATTTCAACATTCAGCTATCTAGTTATTTGAGAATTATCGTCTATCTATATATTTCGTTAAGTGAATTTAGACATCTTGATACTATCGTTTCATTGTATACTAGCATTAGCAACGAAATGATACACTTTCATGAATTTAAAAATTGTCAGCTAGTGTTCTCACTGATAATAAAAACATCACCAGATTTATGTAATTGAGCGAGACGGACGTGAAGATACTGTCAGTATCGACCGTTTGAAACCAGCTTATTTCGAAGGCAACCCCATTGTAAGTGACGTTTCAGCTCGCTACATCCGGCCGACGGATGACTCAATTATCGAAATTCTCGACGATGTGCCTGGTAATGCACAGCTGCAACAACCAGCGGCGCAACAAAAAACACGATCAGGTCGAACCGTCAGGTTCCCAGAGTACCTGAAGTCATATTCAACTTAGCTATGTGTGTGCCAACCATTTTTTTTCGAGGCACTATTTTTCTTATCGTCACCGGTTTTGTTTTAGTTTTTATTACATGGTAAATAAAAATTGATATAAAAAGGCAAAGTGTACGAGGGTTTGTGCCGGTAAATAAGAAAAATAAGAAAAAAGTGTTAGTAAGCACGTTATCAATTTGGAATTTGTATGTATGTAACGCTCCTCATTGGTTTCCTCCAGGGTGGTAATTTAGGAACCTAAACCTATTTCATTTCTTATTTAACAGATATTCAGTCCACTTCAAATAACAATCACACATCTTCAAATCCTGCAGTGCCGAATGTTTCTGGTCTTATCCAGACAACTTCGAATATACCCAGAATTTCCACCACATCAATCAATGCAACTACAACTACAACAGCACCAACGACTACTACAGCTAGTAGTAACGGAGTTGGAGTGTCTGGATCACAAGCGAACCCATTTTCACTCATGATTCCGGTTCAGTTAAAATCACGTGCCACCTCTTCGGTTCATATTTTTGATCTTGAGAGCAGTTATTTAATTTCACAAATCACTGTCAAGGTATGTATTTGCATTTAAAAACAATTCTCATCATATTATGGTATAAATAAATTAGTAATCAGTTAGTTTTCGACAGGTGTATCTGCACCAAACAGGTATTCTTTACGTTGGAACTGAATGATAGAACATTGGTTTCGATAATCCACTAATTCTAGTTTTAACTAATATTTTCATCCCTCTTCAAAATTTATAAGATCTCTTTATTTTGATGATCCGACAAAAAAAGTTCTGAACACCTTTAAGTACGATTCTTCTGATTACCTGGTGGATGGTTTGGTCACACATTAGATTTATGAATCATTTCAAGGTTCTTTTTACTGTTCTTGGATATTTTCTACTCGCAAAGTCTACTGATGGGCGAATTAAATTTTGCTCAATCAAGTTGCAACCTAGCGAAAATATGAAAGAGTTAAATGTCCGGTGTATAAAGATTTTCATCGGCGTTGATTTCATTTTAGCCTATACATGACCGAATACTCCAGACACTCTGCCTGCGACCAATTGTTTGATGGGTTTGAATTTCACTCCAGTTACTAAAGTTCAGAAGATTATTTCTGTTAGTACGTTTTACTCACAACTTATTGCAGCTGTCTAAACATAGTTATCGATTAGCCAGCATTCACTTTGATATTAATGATGAATAGTGGCTGACAGTGGAATCCAACACACGCGTTTCGTCCCACTTGGGACTCGTCAGCTGGGTGTATTTTCCTCCAAGTGAGCGACGTTATCCCCGCTAAGACTCGAACCCTGGGCCGATTGCTTCAAACCCCGTAGCGTTATCCACTAGGCCACCGACTCATCGTTACCATAAAGTTGAAACGGTAGGCAATATCATGGCATCCACTCAGGAGTCAGTACGCCAATGAAGACCGATCAGTTCGATCCAATCAATGACAGGATATTACAAGAAACAAGATAGAGATTAGAATGGTCGCACAAGTAGTGACTATCGTGACCCGGCACTCTAGTGGATGAAGTTTTTTAATTAGAAAATAAAAACAGCGACAAATAGACAGCGATATGATCAAGCCTATAAACCCCTTGATCATGACTTTCCTTACTCATCACTCTAAGCAGTTTTCAAATCCTTTTGGTCTGTAGTATGACCCTGCCAGTAATGTCAGTTGGATAGTTTTTTAATCTGAAGCTTTTCGATATCCTGAGAAAGTTGCAATTGTATTACATTAAATCATCCTTTTTTATTTAGCTGATTCTCACAGAAACTCATACCGATTATATCGTTTATTATTTTCTTATGATAAATTTAACATGGAATTAGACTGTTTTAAAAGAAATTGTATTGTTTTGTTAATCTCTAAATCATAGTTTAATGTTCTATCGAAACGTCCACGGTATGTTCGAACATTGAATGTGTATACATGTGATCTCACTGATCGTGCTTCAGCAAGATTAATTCATGAACCACAATTATGGCAACCAGTTGCTTGTGTACGATTTAATCGAAGTCAAACAACAGCTAGAATATGTTTCTCACATCCTTCACCCATACCTACTTGGCTAGTTCCGAACCAAGAATATGCTACAGACAAGCGGATTACAATGAATTCAACTTTGGTTACTGATTCACTGAATTTAAAACAAAGTCCTGGTCTACCTATTCGTGCATCACGTTTAATTTTTGAATATGCAGATTTTCATTCAACTGGTCAAGAAGAACGTAGAGTTTGTCCACGTTGTCATGCATCTGATTTACAAGGTAGTACGTGTATGATGTGTCGTAGTAATGTGAACGAATGTTTCCGGTGTCGTTCTTTGAATTTAAGCAATGAAGATGTGTATTTATGCGCCAATTGTGGTACTTCAAGACATGGTAAAATTGAATTCAGCATAACTGCCAGGTAATATTGAACTAATCCAATTCTGAAAATACTTTTCATGGATTCTATCGGTGTTTCTCTGCCTCTCTCTCTATTTTACATCTAACAGAAACTTTATAGCAACAAGGTTTTATTATTTTTATTATTAGTCCCTTGGGTTCCTAGTGGAACATAGGGCTTCAGTAGCACGTCTCCATTTCATCCTGTTCTCTGAGATCTTTTGAACCTGGTTCCACGACAGCCCACAGGCTCTCATTTCCTCCTCGCACAACCTCCTCCATGTCACCCTCGGACGTCCAACTCGTCGCTTCCCATGGGGATTCCACTCGAGGGCCTGACGCGTGATGTCCCCAGTCGTCCTCCTCAGTGCATGGCCAATCCATCTCCACTTCTTCCTGCATATTTGTTGGGTGATAGGTTCTTGGTTGGTTCGTTCCCAGAGTTCCTTGTTGCTTATTCTTTCTGGCCATCTGATCTTCAGCAGCGAGCGTAAGCAGTTGTTGATGAATGTCTGTAGTTTATTGGAAATGCCTTTCGTGACGCGCCAAGTCTCTGAACCATACAGGAGCACTGACTTGACGTTGGTGTTGAAAATCTGTATCTTGTTCCGCATGCTGAGTGCAGAAGATCTCCACACTGGTTTCAGGCTAATGAACGCCTGTCTTGCTTTTCCGATTCTGACTTTGACATCCTCGTCCGTCCCGCCTGTAGTTGAAACAGTGCTTCCTAGATAAGTGAAGGAGGTTACTTCCTTTAAGTTTCTCCCTTTGACGGTGATTGGAGTTTGTTGTTGTTGTTGATGGTGGTGGTGCGGTATCTTCATCACCTCTGTCTTCTCTATATTCACCTGAAGTCCCGTCTTCGCTGCCTCTTCTATCAACTTGTTAGTTTTTGCCTGCAGATCTTCAAGTTTATGTAACATCAGGCACTAGTCATCGGCGAAATCCAAGTCTTCCAGTTTCTTTTCCGCAGTCCAGCGTATCCCCCTCTTCTCGTTGCCCACTGTTTGCTGCATGATCCAGTCCACCACAATCAGGAATATCATGGGGGATAGTAGGCAACCTTGTTTCACTCCTGTCTTCACTTCAAAGGCATCACTGAGCTTCCCATTGTGGATTACTTGGCATGTGGCATCTTCATATAGTTGTTGAATGAGGCGGATAAAGGTTTGCGGTACTCCGTAGTATTGAAGCAGTTTCCAAATTACTTCTCAGTCGACGCTGTCAAAGGCCTTCTCAAAGTCGATGAAGTTGAGGTAGAGAGCTGATTGCTATTCTATGCTCTGTTCTATGATGATACGAAGCGTTGCAATTTGGTCTGCACACGATTTGTACTTCCTGAAGCCTGCCTGTTCCGGTCGTAGTTTTGAATCCAGTGCATTTTTAAGCCTCTCCAGGATGATGCGGCTTAATATTTTACTTGGGGTGGACAGGAGAGTGATTCCGCGCCAGTTCTTGCAAACACTGAGGTCTCCCTTCTTCGGCAGTTTGACAAGGTAACCCTTCTTCCAATCGTCAGGTACTTTCTCTTCCTTCCACACCTTCTGCAATAGTGATGTGGTGTGAGCATGTCTGCTGTTGTCTCTGCATCTGTTCTCAGTGCTTCTGGCGGTGTTCCATCTGGTCCTGCTGCTTTCCCACATTTCAGTAACTTTATGGCGTTCAGGACTTCCATTTTCGTTGGGGGATTTATGTTCACTTGTAATTCAGCGGCTGCAGGTGGTATTTCTGGACGAAGTGCAGGTGGTGGTCGATTCAAGAGCTTCTTGAAGTGGTCGGCCCATCGTTTCCTCTGTTTCTCTTCTTTCGTAATTAAATTTCCTTCTTCATCTTTTATTGGTTTCATCTGTGTTGGTCTCTTCCCTGATAGCAACCTGGTTATTTGATACAATGTCGTCAGGTCTCTGTCTCTCTTACCTGCAGCCTGTTCTGCTTCACTTGCTAGTGTTTCGTAGAAGTGTCTTTTGTCTTTGCGTGCACTCTTCTTTACTTCTTTGTTCAGTGTTTTATACATTGTGCTCAGTTCCTCTTGTCGTTGAGCATCCATGCACTGGTTTATCTTCTGCTTCACCATCCTCCTCTCCTCTATCAGCTTCCAGGTATCCGTCGAGATCCATTCCTTGTCTTCTTTCTTCTTCCTTCCTAATACGGCTGTGCAGGTTTCTTTCCACATCTCTTTCAAAGACTTCCAGTGTTCTTCCACACAGGTTTCTTCAGGGATGTTGCTCGCTGTCTCCCATTTTGTCTTGATGGCTGCCGTGAAGATCTCCTTTGTAGTTTCATCCTTCAGTTTCCGAGTGTTGTACTTCAACTGAAGTCTATCACCAGCTTCCTTGAAGGCTTTTAACTTGATTTGGTAGGTTCCTTGCACTAGATAGTGAGTGGTGTGAACCTACATCTGCTCCTCTTCTTGACCTTGTGTTAAGTAGACTGCGTCTCCATTTTCTTGAGATTGAGATAAAGTCTATTTAATATTTAGTGTAGTGTGTCTGGTATCTGGTGAAATCCATGTCGCTTTGTGGATATCTTTGTGCTTGAACACACTGCCTCACTGCAATCACCTAATCGTTGAATGCACAGAATTCTGCAAACAGTTCTCCAATTCTCGTTCATTTCACCTAGCGCTTCTCGACCCATGGTTAGTTCTCTTCCCGTGTTGTCCCCTCCCAGTTTCGTATTCACGTCGCCCATTAGAATTTTGATATCGCCAGCTGACGTCTTGTCCAGTGTTGATTGAAGTTGTCTGTAGAAATCCTCCTTTTTCTCTTGTTCTGCATTATTTGTAGGTGCATAACATTGTATGATTGTGACCTTCCTTCCTTTTGAGTTGAACCTTGCTGTCATGATCCTGGAGGAGATTGGTTCCCACTGCACGAGAGAGAGCCTTCGATGCTGTTGGGGACATCATGATAGCCACTCCAAAACTCAGTGTGCTCGTGGTTGTCGTCTGGGTGACAATACCGGAGTAGATTATTGATTCTCCAGTTGACAGTTTGGAGAGTCCACTCCCATTCCATCTGCTTTCGCAAATCCCAAGCACTTCGATGTGATACCTTCTCATCTCATTTGCAATCTGGGCTGCCTTGCTGGATTCAAACATCGTGCGGACATTCCATGTCCCCACATTTACTTTTGCTTTCATCGAGAGATGAGAAGACACATCGGCCAATTGGCTTCCTGAAGTCAGGCTTTCACCAACTGGCGTCATTTCGCCTCTCCGATTCCAGCGAGGAATAATTTTGTTATTATTTTTTATATTTTGTTTGTGCTTTGAAGTTTCTTTAGCGGTTAGATTTGTTTTACGGGGTAGGGTTGCTAGCCCTATGCCCAACCTTCCCTCTTTACCCGGGCTTAGGACCGGCTAGTAACTAGTGAATAGTTAACCAGGCGAGGTTGGTCAGTAGAAATGTACGGATAATCATTCAATTGTTAATTTTACAAACAACTAATGTAGTGAAGTTAACCTATGCATTATCAGATTGCTTGAACTATTGAGCATTACGAAATGTGTCAGTTTGAACCTGTTGCGAGTGCATTTCATGAATGGTGATTTATAAAGTTATGCTCTCGCATGCAGTTATAAACCACTATAGCTCGCGTAACGTTAGACATGCTATGTTTCTTTTAGTGGAAAACTTAGGCGCTGTGGTAGAATGTAATTCCATATTAGATTTGTTTATTTGATATATAGCGCACAGTGAGACAGTATTATTTACTTGATTACGTTTCGAGCATAAATTATTACTCATAATCATATCAATGTAATCACACTTCTTTTGATATCTGATTTTATAGTCCTGTCACCTGATTTTTCTTTGTTTTTTGATTGGTAGTAAAGTTTTCCATATCTCTGGTATAGGTGTTGCGTCATTCCTACTACATGTGTTGGGTGTGGATTCGATGAACAAAGATTCAGCAATTAATCTCTCTCTCCACCTAGCTATATTAGACTTAAGTACAGTGGTTTTGTCCCACCCTATTCTGTGGTTGTGTGTTAATGAATGTAATGCAATGGCCGAGTGTTTTTCTAGGTTATTGATCTTATTGGGGTCTTTCGTTCTGTGTTTAGCTAAATTCCTATGTTTCTGAAGCACAATAAACGATAATGAACAACTAGAAGACTGATAGTTTTGTTCTCCTTTTATCTTCATTGAGAAAAAGTTATTCTCTGTTGGCAATCTTCCGCATAGAGCCTAAGTAACTTGTAACAGTAGTTCAACAGCGCAGTCTGTATGCGAACCGTGCTAGGGTTTAGATGGGTCATTGTAATGTATAAAAAAATTCCTTGGAATTCTAATCCTTATCATGCTGGTTTTCCCTGTATTTAGCGATTTCATGTTCATTTTGAGTAGTAACGTTCAACCATAGTCGTCATTCAATTCTATAACTTCATTAAGATTTTAATGACACATCATCTCGCTATGTGTACACTACATATATTTCTTAAGGTTAAAAATACTAATGACCGTGCTACCATTTTTTTCTGACGGTGCGTTGTGAACACTACTAACCAGTTAATTGGTCCGGAAACTTGTTATGATACAGCTCTTTTATCGCCCTAGTATATTTTTAAGCATATTGCTTGTGTGAATAACTATGAATCAATCTTTTTCTTTGTATTTTGAATACCGTCCACAGACCATGCTATTCATTCATTGAACCTTTACATGATCGTGAAGATCGCGAGTCTGCCTGTGGTCGTATTTTAACACTATCTCGAGAGTTAGGTAAAACATCTCAAGCACTTTCACGTCTTGTTCAAGTTGATGTTACTGAATGTCTATATAGGCTGTGTTCACTAGATACTGGAGCTATTGATCTTATCTCGATACAAGAATCTTTTGTCCCCAAATCTTCGAATTCAGTATCAAATAACACTTCAGTTACTGGAAAAAGTCAAACAAACGCAGTTTTACCAAAAGAAATGCCACAATCTGCAGTATCCACTCCTAGTTATACTGGCTTTGTTAATCCAGCGATAATACGCTTGATTAATTCTGCCCTTAAAGCAAAGGCTTTAAGTTTAGATGCAGCTGTAATCGCACGTCGTTTATGGGCAGCGCGTCAATCTGTTGTAGAATTCGATGTAGAAGAACAACGGGAATCTGTGAGTGGTACAAACAGTCAATCTTTTGCCAATGAAAATAAATTTCTGAGTCCTGAATTTTCAAATGACAACTCGGTGAAAACACGTTTGAATTATACAGAGCTCGATAAAATATTTTGTAAGTTACCTCTTCAATCACTTGTGTGTTGTTTTTGGTGTGAAAAAAGTAACTGCATTGTTTTATCTCCCCTATAAGCAGTTTGTTTCTAAACAAAGTAGACAGTAAGAAAATGCGTTGTTTGGTTAACTGCTAGCATTTTTCTCAAAGTAGCGTTTCTCATGAAGAAAACAGTTAACACGTGTTGGAAGGAAAATATACTATTCCTATTGTTTTACATACTTGCATACTGAAAGTTAACTCAGCTACCATGTATATCATTCAGTAGATTTCAAACTATATTCACTAAATAATAGCTAAAATTACTCATTCAGAAAGGGAATTTCGGTTAAATGTTCTGTTCTACTACATGGCTGTGAAACAGGACCATTGAAGTTCAGTGAAAGGTGAAGGCTACAAGTGTTCCACTAACACTACACTGGTCGTGTGTTGTGGTGCCAAGGCGGCAGTAAGGCAGAAGTCAGGCATAGACTTTTAAGTAAAAGGGATAAGTTAGTTGTTCAGGTTGTAAAGTTTTGTCGACTGAGGAGGATCGGACGCGTGTTATACATGTCCAGTAACTATCTATCCCGTCCACAATGTTAGCTGAATTAAGCTCAGGCTGACAAAAAGTTAGGGGGCAACCATACTAAAAGTTAGCATCAGTCCATTAAGTATTTGGCTGTTAGGTTGAGCCATGTGGAAGAGTGTATACTTTAGACGATATTACTCTGAATCGACATTAGTGGCGCAGACGTATCCACACTTGATCTTCACCTTAATTTTCATATTCAACTTCATTATTGCCTCATTCCTTTTTGTTTTCTTTTCACAGCTGTCTATCATTTTGTGTACTTAATTACTGCGTTCTTTATCCTTCATCTGTTTACCTTCTACCTTGAAAACTGGTATGAGATGTGACAACTAAAACCGTTACACAGTAATGCCAGGTTTCTTGTTGGTACTAACTGACAGAAACAAGTTAAATTCAATCTAATGAAAGAGTAATCGGCGGAATAGCATGCAATGGATGCAACGCAACTTCGTTTTAGTTTAGTTAAACTTTTAAAAAGCATATATTGCACCTTGCATATAATTCGTACTCACTCTTCACTATTAGCTGCATTTAGACCCTTGGTTTTGCGATTAAATCTGTAGATATATTGGTTTCGTTGTAGGCGGTTACATGTCCGTAGTTTTGATTTTCACTGATCTTAACTGCACTGCAGAGACATTTTGACCCCATAGCCTTTTGGTTACATGAAATCCGAATAGACCTATCAGCAACGGATTGTCAGGGTGTTTCCTCTTTACATATCTGATATCATGTATTTACTGAAGTTTGTGCTTTATAATTCAGGTGTAGCAGAAAATTGCAAATGAAACAGGTTGTTTTCAACTTAAGCTATCACTGACTACGTTTTTTTATGTTACACTTATTTTTCAAACATGCTTACTTTAAAATAATTTGTTGTGTAGTAAACTCTGCATAACGTTAACGCGGAAAAACGTCACTTAAAAACTCAATGAAAACTGAGTCATTCTAGGTATCTGTTTTATTCTCTGATTTGCAACTCCACACAAATGTGCACTTCGTTCTTGACAGAAATTAAGAAATTTAATTTCTAGGAAAAGCATGTTATTTGTAGTCGATTGGATTAGAATTTTTACCCAACCTTTTAAAACTATATTCAATTTATGATGTAGCTTATTTATCAACTTCTTTTGTCGATTTATATCTCCTCTCTTGTGCGTACTGGCTAACCATGCAAACCAGAACATTCTAACATAACTAAAGAGAGGCGTAGTATTGATCATTTTTTCCTAAAACAACCATTTGGAAGTACTTTTTTGTATTTTAAAGTGTTTAAAAAAGTTGAATATGATCCTTATAGATTATTCAGAGCAAGAAGAATTTGAGCGAACAATTGTTTTCAGTAACTTCAGGCTCTACATTTATAAATCCATGAGAATAGATGAAATACAACAGCCTAAGTAAGGCATAATGTAAAACTATTTGATGGAAGTTTTTATCAGGTGAAATGATAATCACTCTAGTGTGTTAGTTGTGTAATGAAATCAATACGGACAGAACAATTAGGAAATCAGGAGACAAAATCTACAGATAACGATTCATGATGTCAGTCCATGATGAATACTTTTAAATTAAAAATCCCCATTCATCTCAGAAATTCACTCATATACTAAATTTTGAAGGAGTTGTGGAGATTTGGAAATATTTCTATACATGTTTCTAGGGTATGAATGTGTGTATTTGTTCACTAAAGGTCATTCTGTAGCGATGAGTTATATTCAAGTAGGATGTAAAGTCGTGTGAATATAAAAACGAAATAAAGAACAAATATGAAACTTCACTTGGCTACATAATGGCCTTTTGCGAACACACATTCATACCCCAGATAAATGTATAGAAATGAATCATTATCTGTAGATTTTGTCTCCTGATTTCCTAATTGTTCTGTCCGTATTGATTTCATTACACAACTAACACACTAGAGTGATTATCATTTCACCTGATAAAAACTTCCATCAAATAGTTTTACATTATGCCTTACTTAGGCTGTTGTATTTCACCTATTCTCATGGATTTATAAATGTAGAGCCTGAAGAAGTTCAATGTAGTGGTAATCTGAGGAGACCCATTTGAATCGGAAATCTTTGATTTTTGAAAATTTCAACTGACCTGGACATAGATTTTTACAATGTATATTCGACCACTTTTGTCACAGGACCCCATATACAAATAGAGACTGATCGACTCAAGCCAATCAACGACAGGATAATACAAGCAACAACATAAAAACTAAAGTGGTTGCACAAGTAGTAACTATCGTGACTACTCGGTGCCTAGTGGATAATACTCCGGCATCTGAAACGTTCGCTCTCGTATCCGAGTCTTAGTGGGAACAACATCCCTCACTGGGAGGCAAGTAAATCTAACTGACGAGTCACAAGTGGATCGAAACGTTCGTGCTGGATTCCACTGCTAGCTGCTATCCATCCTTAATATGTAATAGTAGTAATAATAACGACAAGGGTATTTTTACTTACGGTGACAGGTGAAGTATGAGTGGTAATAAAGTGGACTGTGTAATATATATGATGGTTCACAGAATATATATATGGTTTTCACTGATCTTAACTGCATTGCAGAAACATTTCGACCTCATAGCCTTTTGGTTACATGAAATGCGAATACACCTATCAGCAACAGATTGTATAGAAAGTTTATTGCACCTGCCGTAAATAATCTTTTATTGGTTAATTTCAGTAAACTTTCCTTCGTTTTACTTCTAATTGTCAACCTTTTTTATTCTTTTTGTTATTGTTCATAGACCCCTCTCTTGCTGGATGTTATTGGTGTTTAATGAGTACAATATATCAGTGTAGTCATTTTCTACGATGTATTGCGGAATTTACTTCGTCAACTGTCATAAAGAGTTCAAATAAAACATGGAATGATTCACACTGGTTATTTGGTGTTACATCTGATGATGACCATGCGTTTCGTTTATTCAGTTTATCACCATCACTTCTAAAGACTACAGAAAAAACATGCATTACTTCCATGGATATTGTGCATAATCTAGTCACGGATATAATCGACTCTGGCTTAAATATCTATCCTCAACATCTACAACAAGAACTACGTGTCTTGTTAATACAGTTAACTAAAGATTGTCAACCTTTGGTAAGTTTTGTTATACCGTTGATATTTTCGATTTTTTTTCACTACTAACCTGTTCTGATTCAATAAAGATTGATAATGAATTCAACGGTGAAAACACTAATCAACCATTTATCACTTAGCTTATCCAACCAATGATATCTGAGATTATTTCGCATACCGTAGTCATGAATTTAGTATTGTGACAACTGAATTACCATGAAACCGCTTCAACCTGTCACAATTTCTAGCTCCTCACACTGTTAAAGGATACTTCATCTCATAAAATCTCCAATTGAAATCGCATTTATATGAATCCTTTTATTGAACCCGGAGTATGATCACTGGACTCATGGGACATAGGCTTGAATTTTGTCACAAATAGCCGTTTTGAGGCTCCTCATTTTGGATTTAATTGCTTCAAGGCAATGCCTCCGAAGAATTAACCGCCTGATAGTGAGACTATGAAACACTGGCTATTTTTTATCTTTAGAATCTTTTTTTAGAAGGAAACACAGCAACATTGGATATATATTTTTTTATTACTAATGTTGGGTGATGATTGAAAGTGAAATGAAAATCTGTGTCGCATCAGGGTTGGAATCAGTGACTTGCGGGTTACCGACCAGGTACTCTACCATCTGAACTACAAGACCCAGCTGCTGACTTGATCCTAACTTCAATCACCATGGGTTATTCTTAAAACCACCTTATTTCTGATGTACACTAGTAAAATCAACAGTACTACTCGAATCCGAAGTTATTCTGATCTATCCTCAGGTCGCATATGTGCAGCAGCCACATCGGTATACTAATTATCCTGGTTTAACATTATGTCCAAATACCTTGATACCATTTCCTTTAAGTTGAGATTTTATTTTTCATTGTATTATTCCTTTTTTGAAAATAGATTTCTCATCTTGGAGATATACTTAGCGATAGAATAATTCAAACAGCTAGCACTCATGGAGATCAAGCCCATCTACTCGGACCATTATCATACAATGATGTTTGCTTGTTACAAAGCAGTGTTGAAGCAATTTTACCGAGAAAATCACAACATGCTCACTTGCGTAAACAGCCGATAGACTTAAAAAGTGAAAATTGGGAAGCACGACTTCGTCCCTTATTCAAAATTTTATTGAAACTTACTAATGACAGCGATTTCAAAAATACTGTTGGATGTAATCCATCTGTTCCTGTTGTACAAAATATATTATTACCGCTTGTGGAATCATTGCATCTGTTGGTTTCACATAAACCTGTTAGTTCAGCATTTTCAAATTCATCGTCAGTTCCAACTATGCGAATAGTCAACCAATCTACTGAGAATGTAAGCGAAGAAATTGGTCCAGTTGGTGGCAACACTGTCGCTTCGCTATCGATCTCACAGACGGGAGCAAGTGGTGAAACCCAATATCAGTCGGTTGTTTCAAATCAAGCTAATTTATCTAGTCGAAATGTTCATATTTCCCAAGCTCCAGCTCATCTCTCCTTTGGACAACTTTCACACTCATGGGGTTTAGATTCTATTGGATTCCATTCATGGCTGGCAAATCAGCCTCAGGCTTCGTTCTCTGTTAGTCCTTTTTTAAATTACTTGTATTTGAACACAAATCTAACCTGCAGTCGATTTTGTGGTCTGTCAGATGAACCACAAAGTCGAACTACTAATTGAACTATCAGTTTAGTTGGATATGTTATATGAACTTCGATCATCCTTCCTGAGTCGTTCCAGATTTTGTTTTAACCTTTTTAATCTAGATAATTTAACCACAAACAAGTCGTTATTTTGACTAAATATTGTTAAAACAGAATGCAATCCTAAGTGTATAGTTGATAGACTTGCTCTCAACTCTACGTCAAGTAAATGTTGTTCATGTATCGTGGGTTGCCAATCAAGTATTTTGACAACTGCTGGAGGTTCGAGCAGGTACAATTCGTTACCGTTTATTGAAGTTTACAATCACAGTGATTGAATATGTAACGATGATTATACGAAATCCATTCAACTGCCTTGTGCATGTTAGTGCCGTAGGCAATGAGCCACACCTATTGTGTCAGGGCGATTGATACTACCTGATTGCCCAAACATCGGTAGGTGGAGAGGTGTTCGAACCTGTTCCTCATTTTAAGGATTGGTCTGATAAATTCCACTCATTCTTCTGTATTCTTTTTGTTTACTTGGTTGCTGAATCGAAAAGTAGGCCATAGTTAGCGTGGCTTACGTTTATTAACTTTCAGGACTTATTTGGTCAGTGATATGTATGCAGTGCATAGTGGGACCTTTCAAAATGCATTGCACCAGTCACGTAATGATTTGTCTCATTCATGTGTAATCTAGATATAAAGAAAGAGATACTTTGTAGTATGATGATTATAAAAAGTCTTATCACTAACTGCATCTAAGTGAATACTGCTTCTACTTTTCTTTATATAAGAAACCTTGTTTAGTCGAAATCCTTTTTTTCTTTCTTCAAGAAAACAGAACCATAATTCTCTCAAAATTAAGTGACGTATACAAAGTTGACAAAGATCAGATGGTCTACTGAATACTGCCTGTTTGTGAACAATGAACGAACCGAATTTGATAAGTATATTAAGCCTACTAAAATTGTGTGGGGTATACATGAAAACATCACTACTTTTTCGCTTCTGTTCACTTACCAGTGCTTCACTGTCAGACATCTCATCATAAATTATTTGCACCACAATACTGTTGCTTTTAAGCTTCGCCACCACCTAAATGGTTTACCTTGCATCACTTGGTCTTAGAGCATATTTCTTTCAGTTAGTATAGTTTGATTTGATTGTCACGATAGGCAGTTGTTAGGAAAATTCATGTGTATAACTGAATCGCTGTACAGAGGTGTTCGTTGCTCTATCGTACAAGTAGCATCACGGCTTAATTAACAGTTGTTGAGACCGAAATTTTACAGCTTTGCACCAAAATTACCTTCTGCCTATGTAAACTAGATAGTAAATCTTTTTTTATTTAGGCTTGGAAAGAATATATGTCAATCCAAACAAACTTCATGTCTAAATCATCATCCCATCATGGTACAACCTTACCTATACAAGAAGCTAACTCCAACTCACCTGATCAGCAAGGATTGCTATGGAAAGATATAGATAGCAAACAATTTAATCTAGTTGCTCATTTTGCAAGGCGTTGGAGACAAATTGTTGAAGAGAAACGTTGGGCAAAACGTTGGGGTGTGTCTATAACTAGTCGTTGTAAGTTCTGGCCAGGTATAATATTGGTTTTTTCTAATTAAAACTAAACTGTTTCGACTGAGATCACTTCAACTGACACATTCTGTCAGATATTGATTAACATGGTGCAAATTGCAATATTTGATGAATAACCAAATCCAACTTCTTTTCTTTCATTAACTTGTAATGAAGACAGATAACAGAAAACATTGTGATTATGACATTCATAACCACTAATCCATTAGTTTTTTGAAATAACTGATATTTTAGTTTTTTATGTGATGCAACTGAGGAACCCTGTAAATATCCAAATTTCACCGTGAAAATGAATGGTGAAACATGCTTCATTTGGAAAGTACACATATTCGTCACTAGATATAAATTGATGTAGTTGACAAATCTTAGATGCTGACGGTTTACAATCTAGTCACTGGGGCTAATTGGCAAAAATATATGATGCACTGTGTTTAGCCTTAGGTGTTGGGAGTTACTTAACAGGAATCTGAATCTTACTTATTGATACTCATCAGGAGGATGTATATGTGACCTTAAGGAAGATTATTTTACGTGAAAGATTCAAGAGCATCGTACTTGAAGATAAAAAACTGACCACTGATATACCGTGGTTAGCCTCCTGTAGAACTGCATGAATTAATCTATGGATGGTAACCCATCTATGGTTGAGAAACGATTGTCGATAACATTTTCTGATCAAATGACAGTAGTTTTTATATTTTTATACATTATTGTTCCTAATCCTGTTGTCGCAGATATTTTGAAAGAAATTAGTTGTTCCGCTGCTATGCTCATGCTTCTAATGGTAATTAGTAACTATACATTTCGGTGTAATCTAGCATACTCAGACTTGTAATATGGTAGGATAAGTTAGTGAAATCGCATGTGGAGTACAGTTTGAACCTGAAATCCTATGGCCGAATATCTGATCCTGTTGGTAACTATACCACAATTTCACTTCAGTATTTTTAGGTGGCTACGGTTATGATGTACTTACTTCATATGTAATTGAAATCTTCGGATATGCATATAATGTCTATTTCACTTAATGTTTCCTATCTTCATACTATAGCTTCCGTGGACGCTGGTCGTTTATTTCCTGATAGTTGGCTTACCAGGATCTTCTTCTCACCCCCCGATTCCAATGCTCGAGGCGTATACGATTGTATGAAACTGTTGAAACAGATTACATCAAACTTTTTATCAAAGCAAATCGCCTCAAATACTAGTAGAGATAGTAGTCCGTTATTTAGACAAGAGTTCGCCAGTACAGTGAATACTTTGTTCAATCAACGCCGATGTGCTGTACTACGATTTCTTACTGAAGTCTGTATTCCTCGGTTGGATGAACTAGCATCCACACGTGATGCAGCTTTGTTACTGACTGATAATGTATCGACATCTTCCACATCATCATCAGTAACAGTATCAACTGCTTTGTCGTCTTCACGAAGTAATTGTGTCACAACGTCGGCTGTTACTGCAACCGCTGGCGATATTTTTGTAACGGAATTTTGTCAACTAACGATGTCAGAACCGGAACAATTTTCTGATGAAAGTAAACAAAAACAGCATACTAATGCCACGACTACTGCTGGAGAAAATACAATTATTTTTTCAAAATCACCATTTATTCCTTATTTACTGGTAAAAGGAGACTTCTTAGGTCAGATTTATTTCGTTCTTGCTGAATTAATGAATTTATTAGTTGCTTATTATATGGCTAAGTAATTTATATTTCATTCATGTATTTACTAGTTGAATAATGTTTGTCTGTAAACGTATTCAATTTTTAAGACCGTTGCTATCAATGAGTGTGGAGCATAGCGGTTTATTTTTTATTGCTTTATGGTTGTCAGGTATCTGTGTTCGAGTCGAATTATTCCTGAAAAGTAATTCAGCTTTTGGAGATTTGTCAGGATTTGTTGTTTTCTTGGTGGTATTTATCAGGGAAGAACATCAGTTGGAGAACCATTGGAAACCTATGAGGACTAGACATCTGTTTCATCCTAGTATGGGAATCATCCATGACGCTGCCAGGGACTGAACCCAGGTTTCACGGTGAGCACGTTACCATAAACCCCGCTGTGTCAAAATCCAATAGTCCACATAGCACAACCATCCAACGCTGTTGTTGAGTTCCTGTCTTCATGCTGGACTTGTTTTGGCCCATCGGTCACGACTTCTTATTAGAAATTCAGGAGATCTCATCTCAAAGCATGTCACTAATGAGCACTGAACGGTATTTCACTTTTCCGGTTTAGAGGAATCTATTGATTTCAATGCGGTACTTATCTTGTTCATGTCTCCAAAATAGCCTTCATATACGATGGAAAAACTGATTCAATACGTAATAATGAGATTACCCGTTATGTTTTTATTAAGGAGGATATACCAACTAACTTAGTTATGAAGTCAAATCGACTGAAATAACCGTAAGGTGTGTTACATATTGGAGACTACCATCTAATTTGAAATACTGGCCGAACTACAACTGTGCCTAATGGAGTTTCGCAATAATTAGACTGCTCCACAAAATCACTTACCTTTTTTTATGAATTGTGAATAGATCTGTAGGCTCACTTACCAATCAGCACAACTGTGAATAAACTGTGATATTGTTAACTGTTTATTCCTTTTGGATCTTTTTTGATACTGAATACCTAGACCGTTGAACTGAAATCTCTCTTGGTCATTGCTTTATCTTGTTTTCGTTTAGTTCGCCATATTTTTGTTGTTGGTCGGCGTCATACTGTATACCGTATTAGTTATCTGCTCCTTCGCTTATTCTTTGTTCATCGAACTGTGTTTCTCCTTGTTGTTTTTAGATTTGCTAGTGCTCATTAATAACATTATTCTTTATCCCCATGTATGTAGGTCATGTTAGAATTTTGATGCGAAAGTTGTTATTACAAATGACTCGTATCGAGTCTGCACGTATTGGACATTGGAATGAATCAATGGCTGCAATACTAAGTCCTATAAGCGGTTCTGGTGCGTGTAATGGAGGTGCTCCTGGCTATGCAATTGCCTTAGTTGCAGAATTGTTAAGTGTACTTAAACCACTCGTAAGTTATTCACATATAAATTGAAAGTAGTAGGATTCAAACGATAATTATAGTAATTATTATATACGTCCTTATGATTTCTGTGTTTTATTTAAGATGATTATTAAACTCACTTTAAAATACATTTACCCTTGGAAAGATGATTAGAAAGTTTATGACTCCAGAGCTACCATTATTCATCATCAACTGATATTTTTTATTTTTCTCACTTATTTGTTATTCATTACACAGTCCAGCTGTAAATGTAGCCTACATATATTATTATTACCATGTTGTCTAGTGTTAAAGGAAATTCTTGTTTATGTGAAGTTTGTGACATACGGCTGAGATACTAAAACCAAAGGTTGTTGTGTTAAAGTTCTATCATTTGGGTCCATAAAATAGTAGGACATTGTCTACAGTTACATTTGCATAATAGGCCAATATTAGAAGAGGTTCCTAAACCATTTTTTCTCTCGAGATTTTGAGATGTAGAAGATTGATTGGCTATGAATTATGTTTTTTTCAGTTTTCCTAGAGGAACTCTTTCCATTCATCTATCTGGTTTAGAGATATATTATCCACGTTTGCTGTTCTGTTTTCATGATATCACTCAATATGAACGAACAGCTTAGGCGTATAACAGCATTTCAGTATCCACCCGTAGATTATATCAAAATACTGAAGGCTAATTCGGGGTACCAGCACTTATCACTAACTTGTTTTGTAAGATTGTTTTAAAATTTCACTTTTAGTTTTGTATGTATTCTATTGTTTAGAAGCAACTAACTAGATCACAACAAAATCAGTTACTTCGCGTTCTACTGCCGGCTTGTGCTCAGTTGAGGTATTTGGTATTTCAACGTACTGATTGTACTGTCAAAGCTCAATCTGTATTTGATTTTATGCTCGCCGAACTGACAGGGGTTTCTGGTACACAGATCAAAGAATTTTTGTCTGTAAGTTTGGTGGAAATATTTTAGCCAGTTATTTGCACCTTTCAGTTTATCTGGGACTCATCAGCTGCATTTCTTATGATAAGTCTTGCCCACATTATATTGATTTCTGTGTGTTTTAATTACTGACCAATTGCTCTTTTAGTTTCCATCAGCACTTGAAGCAGTAGGGCAGAGAGAAACTAGAAAACATCCACAGTTTTTACATACAACTTATGGTCACTGACTGAATTTACCAACACTGTCACTTTTGTCCATTCACGCGGTTGCCTTCGTAGCATGTCTTGTGTCATAGTGTCACCACCTCAGTAACACAAAAGTTAGATGTAGAGTTTTAGATAGAAAAGTGAAGTCAGTTTATGAGGTTGAGAACATTCCCCGACCCAGGTGTCTAGGACCTGTGTTACACATATCTAGTCACCATATGGCCCGTCGCACAATGTTAGCTGAAGTAGGTTTAGATTGGCAAAAGGTTGAAAGCGATTAGACTAAAACATGACATCAGTCCATGAAGTTTGGTTGCTGGTCTGTGGCGTATAGGTAGGCGTAGACAACCCGATTGATGTCTGCGTGACAACCGATATCGGTAGTATTGCTCTGAATGGATTTTAATGGTGCAGATGTATCTTCACATGATCTTCATCTGAATTGTCCTGAACTTTATTATTGCCTTATTTCAATTTGTCCTCTTTTTGCAACTTTTAACTACTTTATTCCTTATATGTCTGTTTCATCTTTGCAACTACCAGGTTCAATGTTGATATTTTCTCTCTACCTGTTTACAGTTAAATGAGCATAATTTTTAAAAGCAAATTTAATCAAACGTTTCTAGAGCATATGGTACTCGTTGAGATGTATATCTCTTCACAAATTTCCTAGTCAATATGCCTCTGTCACTTAGATGTTTGTCCTTAAACGGTTCCAAGAAACTGAACTTGTTTTTCGGATGCCATAATGACCAATATTTGTATTGCTCATAACGTCTCTTCTCCAGTGTTTTCTGTTTTATTAAACATAAGAGCAGATCCCATACTCTATTGTTTAATCGATCCCAATCAACGTGTATCAAATCAACCGAAAGCTTGTAGCTTTTATAAATCCACTGTTTATCAACTGAAAAAATTGTCATGTTTTTTGCACACTAGAAACTTTTGTCGTTAGCAGTGTAGCTCTGCATTTTCGTTTCTTTTGATATGTTCACCGCAAGGTTAGTGTAGCAACTCATTTTTGCCTTTTCTTTTCATCACTGACTCTGTATGCATTTCAGACTGTGTTAGACATTCTGGCTGAGTACCCGATTGATGACCATCGATCTGCTACTTACCTATTACAACGTTTATGTACTCCTGTTTGTCCACTGGATACTGATCAGTCTGTTTTCCAAATCAAATTAGAAGTATGGCGTCCGCATGAAGACTACTTACTGGCTAGATCAAGAATTGAAATTTTACCGTAAGTGTTATTTTATTCCACTTGGTTACCGTCTTGGGCCTTACTGGTACTGTGAAGAGCAATGTTAGTACTGAGTTTTGCTGCTGTTACTTGATAATTACAAACCTCAAGCTTGGAAATCACACTACGCTTTCGCTATAGAATGGTTTGCTTGAATAATCTATCGGAAAATGTTCGTTTTATTATCGATAGATGGATGATTTCATCCTGTGCAAAAACAACATAGACAGGTCAAAGATACTTAGCAGATTCAATACACTAAACCCAGCGGTGAAATTTACGTGTAAGGAAGGTTCAGAAGGCAAAATAGCTTTTATTGATGTCCTCTCAAGACGAATGGCTGGATCGATCGTGAGGAAGTTGTTTGAGGAGAGTATGTGGAGGTGGCAATACACGCATTTCCTTAGTTTTGTCCGCCTTCAGGTACAAACGAATTTTATAAAGACTCTAAATTATAGACTAAAGGTTACATGTTTAGAAAGTACGGTTGAGGAAGAATTCACGCAACACACTAATCGGAAATGTTCATCCTGATAAATTTATAAAGAAGCATTACTAGGAAAAAATATTAAAAATAGACATTTCAACAGCTAGCGGAAAACTCCAATAGATTCGTTTGTAGTGTGCCTAGCGAGATATTAGTTCATAAACTGATCAGGTCAATTCAAAGGACTCTGGTGCTGGAAGGTAAAAACTACGTTTTGCGCACGCCCAAGGGTTTTACCGTCACTGAGAGAATAAACGTCTAGACTGACCACTGCCCTAGAAATCTAATTTTCCGTGCTTGCGAACACTCCAGTGATGTGGTAAAGACTATTAACAGCCCTACAGTAGGACATTCAATTCAAACGAACCATGCGGTGTATGTGAATAAGTTATTTTCCATTACCTGCGGAGTTCCCATCAGCTTACTAAAAGGCACTAGGATCCGAATCCTTCAAACTGCAGAAACGATTGCAATCGCGACTCAACAAACCTAGTTATCTGTTCAGAAAAAAACAGGTGTTCCTATTAAAACTACCTTGGTGTCATTCAGAGCTAGCAAATTCCCAAGCGTGAATTGTAACAATTTGAACCGATGGACTTGTGTGCAAGGTTTTACTTTTTTTGTTTGTCTTTCCTACCCCATGTACCCTAATTTCCCACTTACACATTGTAGACATTGCCTATCCTTATAATCTGAAATAATTTGATCACATTCTCTTCACCTGTTTTGTTCCCCAACATAAGTAACATTTTAATATTCCTCATTCTTTGTTTATCGCATCCCTCTTTCATGCATACCCTCCTGTTCTTTTCAATAGAATGTCTTTGTTTATCCGATTTTGAATTCATACTCCATCACATTTCATTTTCCCTTCTACTTATGGTAGACTTTATTCGTATAACTTTCACCATCGAAGTTAATATGATTTATTTTCACCTTATAGTGTTACATAAGCCATCTATGTGATCAGTTATTTTGTATTGAATTCCAGCAATAGTTGATTCTGATATTATCATTCACACAAGACGTTTTGAAAAGAGAAACCCCCAACTGTATAATATTACCGACGAGCTGTTATAGTAAATCTCACTATCGTTAACGCAAAACTACACAATATAATTATAGAGGCTGAAGAATAAGTGTCTTAAAAAGGATATTCTTTATTCCTTGGGATGTCTATTGCATCATATTGGGAATTCTTAAGGATCCTATGCATGACTTTGTAGTCTCTTAGCTAATATGCTATCTGTTTCTAGGTGGAAACGTAATGGTTAATATTTTCGGGCTTCTGTCGGCATTGATTGATAATTATGCTATGGTATCATTGTCCAGTTGTACTTCTTTTCTTTCTTCCACAAACAGTGCACGCTACTTCTAACTTTAAATGCATACTGCCTCCACTGTGTTTGTTTGAAACTTATTTCTGTGAATTTTAACTTGCCACAGTTAACACTTCTTATTTTAACGATCGTCTCTTGCTAACTGTTTCATACTTTCAGTTCGGATACACGAGGTTTAGGTCCACGTATACATAATTTGATTGATTATATCTGCGACGCTAACAACCTGACAACGGATATGCGATTAGAAATTGTATGTGAAGGACAAATTCTGATGCCTCAACTACGTCTGCATGATGTTTACACTCAGATATGGTGTGCTAATAGAAATAATGTAAGTGGATATTCTTTTAGTGACGTCTGTTTTACAATATCAATTAAATCCGCCTTTCACATAAACTGAAAAATATTTCTAGTATAATTTGACAAGCATAATAATGCCGTTGAGATTTTTTGTTTAAATTTTCGTAAACCTTAGCATCCAACTGACTAATGTTTCAATATCAGCCTACAGATAATCGTAGACTTCTTTGAGACTTCTTTGACTTCTTTGAGGAACTTCTTCAACCGTACGGCCTGACATTGAGAAATATGCTAATGAAAATTAATTTTCCGGGATTCATTACGTCTTTGCTACCAATTGACAAAGCCAAGTATTTTGAGGGAGTTGTGGAGATTTGGAAATATTTCAAGTTGTTATTCATCGTAGACTGACATCAGTTGGAGGAACGAAAGAAACCTGGGAGCACTGGACAGCTGTTTCGTCCTAGTATGGGACTCCTCAGCAGTGTGCACCTACGACCTCGCCAGGGATCGAATCCGCAACCTTCAGGTTCGTGGGTGCGCACTGCTGAGGAGTCCCATACTAGGACGAAACAGCTGTCCAGTGCTCCCAGGTCTCCTTTGTTCCTCCAACTGATGTCAGTCTACGATGAATAAGAACTTGAAAGCCAAGTATTGTTTATATTTTAACTGCAACATTATATTTTGCATTTATTTATTTTAAGGTGAATAAACCAATGAGATTGCGATATCGTATACCTGGATTAGAAGCAGATAATCTACCTTATGTGGAAAATCTATCCTCAGAAGAAATCCCACCTGAGCAGTATTCGCATATATCTGTATTGGCTACACATCCGCATGGATTAGGAGACTTATTGCGGAGATTGGCTAGTTCACAAAATGCTGTGTACAGTCATGATTTAATGGATGTTATAGTACATATACTAGAGTACTGCTTGAAAACACCTGCGTGTACTGAATGTCTTACAGATCCCGATATAAAGTATGTTACTTTTCTTATTGTTTTTTACTCTGTGTACTTAATCTGAAATTCATTGTCTTTGCCAGCAAAGTTTCATACCTGTAGGGATTCATCGACAAAATGCAGTCGGAAGCTGGGATTAATTGATACTTTTTACAGAATTCTACGTGTTTCCAGTCTAGTTTTTAGCTGGAAGTGCTATTACTAAGCTGTTATTACCTTACTTTTTCACCGGTTAGTGTATAAATCTAACTAATGATTTTCGACTTGCATTAAACAAAGAAATTTAGTTCTTTTTTGCTGATTGCTTCAGTTCATCTTTACCAAACTTCATAACTTTGCACTAAAGTGCCTAGCGGTCAAATTGTACTCTTCGATTGGACAATTCTTTTTTATTTCAATATTGTTCAGCACTTAACGAACTAAATGCTTACATTGATTGGACATTGGCGAGTAAATGACTTCATGTTGTCTAGTCCTAAACGCTTATCGAATCCTGTAGATCATTTTTCAATGTGGTCACTGAGCTTAGAGGTGCACTTTGATCAGTGTTAGATGGTTGAAGGTAATCGACAGAAAGTGTTACTTGACTTAGGTTTTGTGCTTGTTGGTACTGTGAAACCTGAATGTACTTGATTTCCTTTTTAGAGATTGTCATCCAGTTGAGCAGTCAAAGACCTTACAACTAGGGTATTCATGTGACTATTGAACTCCTACAGAACTCGATTCGGCACTAAATTCTTAGCTTGTATAAGTTAAACTTGCTATTTATATGGCTTTTCTATCCCATGGTTATTCAGAAAACAAAATGCATATAAAATGTAAACTTGTCGAACTTACAGTTGCAAAGAAATTTGTTCATTCAGATGAATATATTTTGTGAATGACATTATGATGTCTATATTTCCTTTACTTTTTATAAAAAACAGTGTTGTTTACAGGGTGAAATAAACGGAGAACTTGTTTATTTAGTTCATCTATGTGTTATACAAACCCTCACTTTCTCTTTGAGCTAAATTCAACTTCCTATTCAAATTTGTTTTGTAAAATGAGCTGTACATTGTTAGGACGGAGGCGATGTATTCATCAAAAGCTTTATACATCAGTGCTATGTAATTTAACAATGCTAATTTTCTAGACTTCATGAAAATGGGTACTAGTAACTTTTCAAGTATACCATCGGGTCAACTCAGCTAACGTGTTCAAATTTCTATATTAAACTACAAACCGCAAATCTCTCATGAAGGATAATGCTTCTACTCAACGCGCATTGGTTTGAACTTAGACCTTCAGTTGGATGGTTAACCCTTGTCAACTTGAAGTGTTCTTGACCAATACTGGTGTATAGCTTTATTGTGTATGTTAAATCTTAATCGAATAAAAGAATTCTTCGTTTATTTCCCATGGTTTTCTCTTCCCCTTCTTCGCTTATTTTGTGATCAACAGAGCAATACCTAGATTACTGTATACACTTATCATATGCCTTCAATCAAAACACCAAAAATCTACCAGCCATTCTCAACAACAACAACAACTGTCAGCAGATATTCCTGAAGATATTACAAAACGTTTAATTATAGTGTTCAAGTCAGTCCTAGAATTAGTTGATGCCAAGTTGAATGATAGCGCAGAAAGTCATCAGTGTCCTGTAACTTCATCTCAATCAGGTCAGTAAATTATTATTATTACTGGTGATTACGGTTCTTCATGAATAAGGTTTCAAGTTATTTTATGATATATATAGTAATGAATGCACTTACTTTAACTTTATGGTGTAGTTGTTTGGCTACCCTTCCTTTTCGTTTAAATATAATAGGATTCCTTTTATTTTTGCCTATTGTTGCGATACAAAACCAATGGGGATAGATCTATGCTCTAATATTTCCCCATATTACCTACTAGGCAAGATGTGCATTCAGATAACCACTTCTAGTTATCTGTAATTGATTACATGAAGAAAGTTTTCATATAAGTTTGTGTGGTAACAGCTTTTTTCTAGTTCAACCGGGTAAAATAAGTAACTATAACGAAACAGCGGAACTGTACTTACGAAAATAATTGTATTCACTATGGGGAACTATTGTGTCATAGTAGACTGGTAAATGGCACTCAGGCATTTGGATCAATTGCTTTAATCTTTAAGTGTTCTATGAATGTAATTCAGACGAATACGCCTACTTAGCTGACAAGTTAAAGTCAGAAAGAAATTGACTTCTTTTGAATAGTCATTATGTAATCTACATTATTCCAAGTCATAAAGTTGTGTAATTGGATGTTTTCGTCTTTTGCATGTTTTTTTCTTCTTTTAAAACATAAGGTGCCACAAACTTAGTTGATCTAAATTCAGTACAGTTTTTGTTGAATTTTGTTAAAACCCAACCGAATGTACCAAATATCAGTATAAATGTATCACGCTTACTTGGCTTGATGACATTTTCTGATGAAGCGAAAATGGATGCAATCATCGACTTCTTAAAAGTAAATTTGGATCAGTTGAAGTAAGTTAATGAATACAAGTACACTTTTTAATTAGTTGACTAGTTAACAGACTGTTTTGTTGCGAATTATATATTGTTTGAAGCTACTGCCTAGTGTGAATTTATGTTTCTTCACTTAGTCTATAGAGCTTGAAGTGAGCAACTTGCAGATCATTAGTTTGAATGCATACGCATACATATATTTACTCTAACCAAAGAGTAATGGGATTTCGCTTTTTTCTAAAGTGATAGAGGGGTGTGTCTTTACTTACTATTCACAAAAAACCAAAAGAAATGTTCGCACAACTTTGATCCGGAAACGGAAAACTGTCAACTTTCCCATTAGTCAACTGTCGACTTATCGAAAGAGAAATCCACTAATAATAAGTTAGTCGTAATATTAAAATCTTCGTTTATTCATTACTGAAGAAGATTATTCATTGAGATATTTTCCTCTTCCTGCCGTACTATTGGTGGAGCTGTGGTTCATGGGTTTAGACACTCTACTTTCAACCCCTGCGTCACTTGGTTTGGACCTTGTTCCACCTACCAAGGTTTGAGTTGTCAAGTAGTATCATTAGCCCCTCACACAATAAGTGTTGCTCATGGCCTACCACATGTACGTGATTACTGGAGCATTGCCATTTCGATTATTTACTTTGTTGTTGAATTCTGGATTATTTTACCTATTGGTCACTTCTAGGTAATTTGGCGTATTACGCATAATTTGAACCAGTTTAGGTAAATAAAACTGGCATATTTAATCAACCCTGCCACTAAATTATTCGATAAAAGCGAATTATTAGTGTCTAACTGTGAGCTGTTTGTAACAGAATCAAACAAGAATTGAAGTCATATTCAGATATCAATCGTATTCATCACCGATGTTTTTCCTGAGTTGCAAAGTTTTTAGTGTTCTTCCCTGTTTCTTCTGATTGCTCAGTGAAGAGAAATTGCTTGAAGCAGCACTCCAATTTATTCCAATTCATTACTTATTTACAAAAATACCTCCCAGTCTATCTATATTTTGTTCACACTTGGATAACTCTGAAGGAAAGTATTCTTAAGTGGTCTTCAACAAAATTCCATAAATCTCGGCAAAATTTTTACCTCAGGCAGTTCATATATATAAAGGCACGTACCTCCTTACACCTGTTTCTACTTTGATAATCTGAACATACTCTCGAATATGTTTCCTTTTGTGTTACATATATCTTCGCACTAGTCTTAGATCTTCCATCTGTCTTCCCGTTGTGATTTTCTTTTTGACCTTAGTTTTAGTTCCAAGTAATTTCTTTCGGGTTAAACTTTATACTTTTTGTATAATTTGCCACTTAATTTCTCACTATTTTGATTTCTTCTCTTCCCTTTCTTTTTCTTTGCAGGCCATCAGCTCAATTTACCTCCTCCGAAAATGCCTTGTTAGATTGTTGTTGTTCTTTACTGCTTGCCATACCAAAAAATAGTCGTAATGGTATACTGTTCAAGCAAAGAGTAAAACAGAATGCAATGCTTTTACAGACTAGTCTTCATTTCTTATGGGCAACATTTCCACTATCCTGCATCGATACTAAAAGCGATCAGTCATCTACTACAACCAGTTCTTCAATATCCAAGTATATTGTTATTGAATATAACTGACTATTGTTTTTTTAATCGTATTTGTTGCTGCCTAGAGTTAGATTATTGAATATTGTATAGAAAATAGCCAATATCCACCTCAGTTACAAGAATAATGTTTGAAGCTAGAAAAGCTTCTGGATTGTAACAGAATTCTCATTTGAGTTAAATTTTATTCCATGAACAAGAACAGTCCATCAAATAAGATAGCCTTAAATAGTTTCATGTTAAGAGACAACAGTTAGTACAGTTTTGTGTTGGTTGTAGAAGCTTTCGTTGTTAAGCTAAAAAACCATGACCTGTCATTCTAAATGAGTTCAGATTAAGGGTAAATATTTACCAAAAAGAGAAAATTGCACCTTAAATACCAATGTTTATTGAAAACTGACAAACTCTTATAGATATATCTATCCAATGTAAACTTAGTAAACTGTAATCAATCTGGGGGTCCGACTCGTAAGTCATAAAATCTAATTAAGGAACTCAAACATACTGAAGAAACTTACTACTTAATAACTACTCTCCGAAGTCTATTGAAAAATTCATGAAACTAGTTCACTAGTTACTAGCCAGTCCCAAGCCCGGGTAAAGAGGGAAGGTTGGGCCCTAGGGCTAGCAGCCCTACCCCGGAAAACCAATCCAATCGATAAAGAAACTTAAGAGCACAGAGAAAATGTAAAATTTATACGAGGGAGTGATAATTGCATCATACCTAGGAGGGAATTCAAATCATCTACCATACAAAGAAGGCTAACTGTAAATTTTACGTAGGATTAGATTGGTATTTAAACTCACAATCTCATTTAGAGAGAAACTTTGTAGACTAACAGATCCTGTAGATTCAGTTTAACAAAACGCCATCTATTGATTACCCTGTAATGATTACGAGGTCAAGTAAATGGGTAGGGCGATCAGAGTAATCATAGAATGAGTGGTAAGTTTGGCTATCCTTCTGCAGTGACAACATAGGGTGGGATTACAGTGACAGTTCTATGATTCCATCTAGCTAGACGAAGGAAGAGATTCATCACGAAATCTGTGTTCTTTGAATCAACACATGAAACAGGAATAATTCATCACACATTGAAGATATTTGAAAACATTTAATACCATTATAAGAAAGCAATGAAGAACTGTTGGACTACATAAGTGAAGTTTGAAATATCAAAGCTGAGAGAACATTGAACCGCCATTATCCTCATCCTGAGCTACAAATCTTTTCCATCATTTCAAGTCTGGAAGTCATGTGGTTTATTTGATACGGATATGAGCAGTAAATCCTTAATAATAATAATTTATCGCAGTATTCTATATCAAGTAATATATACAAATTTTATACGGATATTATATACATAATATAACTATCAAATATCAAGAAAATTTCAACCTATGAACCTTCCAACTACATTCTTGACACCGTTGTCAAAGAAATGTGTGATGCTACTAATCATTTATCATTCCATGAAACAAATTCCCACTTCCAAATAACACGATAAACTGGTACTGTGCAGAGACATACCAGCTGTATAAATTTATCTAAGTCTTCATCTGCAAATATGATATGCCCCTTATGCGGGCTAAGCATGAAGTGCTATTATAGGACTAATAATTATGTTTATGTGTTATTATCGTCAGCAATAAATATTCGAGATTACTAGTTAGTAGGGTCTCTGTGTCGTAAAATGAAGTTAAAGCTAAAAGTTATTTACCACTTTGAGTGCTGTCATGAAGACGTTTGTCGGTAACCGCCCAAGTGAATAAAGTTTATTTTAGACCTAGGAGCTTCAAGTTGTGACATTTTAGTGGTTGTTTGCTTCAGGAGCCCCATATACACTGATATTTTGATTTATCAGGATGAAATACCCTCAAACCATAAAGATGAGTCTGTTATCATTCTAATCCATACATCTCTTTTTTGTTATATTCACCACGAACTGTGCGATGTTATAATTCTCCTTCGTACCTTTCTTTAGTACCAGTTAAGTTCATTTGTTTTCTCTATTTTCCTGCGTATCTAGTACAAATGATCCTGAGGTTACTAAATTCTTATCTGAGCCTTCATTACCATATGTTTTACAATTGATGCATGTGTCATTGGATGGCGATCAAAAAGAGAGTATTCTAAGTCAACCTGAGGATGAAGTTGAGGAAGGAAAGACACAAATTAAAGCCTATCAATTACTTCACTTATTCCATCAGTTAGAAACAAGTAAATCATCTGGACGTGTTGGCTTATTGGCCGAAGATATGCTAAATGATTGGGCTAGTAAAGAAGATAACACAACTGCTGTTCCTGGTACAGGAAATCGTACAATCGGTCAGGTTATTCATGATCTACGCGAAGCAACTGTTCGACGTGCACGTTCACTGGCACAAAATATGCGTGAAAAACGTTTGCGTAGCCTTAACATGCGTGTTAATGAAAAAGGCCAAGTGAGTTTATTTTCACTGATGATATCTGAAGACATGCTTATACAGAATTAATTATATTAATGTTAAATATGAAATAATTTCTTCACTTCTTTAACATAAGTAACTGTTTATCCATCTTGTCATCCGCTTCGTAAATATCCGATGAGGATTAAAACAGGAATTCAGTTACGCCTATTTGCACAGTCAGGTCATTAACTTTTGGCTCACTGACTTAGGCGCTGTACTGTCACTCGATGAGTCTCAGTTCAAATCCCACTCTACCTACTTAAACCCTCGAAACTATATAGTATCACATGCCTTCACACTATTCAAAATATTCTCAGCAAACGTTTGCATGTTCATACCCTTGGGCAATGAGTCACACCATCTGTGTAACTACCTAGCTGCCTAAACCTCAGTTTAAGGTGGGTTTGAATCTGTGACCCATTTGTTGAAGGTAAGACACCTAGGTCAGTGAGCCACAACTAAACGCTATATGTGTGACTCATAGCCTAATCCACAAACATATATCTGGACAATTGGCATTTTTATTATGTTTTATATAGTAAAAGGGGCGCATAGCCAGTATGTGTACTCGTTTGTAGCCACTGAAATCTGTCTGTGACTCATTACCACTACCCATATTCTTTCCAGCCGAATATGCGTTGTATGTCAGACGAAACAAGATGAAATTGCATTGGTTTTTGTAATGAATTTAGTAGACTTTGGACATATATGAAGTTTCACTTTTGTACACTCTTTCCAAATCGACTGTTTCAGACCTTAGTAGAGGGTGAATATCTGTTCGGAACACCTACGACCAGCTTTGAAAGCTGCCCGGTTTTCTCGAGTTTTTTGTTCCTGAGCTTGACTTAGGCACTTAATGGTTGTGGAATCCTAGAGTTCAAACAATATGTTCGCCAAACTGATTCCCTTATGGTTATTACAGGAGGATTTTTTTCCCATCTTAAGGTTTGTGAGATTCAGTAATTCCTATTTGCTAACTTATGCTTCAGTCAACCTAACCAGTAATTTTCGTCCATCCTTAAATACAAATACCTGTAGTGTGAGCCCATCTGTCTCTACCTACCCTTTCCTTATCAGATTGTTTATCGCCTCATCAACTCCTGTAAGAGTTGGAGGGTAAATTTAGTGTTCTATTCAGTATCCAACTGGAAAGCAAGTAACTGAAGCGTGATTGAACTGTTTCTAATCCTCCTACTTCATCTTTGGTAACTGGGCTCTATCACAAGCCTCCATACAACACATGTAGCTCGGAGCCTACTGCCTGATAAATGTCTGTGAAATAAAATCACGTCATTTTATTCTTCAAACCTGTTTGTTATTTCTTTGTTCAAACATAAAAATTTACCGGATTAAATTGCTCGCTGTTATTATTATTATTATCATTATTATACATAATATGAGTAGCGCCCAATCAGTTTAACAACCTTGCGGGTAGCTACTGATACCTGTTTGTAGCTCATAGCCGCTATCAGTGTTCTTTCCAGTGACATACTCCGTGTTTCGAACTAACCAGGGTAGAATGAATTTTAAAGACCTCAGTTATGCATAGAATTTTACTTACGATAATAGTTAAGGGTGGAAGCTTAGAAGTGACTAACTACTATTATTTCAGATTACATTTATTTTCTGAATAAATTTTTTTTTCATAATAGTCAACCATTTAGAATGCACAGAACCGTAACGGAAGCAGTTCCTCACAATGTTAACTGGTTGAAACCATGTAGAAATTTGCATTGTTGAATATAGCAACCAAAATTCTGTAGGGTATCGTAATAATCCACGTGAATTCTTGTCTCGTATACTGTCATTTATTCCATAAAATATCATTATACACAGTCAACTGTCCCAGTTTATGTTTTCTTTCAACTTAATTCACTTTCCTGACACCGTTTCTCTTTATATGCTTTTTTGTCAATCTAGGTTGCAATGGTTGAAACAGATCGACTTAATAAGATGACTGCTGTTCTTCAGGAAGAAACAGGTTTATCATGTGTTATATGTCATGAAGGACAACGTATTGCTCCAAACGAAGCACTTGGTATCTACGTGTATGTTCGTCGGTGTGCATTAGAAGAAAATCTCTATATGACAGGTTGTGAATCAACTATTTCTACTAACCCTCCGTCAAATACGCCCAATGGTTATTCAACACTGTCAAATTTTGTAATTGTGCATTTTTCATGCCATACAAAGGTAAGTTAATTCACTCCAATAATATGTATGTACATAGACTTCATAATTTTAAAGATTTTATAAGCTCCAGGATCAAAATTTGACCTGATAAAGTTGAATAAGTTGAGCGTTGTGGAAATGCATTATCAACGAAATATGTTTGTAAAATCCCAATAAGGAATTTATTCTCCTACCTTATCGGGATTTTACAAATATATTTCACTTAAAGATTTATATGAAGGTGTTTTTAACAATTATTATTATTATTATTATTATATGATCCTTGGTATTTAAGTAATATGTAGCGCAGCATCTTCGGCAAAAGTTATTAGAATTGATGACTGACTGGAAAATATTCTAAAAGGAGTAAAAAAAACTTGCTGTTTTGCAAGATGTTGATGGAGCACACAGCTAAGACATGAACCTGAATCAGGTTCACAAAAGGGCATTCATTATGATCTTTTAGTATTCTATGAGTACTGAATTTAACTTTCTTGATAAACATTTCTTCACAGTGTCCACCATTGTTATTCTCATCATCGTCATCAATAATAACAATAATAATAATACAGCTCAATCCTAAACATGTGTTCGTATGTCCTGGGCTAAGAACCATTCTTATTTGTATGTGAGCACTAATAGCACGATTCGTTATGTAGGTTGAAGTATGTGTAGCAGGATTGCACTAGTTGGACATTAAACGGACTGCTGAAGAGATATTGTATTCCAATCTGTGACTACCTAAATGTATGCATTCTTCAGGAATTTTCAGCTCTTACATTTCCATGAATCATAGATAATAAGTATATTGAGGTATACACTACTCATTAAATGGAACGAACTAAATAACTAAGATGAATACGAAAAGCTGTAGAAGAGTTTTCGGTGGGTACTGTCTAACCTTCCAAATCAAGCTGAAAGCCTCAAAGAAGCTGGTGAGGAACCACAGTTGAAGTTCAACATCCAGAACAGTAATTGGAGGACGAAACTAGAAACGACATCTTCACGTCAGGCATCAGGAAATGGGACATTAAGCAACATCCCTGAAGAAACCTCCGTGGAAGAACACTGAAACTCTTTGAAAGCTATGTGGAAAGAAACCTGCACAACCGTATTAGGAAGGAAGAAGAAACATGGCAGGACAAGGAATGGATCTTGACGGACACATGGAAACGGATAGAAGAGAGGAAGATGGCGAAACAGAAGATAAACCATTGCAAGGATAAACAACGAAAAGAGGAACTGAATACAAGTTACAAAACACTACACTGGACAAAGAAGTGAAGGAGAGAACACGGAAAGACAAAAGACACTTCTACGACACACTGTCAAGTGAAGTAGAACAGGCTGCATGTAGGGGAGACTAAGACCTGACAACATTATATCAAATAACCAGGTTACTATCTGGGAGGGAATATATCAACACAGATGAAACCAACAAAAGATAAATAGTGAAGGAAACTTAGTTACCAAAGAGGAAAAACAAAGGGAACGATGGGCTGACCACTTCGAAACACTCTTGAATCGACCATCACCACCACGACCACCTGCAACCCGTCCAGAAATACCACCAGCAACACAGCGACAGAACTATCAGAAAAACCCTCCGACAAAAACAGAAGCGGTCTTGAATGTCACGAAGTTACTGAAAGCCAAGAAAGCAGCAGCACCAGATGGAATTCCGCCAGAAGCGCTGAAAATAGACGCCGAGACAACAGTGGACATGCTCACACTACTGTTGCAGAAGGTTTGGAAGGAAGGGAAGGTATCTGCCAATTGGAAGTAGGACTACCTTTTCAAACTCCAAAAGAAGAGTGACTTAAGTCTTTGTAAGAATTGGCTTGGAATCATGCTCCTGTCCCTCTCCACCCCAAGCAAAATATTAAGCCACATCATCCTGGAGAGACTAAAATATGCTCTCGATTCAAAATTATGACCTGAACAGGTTGGCTGACTGGATTCAGGAAGTACGAATCATGTGTGGATCAACTTGCAACACTTCGCTACGCATCATCATAGAATGGCAGTTAACGCCTTACCTCAACTTCATCGACTTTGAAAAGGACTTCGACGGCGTAAACCGAGAAGTAATTTGACAGCTGCTTCGACACTACGGTTTTCGTGCCACGAACCCTTATCAACCTCATTCAACAACTATATGACTACGCCACATGCCAAGTGATTCACAATGGAAAGCTCAGCTCACTGATACTTTTAAAGTGAAGACAGGAGTAAGTCAAGGTTGCCGCCTACGGTCACCGATGATCTTCCTGATTGTAGTCGACTGGACTGAACCATGCAACAAACTGTGAGGAGCGAGAAAAGGGGCATACGCTGGCTGGATTGATGAAAAGAGTCTAGACGATTTCGATTATACCGATGATGATTTATGTGTAATATCGCACAAACTCGAAGATCTACAGACGAAAACCAAAGAGTTGGCAGAAGAGGCAGAGCAGCGAAGACTGGACTTCAATTGAATGTAGAAAAGAGAGAGATGATGAAGATACGCGACCAGCAGCAACAATAACAACAACAACAACAAGCACCAATCGTCATCAACGGGAGAAACCTGGAGGAAGTTTTCTCGTTCACCTACCCAGGCAAGGCAGCATGGTTTCAACTACAGGTGGTGGCGGCACAGATGAGGACGTCAAAGCCAGGATCGGAAAGACAGCAAGACAGGTCTTCATCAAACTAAAATCAGTGTGGAGATCTGCTGCACTGCACTCAGCTCAAAGAACAAGATCCGGATTTTCAATATTAATGTTAAGTAAGTCAGCGCTTCTATGTGATGGTTGAGAGACTTGGCGTGTTACTAAAAGCATTTCTAACGAACTGCAGACATACATCGAGTGCCTACTTTTTATACTGGAGATCAGATGACTAGGATGATAAGAATAAGCAACAAGAAACTCTGGATGGTGACCAACCAACCAAGAAGTTATCGCTCAACACGTATGCAGAAGGAAGTGGAGATGGATTGGACTGGGCATGCACTGAGAAGACCATTTGGGGACATCACGCGCCAGGTCGTGGAGTGGAACCCGCTTGGGAAACGACGAGTTGGGTGTCCGAGGATGACATGGAGGAGATCTTGTGAGGAAGAAATGAAAGCTTGTGAGCAGTCGTGGAGCCAGGTTCAAAAGACTGCAGAGAGCAGAGTGGAATGGAGACGTTCTACTGAAGCCCTATTTTCCATTAGGAACCTAAGGGGCAAGTAATAATAATAATAACACTATTTCGATTCACATTCTCGAACGTTTCGGCGACCTACTGATGAACCCTGTTGCGATCAAAAATGTTTCTGTATCCTCTAGAGTGATCATGCACTCATGAACTCAAACTTGATTCCGGTGTTTAACTTTTTGTTATCTGTTAGAAGCCTTTGGTCAAGAATGTCTCAGTCATCAATCAGAATGTGATAAACGCTCGTTACGTAACACTATGACGAAGTAAGTTTGTTCCCCAAATTCTTCGTCAACAACATTAATATGACCCTGGCATAGATTTGTGCTGCAAACCAAGTATCTAGTGATAGCTGGATATCACTGATGACTGATTTTTTTGATGAATAGGTTGTGTTCTCTGAGTTGGAGTGTTTAATCGTGGAGCTTTCGTTGTCATTCAAGACAACATCGTTAGCACGAACTTCAGAAAGTTTGTACTGACTTCATCTAAAATGACAACAAAAACTCCGGGATTAAACAATCTAGCTCAGAAAAGACGTCATCAAATTATCCTCCTTAGCTGCAAATATTCTCCATTATCTCAAGAACTTTATAGTGTTTTGAGTAAATTGCGGTCCTAACAAAGTTTTCTGTCTAAACTTGAAATAACAAATACTTCATTACAAACTAGAAATTATTATTGAGTTAAAATTTTTTATGGAGTTTCATGAATGATGATACTGTTGTGCATATGATTGAAATGTTTATTAGGTTAAACTTAAGTTGAGGAGAAAATATCACTACAGGTGATATCGACTCTCTAAATTCTATGTTAACGAGAACAGGATGAAGTAATGGAGATTTGTAGCTACGAGGATAGGGATGGTTTGTTGTTCCTCGAGCTTTCGTTTTTCGGGATGACATATCCACAATACGTTTTATCAGATTTCGGGATAACGATGTATAACACGTGTCAAATTAATGTCTATCTATGTGTTCAATACTAAGTTATACATTTTTTCAGTCATTTAGATCTTCTTCGGAAAACGAATGGACAGTCGCTCAACGGCATAATTGGGATGTTGGTTGTAACAATATCTTGCCAATATTAAGTCCACCAACTAGTAGTAGAAGTGCTTCTACCAGTACCGATGGTATCTCGTCAGATAATAAAACTTCATCAAAGACTGGACAACAACAAGCACCAGATACTGTTTACGCTGGTCATTTGGCTAGCTTCATGGATTTCATTATGGTAAGCGTTTCGATTTTGCCTTACATTGATGTCATGTTTTGCATGTAGAAAGAAGGTGCTTCGGTAAAGTGACTAGATTTAACAGTTTCTTATCCTTCCAAATGCTACATAGATATAAGCCAGCATCACCAGTAAAGCATCACTGTAATAGCTGATTTACTATCCGTTGCCTAATTCATTTACCTCTGTTATCCAAAATGTGATATATGATCCTTATACCCTCATCTCTTTCACTGATTAGTACTTTTTCTGGCATTTCCCCTTGATTGAGAATAGATCGCGTTTACGTTGAAACACACAAAATCATGATAAATCAGAATGTTGTAGTGTAGGTTAACTAATTAGTTCACTACGTGGAGATAATGTAAAGAGTGATTAGATGGTTGGATAATGAAGTATACATGTGAATGGTGTCTGATTAGCAATAATTTCGAATCTCAAAATATAAGGGGAAAAAATCTACAGATTTCCGTTGAACAGTTCACTTCCTTTAGGCTAAAATGCATAGTATATAAGTTAAATGAGCAGTGATGAATATTTTTAGAGTCAATTAGCATTCGATTTAAGATGTTGCTTCTTTCCAGTTATCTTTGATTGTCATCTAGTGTATATGGCTCAACACCATGTTAAGAATCTTATATAACCACCAATAGATGTACCAGCTTGAATGGTTGATCTTGCTGATATGCCCTTATTCAATGCGATAAATTAACTAGAATAATAGTCATAGGATGGATAGAAGAGGTTTGAATATAGTCGAAATTCATCCTTTTAGTCTCTTATTGTAGGTTTGATTTGTGTAGAAAAGTATTGTCTTTTTCTAAGTGCAGCTACAGGGTCGACACAATTAGAGCATTACTTTCAGTATATACATCATATTCTACGAATATTGAAACCATATTTATAACGTGCGGTTGTTTACTTACTGGTTTACGCTATAAACTCTCAAGAAAATCCACGTATCTGGCACTATGTTTTACTTCTGTGCCATGTATTTGAAATGGGTAGAAAGCAAAGCTTATCTCAGTGTATGATATCTATGTTCATAAAATCATTTATTGAATATACTTGCATCAGTGTATGCTTTCATGACAGAAAACTAACAGTGATTGTTGTGCACTTTGTTCAATCTTCTAACAGAAAAACACCGTCTATTTTGATACATGGTAGTTGACCTTGTCGTCTATGAAACATTCTACTTTTTTTAACACTAAAAATGGTATTTTTCGTAGGATTAACAGCAGAATGCTGACATTTTTGAATCATTTTCGACCACGTAAGTTTTCACACTATTCTCCTTGTATTCAACGATTCTATTAAAGCATGCCGTTTATTTGCTCACTTGTATAGCATAAACTTAGTGTTTGTCCTGGCTATGTAATGGCACTACACGATATCAAACTGCTGTTATTGCGTTTCGCATGCAATCGAACATTTACTTTGGAAACTGGTGGTGGTGGTAAAGAGAGTAACATGCAGCTATTACCACACCTAATGCAAGTAAGTAAATACATTTGTAATCATTATCGTTCTTCTTATGATTCTTATTAGGCTGTTGTTTGTGTCTTCTAAATAACCGCCTACATATTATATCTCTTTGATGACCTCATAAGTCCTGAAGAAATACTCAAGATAGGGCTGAGGTTACTTACGTCGCAATATCAAGGGTATTATGGCAAACTTCTATATATGAATTAATATCAGTTGGTCCAATCCATCTACCTGGTATAGTTTTATGTAGTAGCCTATGAGTTACAATTATTGTCTGTGAACTTATGGTATTGTACTGTCGCCTAAGTTGAAATAAGTCGCAAGAGGATTCGGACCTAGGGACCATCGGCTAAATTTCGAATGCCCAGGTCGTTGCGATACAGTTTACAATGTGAACATGTATTCAGTTCAGTTGTATAATATTTGATTACAATTGTTTGATGATATGGGGATATTTTCTGTGTTTCGTAATTTTTCCTACCACAACACCCATTTTATTATGGAATCACCATGCAGAACTATCCAATCATCACACTTTGGAATGCTGTTCAAAGCATTTAGATCACTGGATTATAAAACGAATTTTCGTTTTTTTTTTCAAAAGTAAAATCATTTCCTACTTCTGTACTTCTATTCATCTATCGTAAATCTTGTTCTTGAATGAAATACTGGAAGACTGAAGTGGTCCTGAGAAGATAAAGGAATGAATAACAGGTGGTTATAGAGTGTTTGACTGTCAGTGTGAGTCATGATAGGAGTCGTAGTCTCCGTTCTTTTCTTGAGAGAGTAAGATTTCCCAATTTGAAATTGTGTCGTAACTGATTTTCGTTCACATCAATGTAATTTAATTGGGTGTCTATATTAATTCTTCAGAGCTTAGTCTCCTGTGAATTTATTTATTTAAAAGTGATATTTTATTTTACACAGGTCTACTTACACTCACTATTGATGAGCTCTCATGTCGACCAAGAACTGGAAGCTTTAAAACAGTTTGCTGAAGTTCCTCCAGCTTAGTAAGTTACTCATAGTTTATGTTTTGCTCAGTGAATATTTCATGTTATCGTATGGTTATTCATTGCACAGCAAGTTTTATTTAAAATCTGTTGTGAAACGGGCTTTTTGTTGGAATGTTTTACCTAATAAACTGATTAGGATAACCTTATTTGGCAGGAACTGTTATTCAAGTTCAGAAAAAACAACATGGATACTGAGTTGAATCACTCGCCTTTGGATCGCTGATACGGGCAATCTACTAATCATACTGAAGACTGGGCTGCTAATTGGGTCTCAACGTCACTTTAGGCAACTACATGCTATGTTCTATTTATAACGTTTTCTTACTCCCGGGTACAAGATTACATGGCTAAGTCTAGAACTAACAAAGCTTATTGAAGCTGACTATATTCTGATGGGAGATCATAACTACAGGGTAATACTACTCATGAACTGGCATCATTTAGAGAACTACTCAAAACCTTCGAGCACCGGACAGCTGACTGGTCCCAATCGGAAGCTTAAGTGTATGAGGTTTCAGAATGTTTATCTGAGTCATGTAGGGAAATGTAGACTTCCTGGTTAGGGCCCACATGACATCTGAGAACGATTGTTGGAGACTGTAGGCCATAAGGCCCAGAAATGACTTCAGTGGTGCTGATGCATCCACATATTATCATCTTAATCGTCATACCGAATTTCATCATCTTTGTATCTCTTGTTGTTCTCTTATGCTTTTCTACCACCATTGATAACTTTTTTCCTCATTTATCCATCTTTCATTTTTATGTCTTCTACCTTGATGTGTTGATGCGAGGTGTGGCTGAAACCGTTACTTTGTAACGCTAGGTTTCATGTTGATCCTGATTGATTGCATAGTTCAAACCGCAGTTAGAGTGGCAACAATGGATGCATTATTCAGCTTACAAAACATCGGTTGTTCGAAATCCTACAAACTAAATGCTAATATATCTAATGCAATACTTAACTAATTGAACACGTCAGCATATCACAGCTGTAATTGTTTCATATCCCCTCATTTGTAAGTGGTTAAGCAAATGGCGACTCGTTAAAAAGGAGCTGGATGGGGGATAATAGACTACAAACGCATGGGAGACGTGAAATTAGTATGGTAAGATATTTGAATTTGAGGTCTACACCAAGAATGAGTGCGTGTCTCTACCTCCATCCTTATCACGTAGTCTTCAACCTCCAGCTTCCACATCGGTTGGCGAACCATTGAAAATCTAAAAGCAGGAGACAGCTATTCCTTTCTAGTATGAGACTCTTTGACAGTCTGCAACCACAATCTCACAAGGGACCAAATTTCAAGCCTCTCACCTAACTTGCTCGACACCATAAGTTTTGACTTTCTATTAATACCTTTACAACTTTATGAAAAATTCCATGCTTGTTGAATTAGTTTGCTACAGTGAATCTATGGTTCATTGAGTCAAATGCTTGTTTTTTAAGTAGCAATTCGTGGATTGGAACTCCTTTTCACTACGGTTTAAGCTGCTTTTACTAGCCTTCACACAGTGGGTATGACCCATTCTGTACTCCTACATAGATATATAAACCTACGTAAATATGAACGCTTTTTATTCTCATCACATTATCTGTCTGTTTTTATAGTTGGATGAATTCAGATAAATGTTGGAATACTACTGGACCATTATATCGTATAGTAGCCGCTTTACATTTATGGTCACACGATGAATGGCTTAAAAATCGAGTAATCATGTTGCGAAGTTTATTGTATATGGCTGTGGGACGTTCAAACAACCCAACTAGTTCTAATGAAGTTTCTATGTCATCAAATAGCACTAATGATAGCCGATTTGCAATAATTAAACCATATCTAAATTACTTCGGTCTTATCGATTCTGCTTATGAATATTTATTCAAAGTAAGCTTGATTTATTGCTTATTATTGTATGTATTGTATTCCCTATTTTACTTGATTATTGTTTCACTGGTTACCATATATTTTTGCACTTTATTCAAAGTTTATGAAGTACAGGAAATCGTACTATGGAAATGAAAACACTGAAGGAGGAGGGAGAAGGAGTACTTCGAAGTTTTAAATGTTTGGATCATTCTGAGATAAGAGGGAGTAGCTCCTAAGAATATCTATTGTATTTACTGTAACTAAATTACATAGTAGACATCTTTCTGTTGGAATTTCTTTCTATCTTCCTGCACATTTTAGGGATTACCCTACTACGTGGTATTTAAAAGAAATTTCTTGTCTGTAACACTGTCAACAAAATAGTCTGTTAATTGCGTTCAGTTAAAATGTTTCATATCTAACAAAGGAAAACTGAAGCTTTCAAACCGGCTATAGTTATACTGCATGGTTTGTTTGTTGACTGTTTCATTTACATAGATATTCAGGTCAGCTGTGGTCTATCAGCTAGTGAAATTGTGACACTGATGATAATTATCAGCTTACCCAATCTATGATACTGTTATGAAATTTTATAACGCTTCACGAACATGGCTTTATTATATCAATGCATTTTTTTTGTTAAAACTACTGCAAGTAGACAGCATTGGAATTACTCGAAGTATTCAGTTGCTAATGCCTTCGAAGCAAGATTTTTATTCAGTAGAACCGGTTGGTGGCTAGTGTTGACCTAAATGAAAAACTTTAAGGTGAAGAAAGTTAATAAGTGTGTGAATTTTCAAATCTGCATTGACTTTTGTTGTCGATATGTTTCACTTATTTCCTAATGATCAACTACTTTTGATGAAGTTGCACTGAAGGATACTGTTAGGGATGCAGATATCCCTTATATTCCATACTTACAAATTGTATATATTTGAACAGTTTATTCGCACTCTTATCCCCGTACAGAGGTCACATTTCATATAACACGCTAGCGTTCTGATTGGCTCTTGCCTCTTTAAATATATTAATTACTCCTTTTTCACCCATAAACATTTTCAGTCTAAGATACTTAAACTCAGTTGATTACCAGTCTTTTGATTTTTCCTTTGCGAATCGCTCCAGTTGAACCGTCTCAACCCTCGACTATCAATCGTAAGTTATTATCGTTCGTCCTCACATCTCTCCGTCATAATAGGTATACCTTAACTTTCATCGATATTTCTGTATCCATGAAAATTCATCTTCAGACAGGAATAAAACTACCATGAAGTGCACATCTCTGAAAATACATAAGATTTACCAAGTCACAAATATTCTTTCAAATGCTTTGAAAACACGGAGATTAACTTGATCAATAATTGATATAAGTACAGCAATCACTGAAAATCAGGAAGCAAGTAATCGCTACCTAATCGTACTCTATTTTAGGTGGAGTTATAAGTGATTAGTATCGGTATATGCACTTAACTTCCAATCGGTGGGTTACGGGTTCGAACCCCGCCCTGCCGAGGTTTGGTCAGCCAAGTAGTTGTATCATTAGCTCTCGCACAATATGTGTGACTCGCTACCTACCGTATGAACGTGCACATGGCTCCTCAATGCATTGTGACTTTTTTTTCACCCTGGTATGATATGTCATAAGATTGCCCAGATCCTTCTAGATCCCTATAGTTTTTCACAACCAATCAACATACTTTGAAGTTTGGAGAAAAGAAACGTTATCTTAAGTGTAAATATCCGATTGTTTCAAGAGACAAAATCGATGAAAAACCTCGCACAAAGGTGCAGCGGTCCAACTTATCATACTTCACAGCAGCACGTATAACAAAAGTGGGCATAGAAAGTGCTGATGGAGTCAAAAAACCTGGTAATGAAACTTATTATTATATTAAACCTAAGCGAACAACAAAGTATTTCTATAAGATTACATTGAATGTTATGTATAGGGGATTAAAAATAGAATCTGGGTAGAGTAATAACCTTCACTTTTTGCAGATCAATTGAGTTAGCCAATTACATCGTGGCTTTAAAAACTTGGCTCTGTAGATCTAAAATATTGATATCATTTTGTATTATCGAGTCAAGAACTTCAATTTTTCCATTGTCATTTGCGTCGCAGGATAAATTGCTAACTTTACCTAGATGCTTTAATTTCCCGTTTCATTAATTTCTTTTCCATAGAATGTTCAATTCATAAGTACAACAGAGTGTAAAGCAATATCGAGTATATCAACTACACAGACGTCATCGTGGCCTATTTCTTTATCACACTACATTCGAACATCAGATGAAGCCTTAATGATTGCAGCTCCAAAGTTCCTGGTATATTTTGAGCAGAATCTCTTGACAATTGCAAGCATAGAAGAATTCCTAGATGTTACAGGTATGTTCTATCAAGTAGACAATTTTAAATTCCATTTTATTTTGGTATCCTAAAATCTCTAGTGAACTGATGACATGAGTTGAACACCCGTTAAAACCAACTACTACTTACATGACACTTCTCATACTGTTGGAGAGTTTTAAATGTATGGTGCACAGCTTTTGAATGCATTTCAGTTTGTATTAGACTATCACTTTTGTGATATAGAACCTATTGAAATATTTTGGTAATTATCTGCATAATTCTCTTTCATTTATCATACTATTAACCTGTTCCAATCCTACTGTATACCAAAAAAAGTTGGGGATTTCAAACAGCCGGATGAAAACTTGATGATGTAAAGGTTTATTGATTTAAAATGGAAGTTCCTGCCAAACATATCACCTTGTGAATAAATACATTTTCACATTTGGTCAAAAAAAAGTACAACACACAGCTTAACCACACAAGTTTTCAGAAGTCAATCGTATCAATGAGCCCTAGGTTTGACTAACCAAATCTAAGCAATTCAGTGGCTGAACATTTCATTTGATATAAAGTAAAGCTTTACATCCATACGACTGTGTACTAGTGGAATGCAATTAACACAATCTCTATAATTAAACATGTTAAGTAATGGCGATGAGATTGGCTTCGATCTCTCTATCATTGATTCTATACATACAAAGATGCTTTTATCAATTTTTTATGCATGTTAGAATAGTAACTTTCGTGAAGACACGTTATGATTTCATTGCATCATATTACTTAAAAACAGCTTGGTTTTCAATGGTGTTGAAATGAGCCATAACTGCATAATCTCACATATCCCCATGAAAATACTGTGTGAACTCGATGACGATTTACATCTTCATATGTTCATTCGCACGTTATTCAAAGAAACTACCATAACTGATGCCTCTGGTGTTCAATACACGCTCGAGTCTCTAAGGCAACCAAAAGTATAAGGTTGTAATTACACGAAATTGTTAAATGTCAAAAGGTCCAAAAACGATACCCCATTGCTTCTTATTTACTGAGTTTAAGCTCCCAGCACTGAATAACTATTTTCAACCCGATCTTCATTATGATCTTGTACCAAATAATAATAATAATAGTGGTGATAATAGCAATAATAGTGACATACGATTTGATAACTAGTGCAGTACTAATTTCTTCGTGAGAAAGATCATCATGGACCGTGTAATTTGCCAAGATCTGCAAAATGGTCAGGCACTACCAATTTTTTGATAGCTGGTATCATAATATAGCTGTGATAAAGATTTAACCAAAATATCTCTGTTGATTTTTTTTATTTTTCTCAATATGAAACTTAATTGGTTCTGTTAAATTTCCTTAAATTGAAGGTCTATTGGGAAGTGTCAGTTCAGAAGAATTGGAAAGCATTATGGTCAGTACAGCTAGTCAATAAATCCTAATTACTACCTCCCTTGAAAAAGGAGCATATGTGTGTAGTCAGCGAGTAACTCATCTTGTATTCTCACTACTGATATTACGACTGCCTATAGTTATTTTTGGAAAAGTTTTTTTTAAATGTACCTTCGAAGTTTTTGTTTGTTACTACTATGATTGTTCACGTTGAGAGACTGTTGCTATCTTGAATTTCCGGTTGACGCTCTTCAGTTCCGACACAGTATAAAGATTTTATTAAAGGCAAAGTATTAAGTTTTGTTGTTTCCTTCTCTCATGTCGTTGCTGAATTCCCTGCTTTGTCCCCCTCCACAACCATAATCTGTCCTCAGTTGTTTACTGTTCCGAAAGCCATCTTCATAAGAGAATTATAGTCTTATATATTATACGTACTATATCAATGAATAGAGTTCAGTTGATGTCACTCGATGATGGACGTTTATCCTGATAAGTAAATATATACATGCATAAAATTGAAAAATGTCTTTTTCATTTCAACTCATTGGTTTTACGTGGATATCCCTAGTGTCTTTTGAAATAGCTTCACTTTTAGAATAAGCACTCAGATCGATGATTCAAAATGGGGTTATTGTAGGATGAAAGGTGGTTAATAATCATGCTGCTGAACAAAGCACTATCCTAGAAGGTGAATAATTCATCGAATTCGACCGTAATTCATTTTTACTCTCAACTTACCAATCTATTGTAAATACAAATTTCTTTCAAGTTTAGATCAGATGAAGAAGTACAACTTGACAAACAGTGTGCCAAATCGGTGTGATAATATACGTATGTTTAATAGGCGGAAACAGCTTGGTGGTCAAAGCCAACTTAACTTAAGAGTTAAGTAATTCCATATTAGATTTCTTTACTTGATATAGCATACAGTTGTACATTACTACTTACATGATTATATTTTGAGCATAAATTATCGCTCATAATCACACAACTTTGGACGTCTGATTTTCACAGTCGTTACCACGTATTCTTTGTCTTTAGCGGTGGTAGAATACACGTACACAACTTTACAATAGGGTGGGATAAAGACACTGTACTAAAACCCGATATAATTAGGTGGAGAGGCAAGTTGATTATTAAGTCTTTGTTAATCGAACCAAAATGTAACAGATACGGCGTAACACCTATACCGGAGATGTGGAAGGTTTCGCTTCTATTAAAAGCAAGGAATAAAAGCTGATAAGACTAAAAATTCGATGTTGAGAGATGTAAAGTTACTTTAATATGACGATAAGCAATAATTTATGCTCGAAACATCAAATAAGCTAATCCAATATTGAACTATATTCCCACTAGAATATCCAAATTCTACGCTTATATTAAAAGTTAGTTCTGTTGTTGGAACACTGTCTATTGTATCCTTGTCAGTATACTCTGACTAGTTGGTATGTTCAAAGCCAACTAACGCAACGTCCGACAGTCGTAAACTTAATAAAAAGTGCATTTGCCAAAAATATATAGACCCAAAGCGTGCATGTGGCAACTCAGAGTCAAATGCCATTGGCTGGCTGGCAGCGTCAGTCCCTGAAAGTGTTTCTATTGCTAAGAGCTGGTCACGAGGAACAGCGCTATATCTGAAATCTAACCACCATTGGTTCAAATCGAGTCACACCAATCTTTTCGCAATTCCAAGCATCAGTATATATTTCGTTACTAAAAAATAAATGGTCAGTATCCAGAGTTTACTGTGCTGCGCGTAAACATCGTCCATTAATTTTGCGTCGCTCATTAGTTCTACGTGAATTATACATTGTTACATTTAATAATTAATACGATATTTCAACGTGAAATTAATACTAAACTTTAAACATAGAACCAATTGCAGTCATCTCATCGCTTGAACATATGTTAACCAATTTAAACAAGCTCCACGAAATGGCTGCAGCTGTTTTGTTCTGACTTCACACTTCTTCACAACTTAATATACAAACAGAAACAGCAAGGTCCTGTAGTGATTACACTTCCCACTATAGACCGATGGATCAGAAGTATACATCAATAAGAAATTACTATTTACATAACATAAATTAGGACGCAGTGAATTTTTTTCGAGTTTTTAAACGATAAAGTAGTCACTATACAATGGTAGATAAATCATAAAACGATTTGCATATATATAATCGTTGTTATTTAATTTTTCGATAATTGTACAAAATCGGATAAACGTTGTTCAGTGCCTCATGGAGATGTTCACGTAATTTAGCTCCTGCAAATAGATGGGGGAAATGCACAATAGTTTATCATCATAGAATTACTTTGAAAAACTGGAAAATATTTTTTTGTATTTTAACTTAAACAGATAAAAGACTAGGTACCAACTAGCAAGAAAGAAAACTCATTGTGAAACAGAATGTGATTGAATAAATGAAACCATTGTGTCAGTTTGAGTTAAGGATCTCAGTCGGTCAGATGATATTGAGAAAAAATAAGTCAATGGTTGATGAAAGTACTATATGATAATTTGTAGTCTGAATCAAAAGTGAGTCTACTTTAATTGGTGAAAGGTAATTTTTACGCAATCGTTCTCACTTCAAATATAAACAGTTGTTGTTACTGGCATTATTAAATTTACAGTTTGCGTAAACCACCTTGTTTGACCCTCAAGTATAATTCCGTTTTGGTCTGTATGTTAGACATCATATAATGGATCCAGTAAACTGTACTCTTTCGCTGTATGAAATAAACTAGAGTGGAGTTACAATCTACCACAGAGCCCAAGCTTTACGCCTATATTAACACCAAATGTAATGTGAATCTTTCATGTAAAAGATATGAATATTCCTAAAATAAACTCTGAGGAAAATGAGTGACAGGAACAAACTGACATTATTAAACTTGACAATTGACAAGAATTCTTGAACGTATATGTATTGTGTTGGTAAACGCTCGTCCTCCTTAAAGTGCACAACACTTGAGATTAAGCCGTTTCGTACCCACTAACCAGTATATTTTGATTACCAAAATGCATTCCATATTAGATTTGTTTATTTGATTTATAACACACAGTGATCTAGTATAATTTACTTGTATTCACTGGGTTATAAATCGAATAAACAAATCTAATATGGAATTAAATTCTACAGCAATGCCCAAGTTTTACACCTATAAGATTGAAGGATAGTTGTGTTACGTTAGCACCTATAGGTGACTCACAACCCACTGAACAGGTTCCAAGTGATAATTCAACTCAGGGGCTCAAGGTGATAGCAGAAATGGCTCGCGATTGAAAACAGTGGTGAAAAATCTGCAGTTTTCTGACTCCTCTGACTGAAAAGTAAAACGAAAGTAGTGAAAGCATCTTCATGTTCATCTTTAGTGATAATTCATTTATGTTCTTTTCTTTATTTTCTCTTTCACCTTCTGTGTTCTTTGTGCTGCTTTGTTAGTTTGTACGGCACATCTCTTGTTGTCAATGCTATTCCAAGTTTGTGTCCGAAATGAATAATAGTTAACTAGATCGAGCATTCACTCTGTCAGCACTCATACTTTCGGTAACCGAATGATGGATAACCTATTCGATTCAACATTTTAATATCGGAAAGATGCCGGGTGGCCCAAAACCAACTTCTGCTGTGGAATTTCGTGCTTGCAAGAAATAGGCTAAGATCTGTGCAAGACTGTAGGGAGAAATCCCTTTGGTGACGGAACACATCCCCAATTATATCCGAGTGGTGACTAGTCAAATCTTAGAGAGAGATAATCGAAAGCAATTGTTTCATCAGCTAATTAGTGTTCTGGTTCCTGCTATTCATTTCAACCAGTTGTTCAAAATTCCATATTAGACTTGTTTATTTAATTTATAATACAGTGATACAGTGTTATTTTTATTGATGACATTTCGAGCACAAATGTATTGCCCATAATCGTATGAATGTAATCACATTACTTTCGACATCTGATTTTTACCGTCCTGTCACCTCATATTGTCTTTATTGTTAGTAAGATTTTCCATATCTCTGGTACAGGTGTTGTATCATTTCTATTACATGTGTTGGATGCTGATTCGATGAACAAAGGATCCGATAGATCCAATTAAGCAAAACAATCTAATTTATCAAATTCCACGTAATAACTACCAGATCAAGTATGTATGTCAAACTAGCCTGGTTGGTCGGGGTCAGTTAGAACAGGGGAACATACGAATCTAGCTAAATATACAATGACAGACCCCAATAAGATCAATCATCTAGAAAAGCACTCAGCTACTGCAATGCACACAATCGGGTGGGATAAAACCAATGTACTTAAGTCTAATAAAATTAGATGGAGAGAGAGATATTGATTACTGAATCTTTGTTCATCGAATCAACACCCCAACACATGTGGTCGGAATGACGCAACACCCATACCAGAGATATGGAAAATCTTACTAACAATAAAAACAAATGATGTGAGGTGATAGGACGGTAAAAATCAGATGTCGAAAGTAATGTGATGACATTGATACAATTATGAGCGATACATTTGTGCTTGAAATGTCATCAAGTAAATAACACTGTATTACTGTGTGTTATAAATCAAATAAATAAAATCTAATATGGAATTAAATTCTACAATAGTGCTCAAGTTTTGCGCATGCATTACTATCTAGTTCATGTGTATGACAGCGCTGTAGTATCATTTACAGTCAAAATTGCCTGTCAATATCTAATAATGCCAACATTTTTTTCTATCCTTGCTGGTCGGTAGATCTTCATCTATATTCAGCTAAAATATTAGTCAAGTTACTGTCTGAAATTCATCTCATGAATACATGACTTTCTTTAGTGACATAAATACAGTCTAAATGATGTACAATAAAACACTTTTTACGCCAGGCTTATTCTGCATTAACTTTTTTGATGATGACTGAAGAAGAGAGGCAGAGAAATACAGTAAAATACAAACTACTTACCTGTCATGACAATTTTCCCATTTACAAATATGAGCATTACCAAACGAGGTTTAATAATACGATAGATTAAAGCAGGGAATATTTCAGGTTCGTATCTAAAAAAATAAACGAAGCGAAATTATACTACCGAAGCAAGTTCTACTATGATAAGAACTAAGACTAGTTTCATATTCTGTACGCACTACACCAGACACAAAGAAAACTAAATTTTTATAGAAAGAGGAATTAGGATTTGTAGCTTTGAATGTTTTGACAAAATGTAGATCAAAGTTTTTTTAACACAGTTCGAATCAAAAGTATCACTAAGAACAATATCAGGTTTTTTAGATAGCTCACAACTTATTTCCTAGGTCCATTACACTACAATCTAACTTTGTTACTTTGGTTCAAAAGCCATGTTGTTAACTGATTACTACAATCCGTTGGTTAGAATGTCTCTAGTTACACTAGTAAACTTCCCCTTCACTGAATGGATTTCCATACCAGTTTACACTCATCACTATGTAATTTTAGCATTTATGCACTGACGCAGTTTTGATAGTAACAACTCTGTATCCACGATCAAATTCACGTTAGCATAAGTGTCGGACATGATTTGTATCGGATGACCAAGCTAAGATATAACATCTAGCTAACTTGTGGTTTATAGGTTCAGTCTATGCATTTAATTAATATTCTGTTTAGACCGAGAAAACATTAGGACCAGGTCGGATGTAAGGAAAAATACTCGCCGATAACCTTAGATGATGGTCACGTTATATCATGAATGGACAAAAGAAGGAGAATCTGGACTAGTAAATCTCAGCACACTGACCGAAAGAGAGAGTTTGCCACAAAGTTCGAAGGTCCAGGGGACGAGGGGAACTGCTGAGTAGTCTCATACTAAGGAGAAAGTTTTCCAGTGATTGATTTTCCAACTGATTTTAACCCATGATGAAAACCTACTTTGAAATCAATCGACCCGCACAAAGCACCAACTGATGTGGAAGCTGGAGGTTGAAGACTACGTGATAAGGATGGAGGTAGAGACACGCACTCATTCTTGGTGTAGACCTCAAATTCAAATATCTTACCATACTAATTTCACGTCTCCCATGCGTTTGTAGTCTATTATCCCCCATCCAGCTCCTTTTTAACGAGTCGCCATTTGCTTAACCACTTACAAATGAGGGGATATGAAACAATTACAGCTGTGATATGCTGACGTGTTCAATTAGTTAAGTATTGCATTAGATATATTAGCATTTAGTTTGTAGGATTTCGAACAACCGATGTTTTGTAAGCTGAATAATGACTCCGATATTACCGCTCCAGCTTCGATTCAAACTATGCAATCAGGTAAGAATCCCACAATAACACAAACATCGTCTGCACTAAAAATTGTGGAGATTCAAAACCAATAACGAGGTACACTATGAACAATACTATCGTTTAACCACACAGGTTCAATGGCCACTTCCTTTACAAAACGGTACTGATTAGGAATTTGTTTTGCGTACAAGTGAACCGATTAATGACGACAAAATTTCGGGTGGAAGAGAGCCTTAGTGCATAAGTGGAATATTGGAAAGTTATTTATGTTTAATAACATATACTTCAAATATCATCTCGACCAGCCTTTATGAATAAAATGACTCATGTGCATAAATTCGACAGTGATTGGTATTAAATGCAGCTGAATAATATCCCGTACTGCAGATTAACAGATACAAAGTGAAAGGACTAGCAGTAATATTTAAGTTCAATGCTGGAAACTGGCCGTTTAGATTTTAATGAGAACTTTCTTAACTTAGTAGGTATTCTACAATGAAGTTACTTTCTGACTGTCGGCTTGAGCCGTGTGGGGAGATGTAGACTACCTGTTTGGGGTCCTACAGACTAAAGGAATCAGTGGTTGAGGACCCTTGGTGACGTAGCTGAAGACCGGTCACAATGGCACAGATGTCTTCACTCCTTGATATCTTCTACAGCTTGAATATTCACACTAACCTTCAGATTGTTTATTCTCCCACACTACTTTATTTACTTTGATATCAATCCTTTTTTTATCCACTTGTTCTTTGTGAACTTCTGTGAAGTGTGGCAACTTGAGCCGGTGCACCTGTTTGCAAAGTCCTATGTTGATTTTGTCAGTCAGTCACCCTAGCAGTATTTCGGTTATCCTAAATTAATGGGTATTTGTAGGGAAATAGAACAGAATGAAAACCAAATGGTCGATTGCCGCTATCAAAGTATCACAAAACCACCCGACCGATAGCTGCTACTTTGACATGGTGATCGGGCTTGCATATCACAATGACCCAACCGAGATGTGCTCCTGGGACGCTTGTTCGGTCAACGTCCTACTATACCAGGAACGTATGTTGGATAGTGGCAAAACGCAAAGCTCTTACTGTTGAAGTGTAAATTACTGCACCAGGTCTGGGGGCTATGTTGCTCTGCTGCTAACTGGATGAAGTGTGACAACATTAAGGTGTTTCCCTTGGATGGCAAGCAGTGCCACGCTGATGCTGCCTTCTCAACGAAAGGGGAGCTTAGAAAAGGTCGGCCACAAAAATAACAAACTCCACTGTGTCCCATGCTCTCGCGGTGCCGGTGGTATGGATCTTTTTTGTCTATCTGGCATTAGAACAACTAAGCCTAAAACAACAACCCGCAAAAAACTGTGTGACACGCCTTGAACAGATGTCTCATAGGTTCTGTGGTCACAAATCTTTTTTCCTTTCAAGTACCCTAAGAAGACCTAGCCTTCCACAGTATGAGCAACCGAGAAGTGTCACCCGCCCTCACAACTCTGTCAGCGCTTAAGTTCCCTCAGACCACTATCCATCTCCCTTATCCTTACCTTCTAATCTTTCTTCACGTCTCTCAATTAACAATCCTTCATCTTCTTTAATTTCTTCTAGCTCTGCAGCTATCGACAACGATCTGAGTCCACAGAACACCATCCTTGGTCTCCTTAAACCACCCTCTAAATTACACATTGGAGCTTTCAATGCCCGCACCCTCCGTGAAATTGGCTAACAATCTTCAACTGCCAAAATTCTAGTAACTCGGGCCTTGGATGTGTGCTGTGTTTGTGAGATACTCATAAAGGACCCAAGTACGGTTATTCCCTTAACCTCTCCCGGCTAATATATTGAGTCCTCAAAGTTCACCCTTCGACTTTCTGGAGATCTAATGGCTATTTATCTCAGTTTTGCAGGTGTAGGCATAGCATCAAGCACTATGGCAGAAGGCTCGCTACTAGACCGGATCCCAGTTGATAGTCGCTTATGCACTGTCCAGATGAACAGCACAGCGATAAATAAAAGGAATAGTGAAACTCGCTGTTGTCTGCTTGTAATCTCTGCTTACGCACCCATTGACTGTAGTTCGGATGAAGTGAAGGATGAGTTCTGCCGAAAACTACCTAGCCTCCTGAAAGCCAAACGTTCAGACATGGTCGTTGTTGCAGGGGGATTTCAATGCACAAGCGGTTAGGCTGAGTTAAGCAGGAAACCACTTACATGGCACTTTCGGTATCCTGGCTTAAAAACAGATAACAATGATCGCCTACTACAACTATGCTCAGATAACCGTTTACTTCTAAGTAGTACAAACTTCAGACATAAAGAAAAACGTCTTATGTGGTCTTCACTGAGTTTAACTCGGAGGAATCAGCCTGACAAACATAGTGTCTAAGATTGTAGGTTGTATAATCATTAGACGCCTGAGTGGAGCTTGGGCACAGCAATTCCGAGGAAACTAGACAGGCTTTAGACCCGGCTGTGGGTGTATCGACCAAATATTCACACTCCGCCAGCTTCTGGAACACAGGCACACTTACCGACGCCCGACAATAGCTGTATTTCTCCACTTGGAGGTGGCATTTAACCCTGTCGAAAGAGAGGTCTTGTGGCAGTGTCTCTCACTGTAAGGGGTACCGAATAAGTAAATCACCTTATTAAAGGCTCTCTACTCGAACATCTGTGGGTGTGTTAGAGCCTATGATGAGTTACCAGGTTAGCTTCTTACATCAGGTGTTGCCCGTTAAGTACGCCCGCGGTCTCCATTCTTATTGAACTTTATCACATTCGCACTTATGAAGGTCTCCCTATGGTCGTCTGACGTCACAGGGATTGATCTCATCACAGGAGACTCCTTGATAGGTCTAGAGTATGCAGATAACAAAGTCTTGTTAGGTAAAGGTACTGATAAGACGCAGTCTTCTGGACACCTTGATTGGGAGTGCGAGGATGTTTGGGATGCGTTTCTCGCCACACAAATGTAGACTGTTGCTTTAGGACCGGTCTTCAGCTTAAAATAGAAAGTGAAGTGGTTGAGTGCGTTGAACACTTCACTTACCCGGGAAGTCGGATCAGTCCTGTTAGGTCAGTGGCCGAAGAAATGTCTGCATAGATACACAAGGCTTGGTTAGCTTTCGTTAACTTATGCCATCTGTCGCGCTGCCGCAATATCCGATTGTCTATTAAGAGTCGAGTGTATTGTGTTGCAGTTCGCTCTGTTTTACTGTATTGTTGTGAAACATGGCTATCAAAGGTAAGATACATGAGAAGCCTTCAGGTGTTTGACCACCGTTGCCTTCGCAGTACATGCTGTCACCACATGAGCAACGTAGAAGTTAGGTGGAGAGTTTTAGGCAGGAGAAGTAACTCAGTTGACGCGGTTGTAAGCCTTCATCGACTGAGATGGCTGGGACATGGATTACGTATGCCTAGCCACCGTCTGCCTCGTCGAACGATGTTGTCGAAGTGACCGGACTAAAACATGGCATGAATGCATGAAGTCCTTGACTGTTCTTTTGAACTATGTAGGGCGATGCAGACTGGGCGGTTGGAGTACGCGGGACACAAGAAACCAGTGGCTGGAAATTGACTCTAGGTGACACGACTCAGAACCGATGTCACTGGCACAGTAAACACATTTTATCCCCATCTCAACCGCTATACTTGATCTCATCAGTTTCTCATTCCTCCTTCTCTCTACTTCTTTTGACTGATTTTCCTTTCTTCATTTACCACTTTATTGCCTTGTTACTTGATATGCTTGTTAGCTGATGGGAGGTGTCACAACTTGGACCGTTACGCAGTAATACGTGGTCCTATGTTGATTTAGATGATGATGATCACAAAACCGAATAAATTTAAAACTTACTGGGTCATTTGTTCATTGGCCAGCTGTACACCTTCTAGCCGGATAGGAAATCTCAAATCAGCCAAACCAACCATATTTGAATTTTAAAATTCATGAATTTCACCTGCATCAAAGGATAAATGTAATAAACGTTCATTGTTTCGCAAAGAAATACATTGATATCTACTCCTACATTGGTATCTAGTTGACAGGTTAGTTAAGGAAACCCAATAAAAACCTTTTATGCTGACTTCTCAGAAGAGGAGTGCAATGCACTTGCTGGGTTAGTATTTTAAGTAGTAAGTTTTCAACTGGTGATTCGACATTTCGAACCACACTCTGTGTACTTCGCAGTCGGAGAGTAAGGTTGCCTGTTCCCGACCGATAGCTGCTACCTTGACGTGGTGGTCGGGCTTGCATATCACAATGACCCAACGAGCTATGCTGGTGGAACGCTTGTTCCCTCGAGGTCCTACCATACCAGAAAGGTCTGTTGGGTAGTGGTTAGACGAAAAGCAGTTACCGTCATAGTGTAAATTGCTATACTATGATGGGGGTCTGAGGGCGAAGTCGTACTGCTGCTAGCTGGATGGGGTGTGACAGCAGTAAGGTGTTTCCCTTGGATGACCAGCAGTGCCAAGCTGATGCTGCCTTCTCAGTGGAAGGGGGGGTTAGAAAAGGTCGGCCCCAAAAATAACACACTCCACCACGCCCCACGGTCTGCCGGGCCGGCGGTGTTGGTTCACTTGTCGTTTCCTTTCGACTATCCGGCCCCAAAAATACAAAAATTCAAAATAATCATACTCAAAAGGCTGGGTGTGACAGGCCTCAAGCAGATGTCCGATGGGCTCTGCGGTCACACAAATCTCTTTCAGGTACCTTAAGAAGAAATAGCCTTCCACGGTGTGGGCAGCCGGGAAGTGTCAACCGCCCTCACAACTCTGTCAGCACCCAAGTTTCTTCTGACTGCTATCCTCCTCCTCCATCATTACCTTCTAATCTTCCTTCACGTCTCTTAATTAATGATGCTGCATCATCTTCAATTTCTCCTACCTCTGCAGCCTTCGACAACGATCTGAGTCCACAGAACAGTGTCCCTGGTCTCCTTAAACCACGCTCCAAATTACATATTGGAGCCTTCAATGTCCGCACCCTCCGTCAAATTGGCCAACAGGCTTCGTTGGCAAAGACTCTAGCAACTCGGGCATGGATGTGTGCTGTGTTTGTGAGACACGCATACAGGACCCAAGTGTGGTTATTCACCTGACCTCTCCTGACCAATCTGGTGAATCTGCAAAATTCACCCTTCGAGTTTCTGGAGATTCGATAGCTAGCTCTCGTGGTCTTGCAGGTGTAGGTATAGCATTAAGCACCAGGGCAGAAAACTCACTACTAGACTGGATCCCAGTTGATAGTCGCCTCTGCGCTATGAGGCTGAACGGCACAGTGAGAACTAAAAGGAATAGTGAGACTCGCCGTTGTCTCTTTGTAATCTCTGCTTACGCACCCACTGACTGTAGTTCGGATGAAGTGAAGGACGAGTTCTACCATAAACTGTCTAACCTCCTCTCGAAAGCCAAACGTTCGGACGTAGTGGTTGTTGCAGGTGACCTCAACGCACAGGTGGGTAGACTGAGTGAGGCAGAAAGGCACTTAGGTGGCACTTTCGGAATCCCAGCTGAACGTACAGATAACGGTGATCGCCTATTACAACTATGCTCAGATAACCGCCTATTTTTAGCCAGCACAAATTTCAGACATAAAGAAAGGCACTGTCTGACCTGGCGTCCACCGAGCTCGACTCAGCGATGGACACAGATAGACCACATTGCTATTAGTCATCGCTGGAGAGGATCGGTGGAAGACTGCCGCTCCTTCTGGAGTACGTGTTTGGACAGCGATCATGCGTTGGTCCGAGCACGTATATGCCTGCGTCTCAATGGACGTAGAAAAAATTTGGCAACAAAACCACTACGAGTTCTGCTGGACAACGAAAACACCAAAGCCGTGTTCAGTGAGAAGTTGGCTAGGCAGTTATCGGAACAAAAGACTGTCACTCATCCAGAAGAAGCTTGGTGCCATCTTCAGTCTACTGTAAAAGCAGCACTGGAGACTGTAGCCGACTCCAAGATAATGGCTAAAAAGAGCCAGTGGATATCAGCAGCTTCTTCCAAACTAATGGATGCACGTGAATGCATCCCTGCAGGCTCTGAGTACAATGAAGAGCGAGCGCAACTTAAAAATAAACTGACGAAAAGTCTGCGCAACGATCGTGAACAGTGGTGGGCAGCAAAGGCTAAAGAGATGGAAAAGGCAGCGGCGATCGGTAACAGTAGACAGTTATTTAGACTTATTAAGGAGACTGGGGGGAAATGGTCAACAACAGTTAGTGAGGTTATAGCGGAGAAGGACGGATCGGCGATTCACTCGCAGGGAAGGCGACTGGGACGATGGGCAGAACACTTTGAGGAACAGTTTAACTGGCCTCCAGCCACCATTGCGCTGCCCGCTATCCAGTCGGACCCTGAATGGGACATAGAGACAGGTCCCCCAACACTAGAAGAAGTTGAGAAAGCGGTAGGTAGCCTGAAACGGGGAAGGGCAGCAGGACCAGACGGACTACCTGCTGAGGTATACAAGAATGGTGGTAGAGTTCTCTTAGTCAGGCTAACGGAAGTGTTAGCCAGTATATGGGAATCAAATACGATCCCCTCCGACTGGTCTAAGTCACTGATCATCCCAGTCTTCAAGAAAGGCGAGAAGTCCTCTTGTGATAACCACAGAGGAATCAGCCTGACAAACATAGTGTCTAAGATCCTAAGTTCTATAATTCTCCGACGCCTGAGTGGAGCTCGGGAACAGCAAGCCCGAGAAAACCAGGCAGGCTTTAGACCTGGCCGTGGATGTATCGACCAAATATTCACACTGCGCCAGGTCCTGGAACATAGGCATGCTTACAGACGCCCGACAATAGCTGTATTTCTCGACCTGAAGGCGGCATTTGACTCCGTTGATCGAGAAGTCTTATGGCAGTGTCTGTCACTGAAAGGCGTGCCTAGTAAGTACATCACCTTATTGAAAGCTCTCTACTCGAACACTTGTGGGCATGTTAGAGCCTATGGTGAGTTGTCCAGGGAGCTATACTCATCAAGTGGTGTCCGTCAAGGATGCCCACTATCCCCATTCTTATTTAATTTTATCATAGATATTCTTATGGAGGTTTCCCTCTCGTCACCTAATTACAAAGACGTTGACCGGATCACAGGTGAATTTTCCTTAGATCTAGAATATGCAGATGACATAGTCCTGTTAGGTGAAGACGCTGACAAGATGCAGAGTCTTCTGAACACTTTGAGTGGGAATTTGAGAATGTTTGGGATGCGATTTTCACCACCCAAATGCAAATTTTTGCTCCAGGACTGGTCTTCAGCGGTACCGCGGTTAACAATAGAGAGTGAAGTGGTTGAGTGTGTTGACCACTTCACTTACCTGGGAAGTAGGATCAACTCCGGTGGGTTAGTTGCCGATGAGATTTCTGCACGGATACAAAAGGCTCGATTGGCTTTTGCCAATTTGCGCCACCTATGGCGCCGCCGTGATATTCGTTTGTCTATTAAGGGTCGCGTGTACTGCACAGCAGTCCGCTCTGTTCTACTGTATGGCTGTGAAACATGGCCATTGAAAGTGGAAGACATGAGAAGGTTACAGGTATTTGACCACCGTTGCCTTCGTAGTATAGGACGTATTCCGTGGTGTCACCATGTGAGTAATGCAGAAGTTAGGTGTAGAGTTTTAGGGAGAAGAGGTAAGTCAGTCGACGAGGTTGTGAACCTTCATCGACTGAGATGGTTGGGACACGTACTACGTATGCCTAGTCACCGATTGCCTCGTCACACAATGTTGGCTGAGGTGGGTTCAGGCTGGAAAAAGGCCCGAGGTGGCCAGACTAAAACATGGCACCAATGTATGAAGTCTCTGACTGTTGGTTTAAGCCATGTAGGACGATGCAGACTAGGTGGTTGGGGTCCACGGGACAAGAGGAACCAGTGGTTGGAGACCCTAGGTGATATGGCTCAGAACCGAAGTCAGTGGCGCAGATGTATACACACATTATCCTCATCTTAACAACGCTATACCGAATCTCACTATTTTGTCACTCCTCTTTCCTTTCTTCTCATACTTTATATTTCTTTTGACTGCATTCACTTATCTTCATCCTTCACCTCACTACCTTTTTACTTGATGTGCTGATATGAGGTGTGGCAACTCGGACCGTTACGCAGTAATGCCTGGTCCTATGTTGATAATGATGATGATGATGAAGGTTGCCTGTTGTTACTCTTTAATCGTAGGTCACAGTTTAATATATCAACTCCAATATTAAGATCATATATGTTACGAATATCCTGGAAAAAGTTGAGCGCCGAAACTGATTGAATCATCATAAGAATATATTTTAATATAATCCCAGAGTGCTTAGAAAATCAAAACAAGGTATTTCTGAACGTTTCACTGTGTAAGTCACAGCTTCTTCAGTAGAACATACGGAATTATATTTTGTTGAAGAAGCTGTGGCTTACACAGTGAAATGTTCAGAAATATCTTGTTTTGATCTTCTAAACACGCTGAGATTACATTAAAATATATTCTTATAACAACGCCAATATTGTTACGGCATTTAATCTGCATAATTATTTTCATTAAATGGTACACACATATGTTAAGCAGATACAATATAATTAAACCAAAATAGTATAATAATAAATATCTAGAAAAATGTGGATATGACCCCGCGAAAATAGGCTGCCAAAACGTAAAACTGAAGTAAAGCAGCAGGTACGTTCGACAATAAATAGAAGTTATTCCAGAATGTCCAAGACACCAGCAGTAAAAATTCTAATACCAGTGAAACAACAGTTCGTAAAGTAGACGACATATCGACCATCAGTATTCAGAGGCACCAGCAACACTGCGTAGGGAACTTACAGATGCGGTCTAGCTATATTACTACTTCAGCTGTATGGTGGATTAACCCTGAACGACATAAAGAGGTGGGATTCTAAGGAGAACTATAAATAACATATCGTTTCCGACCCAGAAGAATCATCCGATCTCCTCGTAATCATAAAGCTGAAATTTTAGTCGATTTGTTCGAGTATCTACTCATTCTGGGATAAGACTAAAATAGTGACCATATTTTAGAATTTCACATAACGTGTGTGTAAGCTATCAAGACATTAGTCTACTAACAGTTACATCGAAATTGTGACTTTACCATTCAGGTTGCACAAAACATGATAGGTAACTACAGGAAAGCTAACGAGGTTTCACGATCCGGAGGATACACTAATCCTATTCTTGTCCTTCGCCAAACGCCTTGACACCTGAGGACTTCAAGCTGACGTTTGTTAGATTCCTCGGTATCATTTACCTCCGATCAGTCTGGCAGGATTGAATCCTGGAGTCTCACTAAGTTGTATAATTCCTTTAAATTCTAATACGGAAATGTAAAATACTAACAGCTTCTAACCCGACACGAATATCGTTCATACTATGGCTCCATATCATGAATTGATTACTTCTCCACTTTTTCCAACTAGTTCCGAAGTCGGTGCGTAGTAATGATTGCAGATACCAGGAGAACAATATGAACGGGACATGTCCAAGCTATTGAACCCTTTATTTCAAGATAAGTTTACCTATCGAACCATGATGTGTACTATGCTCAGACATATGTTGCCGAACACAAAGTTGTCTATGGTGCTCTAATGGGTGCCATTGACTGAATAGAGACCATAGTGATCGGATGTCTCCTGTTCGGGGAAGTAGTGTTTCATATGTATGTGACACAGTTGTTTATTCTCAATTAGAGCTTCTGGAAAGTAAACGTAGATTGTAGTAAGCATACTGATATGACGCTGGAGAGCACTTTGCAGTCATACCGAGATGTTATCAGATACCAGCTTATCATTACTCATGCTACTTTCTCTAGGTAGGTAAAGCGATCACTTGTTTTGCTATTGAGATCCCTATAACCTGTCCAAAAGAGATCATTTGCATCTATGATGGGAAAAATGCACCTAAAACATTCTTAAATTGCCACTCAACGTTCAAAAGCTTCTCTATTTTGTCGTATTCACATAACAGGACTATGTTGCTGATTTACATCATAACAACTACGAAAATCCTGACGAACAGATTCATCCCAGCGAAGTCATAAGAAAACAATGTCCCCTTTATAGGCATATTTCTGATGAAGTTATATAAATTCTCATTCCCACATTAATAAAGATAATGATTAAGCGAAGACATATTTCTAACCAATAAGTTCTTCGCTTTCAGCTCTACACTACTATATAAGTTTACAATTCAAATCAAAATGCCAATCAAGCAGTGGAAGATTGATTCATAATAATTACAGATTTTAACTAAGGCATGAACATAAATTTGGAAAATCAAGATGCAACTAGTCAGCAGTAATTATACAGAGTCAAAAGTAGTAACTATAACTTGGTAAAGGTCATTCTATGGCGAACCACATAATAACAGGTAATGTTTTGCGAGCAATCAGTTATAAACAATGAATGACTGGTTGCGTAAGAATAAGAAGGTAAAAGGGTATTAGTAGGAGAAGACAATGAGGTGAGTACATAGTAATGATAGGAGTTACATCGTATTGATGGCCATGGTAATACAACCAGTTGGACGAATTTCTTTTGAATATAAAGGTGCATAAAGGTGAATTGCAATCCTTTCTGCTACGTAAGTATATGAATGAATAACCCATGTAGTAAATTAATTGGTGTATGATAAATAACTTTAAATCCTCCCCTCATATCCACTTAATGTCCAGTGTCGACTAGGTGTGCAAGTATAAAGCTCTTTATTGTTCTGGTCTGTCCTTTATTCAGTCATGATGAGTAGTGCTCAGAAATTCAACGACAGACCTGGCTCATCGTACCCTTCAGGTAACCAACTCCAGAGGAACACTTAAACTGGTAAGTGCATATGGAAGTGGTAGGATCAGGCAGTCTATCTTTGTTTCGTGCAACCAAAACCGAATGGTTGTAGAAAACGGGACATAATTTAGCGGCTGGAGATGTTTTTTGTACGACTGTCCTTATGCGCTGCATGATAATCTCACCAAAAATGTCACGCCTGAATTCCCTTACGAACTTTTAGTATTCACGGCTCAGTCTCCGTCACCTTCGTAGGCTTAGTTACAAATTTGGTTGGGTATCCGTTTCCACTGGGCAGATTACGGATAGTGACAAACTCTCTATAGCAACATCATCACAATAAATGGCTGTTACACAGCGTGCTAAACATTTCACTACGTTTCACTTGAATTGAAAAGGCACGGCACTAAAGAAGTGCGTATACTGACCTGCTGATGTTGACATTTTTAAAAACACTCAGTTTAACAGTTTCATTCAATCTTCTTACGACAGAACATCTAGAAATGGAATACCATTATTTCGCTCCCCCTACATTGTGAATTGGATTACCAGATGAACATCATTCAATTTCTTAAGAACAGTATTCTTGCCATAATTGATCTTATTTTTGAGACCTATAATGGTATCATCCATATAACAGCAATAGAATTCCAACCGTCGGATAGTTTCTTTTCAGAAAACCATTCTCTAGCTTTGCTAGAAAAACATCTGCTAAGATTGAACCAAGGGGTGATCCTTTTGTTTTATCCTTTACAGTGACTCTGTTAGCTGTATATCTTCTCTGTTGTGGTACCTTTGACCTTTAAATACTGTTTACGTAATGTTAATGGGTGATGGAGAAATAAATTCAAATTAGCCGGTGTTCGAAAGTTGTCGACCTGTATTTTTGTACTGCGATACACTCAGCATTATAAACCCTGCTATCCAAATAAAACTTAGGAACTGTTTAAATATCTACTGTTACGTTCAAATACTAAAAGCTAACTAGCCAATATAAATCTACAATATGATTCGTACAACCAAGGGAAACTACAATTTTAAAAGCTCACATCAAATCCAAGTTTTTGTATAATACGTGCACACTTGCGCGAGCCCAAGTTCGCATCCATTTCAGAGCGTGCCCCAGTGCACACCATTCGACCTGTTCTAAACACTAAACACGTTACACGAGGTTCGCGTAAACGTATAACAACGCCAGGAAATCTGCGTGGGTTGTATTCAGCACTACGGACATGAAGTACCAGTTTACGCAGTTCAATAGGACATCCTAAATCCACAGTAGAAACCATATTGCTACAAAACGAAACAAAATGTTGAAAAGTCAGTTTGCATTTTGTGTGTTTCAAGTATCTTCGTAATAATGTTAAGTGATAAATATTTAAGGAAACAAGGGAGTTACATAACTAGGTAACAGCACGTGGACTTCTACGAGGAAATGTGAGTCAATTATTGTAAACAGTGTAATCGACACCACGTTTCGGGATATACCAAAATAGAGGAATTATGGTTCGAACCCGTCACCTGAAGGTAGACAGGTGAGTGTTTCATTAAGCTATATCTTCAGCAAAATATAAAAACCCCAGTTGTTCGGTAAAACGATCTGGGTGAAGATAAAAAGACACGAAAATTTTCGATAGCTGAAAGCCTGACTACAAAAACACCGATACCGAATGAACAGTACTGCAGAATGAAGAGAGCAGTTGTGAAATGACGGAAAAGATTTACAACTCAGAAGAAGAATGATGACGCTCTGATGTTCCCTAGGCTTGAAATTCTTCCTTATAAAGTTTGTGCCGGAGATATTATCAAGCATGGTGATGAAACATCAAAATGAAGACCAGTTACTATCAATATGAAAATTTGTAACATTAAAAAACGAGACTAACAGTCTAAATCTTCTAACAGATTTATAGGGATTGACTAAAAGGATTCCAGAACTTTTAACTACACAGTTCATTCATTTGAAGCCCCAGTGCATGGTGGGTTACGCGTTTCCCGACCGATAGCTGCTATTTCGGTATGATGATCGGGCTTGCATATCACAATGACCCGACGAGCTATGCTGATGGAATACTTGTTCCCTCGAGGTCCTACTATACCAGAAAGGTCTGCTGGATAGTGATCAGACGAAAAGCAGTGTAGTGTAAATTACTACATTATGATGGGGGTCTGAGGGCGAAGTCGCACTGCTGCCAGCTGGATGGGGTGTGACAGCAGTAAGGTGTTTCCCTTGGATGACCAGCAGTGCCATGCTGATGCTGCCTTCTCAGTGAAAGGGTGGGTTAGAAAAGGTTGGCCCGAAAAATAACACACTCCACCATGCTCGACGGTCTGCCGGGCCGGCGGTGTTGGTTCATTTGTCGTTTCTTTTTCGTCCATCCGGCCCCAAAATAAAAAAAGCTCAAAACAACCATACACAAAGGCTGTGTGTGACAGGCCTTAAGCAGATGTTCGATGGACTCTGTGGTCACACAAATCTCTTTCAGATACCTTAAGAATAAATAGCCTTCCACGGTGTGGACAACCGGGAAGTGTCAACCGACTTCACAACTCTGTTAGCACTCTAGTCTCTTCATTTTAGGCAGGTTGGTGGTTTATTACACAGTAAATTAGGTTATGGCACGCTAATACTGATTAATCCCAGAGAACAAACCAAAAGTGAAACAAGTTAGAACAAAATATTCCTAATGAACATCATTCGAGGTATATTTGAGCAAGTTTACCGGCTGTGAGACCTTAAATTTCATTCTAAAACATGTACTTCATCTTTAAGTACAAACCAATGAGTGACAATTTTACAAAAAAGGACATCGGTCACATTTTACAACAGATCTATTATAAACAGTCAAAATAAATGGAAATAAGTTAAAATATACAAGAGTAATGCAAGGTATGAGAAGACAGAGATTCAGAATAATAATAAGGAGTGCATATATCTGATCTACCATAACCAATTTTGAACCGTTTTTACAGTGTCCATATTACCAGCCTACAAGTCCCAAGACAACAGTTAGTGACTTTTTAGGTTGTTACAATGTCTTTCTCAAAGCAATTTTAAAAAATCCCAGAATAAATTTAGCCTTCTGCATAATCAATAGAATCACTTGATTAGTGAGTAACGATACATTTTAAAATAGTTTGACTCTATTAACTTAACGTCTTAAAAAAGACGTTAGCAGACAAATTGCTTTTCTTGACACTTCTTTCATGGATTGCTTTCTTAACATCAGAATAATTTCTGACGAATCCTCAATTTATATACTCAATCTATAAACCAGGCAATTTCAATATTGAAACCTGAAGTGACAAGGCGAAGTGCTGCTATGCAACTTGAACAGTTTATCCAAAACTAAAATGAACTTCAAAAACCTTGAAAAGGCTCCTAGACCCTTAACAGATGTCTTTGGAGGAAGGAGAATAGGATGTCAAATTCCGAAACGATTCAGAGACATTCCTTGGTAACCTATCAAATATTGAGGTCAGCGAATTTCAAACCGAAGAATAATAGAACAGTTTCAGATTCGACACTTCAGAAAAAAGTCAACCGAACTGACATAGAAGCACAATTTTAGTACATTGACTATCAACTGTCACGTTTGCTTCCAGTGAACGACGACAAAATTTAGTCAAAATCGGAGTCTGCCGGCACTGACATTCAACTTATGTTGTCGTCGACAATGAAGTCAGGTATGCTTTCTAATGAACCACTACCACCCACTTCCTGCAGTGCTGTGTCAAGACTATCATCATTAAAGTCAAAGCAAAATGGTGAAACCCGACATCCCTGCCAACCACAAAGCTGGTTTGGAAAAATGGAGAGGTTGCTTTATTTCTTCACTCTAACTGAAATCCCAAACTATACGGCTGTTAAGATGATAACCAACTTCTCATTTACACCCCTCTCTAACAGTCAATTCCAGAGAACAGCCCGGTCCAATGAGTTGAAGTCAGTTTTAATATAACCAAACACGACGGTCCTCAGCCTGCAGTATGTGTGACAGTGTTTCAGCGTTTGAAGGAGAGCTGATACTTGGTTGATGCATTCACAATCTAAACGAAAGCAACCCTGATCCCTGCGGCTGAGCTCTTTGCGCGTTCCGCAGAGCCTGTAAACGATGGTGACAGAAAGCACTTTACATTCACGTGATTATCATGCACGTTACGCAAACCCTTTTTAAAAATGAGTACAACTGTGGCTTCATTTTAGAGCGATGGAACTCTCAATTTATCATACCCCTAAGCAATATCATCAACTCCCTGACTAGTGTAACCTGTACTACTATTTTGACAAAACGTCAACTACAAAACAATATTAAACGTACTTACTGTATAACAGGTTTTTTAATACCGCACAAAAGATAAAGTGATTCTGATTCCGGAGCGACAGGACGCTGAACAGATAATTCTCTCTGCAAAGTGCTCGAATCTTCTGACATACTGCGATTTTAGTGATTCAAACCTGAAGAGATAGATTGAAATTTCAAAGTACCAGGACATTAGCTTATGACTGAAAAGACATGTGAATACAAAAGCAAAGTACGTAAAGAATCATATAAACTATATATACAACGACACACTGACAAAATCAGATTTTAAACAAGTGAACTGAAAAGCAGTTTTCGATAAATACATGTACACTACAGCCGACAGTGAACCGCCTGTTTTCATACCCAAATCCCACAAGTCTCCTCGGGAACCCCTATGCCAGCTTACGCAAACCATTCATCCCCGAAATATCATCAGACTACCACGTTTGGGAGCTGCATATGCAGTCGTTCTTCAACTATCTTCCTCCGGCTACTCACGATAAGCATATCTTAGCGTCGCTCAGCGAGGAAGCAGCTCGGAGAGTATTTGTTGCTGGGTTCTCTGCCGCCAAACACCCGTCCACCAACCGGCACTTTCTGGACGAGTGTTTTGACCTCCAGTTGGACCCTTAGCAATACACAATAAAATTGATCTAATGCAGATAACTGCTGGCCAAGTCACCTACCGACTACTTGCACACACCGCAGTGCTTCACTGTCCAAGCACTACCCGAAACGGATAAAACCGCACGAGAAGCATTAATCTGCTCCCGTTTTGCGGAAGGACTCCTACCGGGTGAGATACGAAACTATTTCCTCTGCCTACCACCGAATTCAGCCCGCGAAATCAAAACCATGTCCCTACGTTTCGTGGACGTGGTACCCCAAACTTCAGCAGCACCGTATCCAACCAACACCCCCCGAAAGTCAACCCTCTGAGCCAAACGCAGTAAATCCGATTAACTACCCATCACGTTGGAGAGCAACCCGTAGGAATCCTCGCTCAACGGCCTCATAGCCATCAACTCCTCAAGGTTGCTACTACTGTCGGGGTTTTGGTTCTCGAGCTTGGTTCTATGTACATAACCGTCGCATCGGTCTTGGTGAGTAACCATTTTTATAATTTATCGGCCTTTTCATGTAAACAAGAAGCACTAACTATATGTGGGACGATAACCGGGGTAAATACTGTAATACTGGTGGACACCGGCACGTCCGTGTCCGTTATTAAGGCAGCCTTTCTCCATAACCTGCCAGGGGATAACGATATGACACTGTTCCACGCAGTCCTTACAGCGGCAAACAGCGCCAGCATCAATGCCCGTCTAAAACTACACATTGGGGCACTCCAGGTAACTCACTAGTTCTCAGTATGCACATACGTTGCCTGGAATCTAATCCTGAGGGTCGATTTTCCCACCACTCACTCGACGTCCATTGATGTTACCAACGCCCGCATTGTAGTTGGTTCTACTACCATACCGTTACATCGCACCCAAACGTCAGACCCTGTGAGTTCAGCCTAACATTACCTGCAGTGGTACCGTTCGTTACAATGTGGCGTACAATAATATGTAACGAACTTTATGATTTTCAGACAAGCGGAGTCGCAGTAAACATAGGGAGGCTGAATGAAGAACGCGAATTACACAGTACCGTCCTTATTAGGGTGACAGCTTGAATCCAGCGGATACAACAATCAGTCTACACAAAGTTTTACGTCTTCTCATCAATGCTGAGTCTACGTATTTGTTGTTCCGCTTTTACCAACTATTTTGCCGTTGTATCCTGAAATTAAAATGTACATACATTGTAACATACTTGTACTTTGCCTAGTTTATCAGTTCACTAGTTTACTAGCCGGTCCTAAGCCCGGATAAAGAGGGAAATTTTGGCGTAGAGCTAGCAACCTTAACCCATAAAACCAGACCAGTCACTAAAGAGACTTCAATGCACAGAAAAAATATAAAACATAAACTTGTTCTTCGCTGAAATCGGGGAGACGAAATGACGCCGGTTGGTGAAAGCCTTCGAGAAGCCAATTGGCCGATCTGTCTTCTCTCCCTCGATGAAAGCGAAAATAAACATCGGGACATCGAATGTCCACACAATGTTTGAACCCAGCAAGGCTGCCCAGATTCCAAAGGAGATGAGAAGGTATCGCATTGAAGTGTTAGGAATTTGTGAAAGCAGATGGAATGGGAGTGGACTCTCCAAACTGTCAACTGGAGAGGAATCAATAATCTACTCCAATATTGTCACACAAACGACAACCATGAGCACACTGAGAGAGTGGCTATCATGATGTCCCCAACACCATCGAAGGCCCTCATGAAGTAGGAACTAATCTCCACGATCAGGATCATGACATCAAGATTCAACTCAAATAGAAGGAAAGTCACAATCATACAATGCTACGCTATGCACCCACAAATAATGCAGATGAAGAGAAGGAGGAATTGTACAGACAACTGCAATCAGCACTGGACAAGACCTCAGATGGCGACATGAGAGTCCATTCTAATGGGTGACTGACATGAAGGACAAACTGGGAGCGGACAACACAGGAAGAGAACTCATCATGGGTCGAGAAGCACTCAGTGAGATGATGAATGAGAATGGAGAACTGTTTACAGACTTCTGCGCATTCAACGATTTAGTGGTTAGAGGTAGTGTGTACAAACACAAGGATATTAACAAAGTGACATAGATTTCATTTAACCAGACACCAGGACACAATAAAAATCAGATCGACTTCATTTCAATCTCAAGAAAGTGGAGATGCAGCCTACTGGACACAAGATTAGATCAAGAAGGGGAGCAGATGTAGGTTCACACCACTATCTAGTGCAACAAACCTTCAAAATCAAGTTGAAAGCTTTCAACTTCAACACCCAGAACAGTAATTGAAGGATGAAACTAGAAACGATATCTTCACGTCAGGCATCAGGAAATGGGACATTAAGCAACATCCCTGAAGAAACCTCCGTGGAAGAACACTGAAACTCTTTGAAAGCTATGTGGAAAGAAACCTGCACAACCGTATTAGGAAGGAAGAAGAAACATGGCAGGACAAGGAATGGATCTCGACGGACACATGGAAACGGATAGAAGAGAGGAAGATGGCGAAACAGAAGATAAACCATTGCAAGGATAAACAACGAAAAGAGGAACTGAATACAAGTTACAAAACACTACACTGGACAAAGAAGTGAAGGAGAGAACACGGAAAGACAAAAGACACTTCTACGACACACTGTCAAGTGAAGTAGAACAGGCTGCATGTAGGGGAGACTAAGACCTGACAACATTATATCAAATAACCAGGTTACTATCTGGGAGGGAATATATCAACACAGATGAAACCAACAAAAGATAAATAGTGAAGGAAACTTAGTTACCAAAGAGGAAAAACAAAGGGAACGATGGGCTGACCACTTCGAAACACCCTTGAATCGACCACCACCACCACGACCACCTGCAACCCGTCCAGAAATACCACCAGCAACACAGCGACAGAACTATCAGAAAAACCCTCCGACAAAAACAGAAGTGGTCTTGAATGTCACGAAGTTACTGAAAGCCGAGAAAGCAGCAGCACCAGATGGAATTCCGCCAGAAGCGCTGAAAATAGACGCCGAGACAACAGTGGACATGCTCACACTACTGTTGCAGAAGGTTTGGAAGGAAGGGAAGGTATCTGCCAATTGGAAGTAGGACTACCTTTTCAAACTCCAAAAGAAGGGTGACTTAAGTCTTTGTAAGAATTGGCGTGGAATCATGCTCCTGTCCCTCTCCACCCCAAGCAAAATATTAAGCCACATCATCCTGGAGAGACTAAAATATGCTCTCGATTCAAAATTACAACCGGAACAGGTTGGCTGACTGGATTCAGGAAGTACGAATCATGTGTGGATCAACTTGCAACACTTCGCTACGCATCATCATAGAATGGCAGTTAACGCCTTACCTCAACTTCATCGACTTTGAAAAGGACTTCGACGGCGTAAACCGAGAAGTAATTTGACAGCTGCTTCGACACTACGGTTTTCGTGCCACGAACCCTTATCCACCTCATTCAACAACTATATGACTACGCCACATGCCAAGTGATTCACAATGGAAAGCTCAGCTCACTGATACTTTTAAAGTGAAGACAGGAGTAAGTCAAGGTTGCCGCCTACGGTCACCGATGATCTTCCTGATTGTAGTCGACTGGACTGAACCATGCAACAAACTGTGAGGAGCGAGAAAAGGGGCATACGCTGGCTGGATTGATGAAAAGAGTCTAGACGATTTCGATTATACCGATGATGATTTATGTGTAATATCGCACAAACTCGAAGATCTACAGACGAAAACCAAAGAGTTGGCAGAAGAGGCAGAGCAGCGAAGACTGGACTTCAATTGAATGTAGAAAAGAGAGAGATGATGAAGATACGCGACCAGCAGCAACAATAACAACAACAACAACAAGCACCAATCGTCATCAACGGGAGAAACCTGGAGGAAGTTTTCTCGTTCACCTACCCAGGCAAGGCAGCATGGTTTCAACTACAGGTGGTGGCGGCACAGATGAGGACGTCAAAGCCAGGATCGGAAAGACAGCAAGACAGGCCTTCATCAACCTAAAATCAATGTGGAGATCTACTGCACTGCACTCAGCTCAAAGAACAAGATCCGGATTTTCAATACTAATGTTAAGTAAGTCAGCGCTTCGATATGGTTCACAGAATTGATGCGTTACGAAAAACACTTTGAAGAAACTGTAGACATACATAAATAGCTTCCGCTTACGCTCACTCGATATTGAAGATCAGATGGCCAGAAAGAATAAGCAACAAGAAATTCAGTCTGGTAACGAACCAACGAAGAACCCATCGCCTAACCAAGAAGAAAGAGGAGATGGATTGGATTGCAAACAGACTGAGAAGACGTTTGGAAGGCATCATGCGCCAGGATAGGCCGTCGAGTGGAAGTCAAATGGGAAACGATGAGTTGGGCTTCCGAGGCGACGGATCTTGAGTCGAGTAATCAACGCCTGGAACCGACTCCATGAAGAAGTGGTGTCCACATCACCAATTGACCCGCTCAGAAGGAGATTAGACAAGCAAATACATCTACCGCAAGAGAATTAATATAGGCTCCCAGCCTCCTATCCTCAAATCTGAATCTGATGAGATCTTGTGAGGAGGAAATGAAAGCTTATGGTCAGTCGTGGAGCCAGGTTCAAAAGACTGAATAGAAGAGAGTAAAATGGTGACATTTTACTGAAGCCGTATGTCCCACTAGGAACCGATAGAACAAATGATAATAATATGTATAGGAAATAACATACCTAGGATAACCTTCACTTTGAAATGCCCTCCAGGAGTATCTCATATCAGATGTTCAATTTCCTTTTGGGTAAGTATAGCGAGCTGACAATATTTAAACTGTGATATCCAAATATTTCACCAGGATTTTTCTCTGCGTCTTCCCTATCTGTTGGTGAAAATGTCTTCTGTAGTCTGATGCGTCTAACTCTTACGGACCCTTCTGTTTGCAGGTTTTTTATGTATGTGCTTCTCAACCTTGGAGTTTTAAGATATTAAGTAGTTAATGGGAGGAATATAGGTCCTTTCACAGCTGTTGTGCGTATGGCAGCCTCAAGTTATACAAGTTAATACAAGCCAAGCAAAAATTTCATTGTGTATTGGGAAAGGCAAGAAAAAGGTGTTCTTTGTTTATAATATTGGGTTTTACTGAAAAGTCAATACTACAGAAGCGCCTAGGTTGAAACGTGCAAGCTGTACGGTAGGGCAATGGAGTTAGAGATTCTGTTCACAGGTTGGTGGTAGGGAGTGTATGACAACGTGCTACCTAAATGTCTCTTGAATGATTCCATTGTGTGAATTTACGCTGGCTACAATGATGGTGATAGTGCACACACTTTCGGTGAAAAGAATTTGACCTTCATTTTCGTATCAGCTCTTCGATGTGCCGCTGTTGCCGGGTTTCCAAGCCGTTCACTATACCGATACTACGGCAACCGCTCCTCTCGGTGCGTCCTTGATGGGTAAACTTACACAGTGATGTCAAGTAGTCTCGTTTCCCTCAGTGGTTCCGGGTGAATGTAACAAGCAGTCAGCTTTAGGCAGAATGATGTGTGCCTCAGCCCAACTCTCCCTGGATGGGTGGGTATTGACTTCAACAATGGAGTATTACTGTACTTAGAACCTCAAGTCATGTCGCAACAACGTTTTGAAGACCGTCACGAGGAGTTTAGTAATGAGAGTCTTAAGTTGAACTCGAAGAAAATGTGTAACAGAGTTCACCCTTGCGTCCACTTCTTTCTGATTCAAGTTGGTGGCGGTAAAAGTGAGCTGCGAATTTTTCTCTCTGGTTCCCAGTGTAACAAAGTAGTCTTTTGTGAGGGAACTGATTTTCCTGACTTCAGCCGTTCGAAGATACATATCCTCGTACCTCTACATGTCAAAGCCTAAACCGCTTCTTGTAGAACCAGATATCGGTTGTGACAGATCACCTTGGAATTGTTCCAGATCGTTACTGTCATCCAATACCCACCGCGTTTCGATGCCACCTGGTAATATAGGGATAGGGGAGGAGACTCTCTAGGGCAAGTTGTTTGTGAAGAACACAAACAGAAGTGCACCAAGGATCGCTCCTCGAAACCCTTCATGTATGAAAACTATCAATGTAAACCTCGTTCAACTGACCTTAATGCTGAACTCCCTACCATTCAAGTACGCTGTTCGCTGGTTTCTGCCTTAAAAATTTTGTTGGTAATGGGTATGTGGTAAACTGACAAAACCGCCTGCTGGGGCTGGGAATATCATGTGTACTGTCGGATCATTGCTACAGCTGCCCATTCGTTCAAAGCCATCACTTAATTGGTGGCAGTGTCTTCTCTTCCCGAGGTCATAATAAGTGTGCCGAGTGGCGTTATGCCTACAGGTACAATATCTTGAAGATCGTTGGTGGTAGAGCTACAGGATCGCAGTTGGTTGCAATTTTTCTGCCGCATTCTTTAAGTGCCGGTGAAAAACCGCGAGTTTCCGTATTGCTGGTATTTGGTTTCTTTACGCTGAATTTTCCAAACATTTAGAAATGCAATTTTGGTACCTCTTAGCAGTTTTTCAGTATCATTAGTCATAATCAGCCATACCGTGGCAGCCTTCTTGAACTCTGGGCTACCGTTTTCTATCATAGAGTATATTGCATCAAATTTCTCATTTCTAGATTGTTTTAATCGCTTAATTATATCGACCGATCGTATTGTATATTCTTGCGTGTTTTTAAAACCATTACAACCCATCGCTTCGCAAGTTGGTAGGAAGTTTAAGAAGAAGCACCACTGTGGATGGCAGCGAGCTCTGAAGTGTATGACCATAGATCAAACGACTATCCCGGAAATACTTGGCACAAACTGCAGGTCGTTGCCGAATAAAGTTGATTACCTTCAGTCACTCTTGTCCACAAATGTTTATCGAAACACGGGTGTAATAATGCTGCAGGAAACATGGCCTCATGATCTGCATGATGACTTAGTCTGCTTAGATAGTTTCAAAATATTTCGACAAAATCGAAGCCTTTCGAAGGAGAAATGTGGTGGTGTAGCAACATTTATTAGTACTAACAGGTCGTCCTCCAGCTATGCATGCCTCTGCTTCTCTAACGAAAAAATTGGACGCATTACCATCAAATGTCGTCCCAAACATCTGAGCAAATACGAATGCATACATATCACAAACATGTACGTCACACCCGACCGCGGTTTCTCAGATTTGTCAACTTTTGCTGATAAATTCACCGAATTTCCTGCTCCAATTCTGGGAAACTCCTTGTCTGTTGTCTGTGGTGATTTTACTTCATGTGACCACAGTTTTCTATTATCAATGGGTCATAAAAATATGGTTAAGTTTTACACTTGTCTTGACAACACCTTAGACTTTGTATTTGCAAATGAACCTGACATTTATGAAGCCCGCAAACAGGCTCCACTGTTAAATTCCGACCACTGTATCGTTCGTGTTTTGCCTAAAGTGTACGGCAAACTATACAAGAAAGCTTTTGCATACCTTTCAAGGAAAGTTCAATACAAATGCTATTCACAAGAAAATATATTGCGTTTGAGAAGCATGCTTATAGAAACGGACTGGGATATATTTGCTGATGAAGTTTTATACAACACTATTACCAACATCACAAGCTATCTCAGATTCTGTCTCGATATCTGCTGCCCTACTGAAACGTTTTACATGAGATTTGACAGACTTTTCTCTCCTCATTTCAAGAGGCTTCGGAGAGAAACAGAAGGGTTGTATAAGGCGAGAGATCACCCTGGCGTTAAAAAGCCTATCTGCCTAGTTAGGTCTGAAATACAACGCCTGAATAATGTATACAACGAGAAGTTCTTATCGTGTAAGAACTCTTCCAATATGTGGAAATTATTTAAAGAGCCTACCGGTAAAAAACAGATGACAACACAAACTCGTTCGGGTGTCCGCGCGTTAAACAAGTCATTTATGCGTCAGCAAGCTAATTATACCCTTCCTAATGTGCAAAATCAGGTGGGTAGCTGCTTTCCAGGTTTCAATACAAATGATGTATTTGAATCCCTCCCAAAGCTTAGGTTGTGATGGTGTTTCTAGTATCATATTTAGAAAATGTGCAGATGCTTTGTGTTACCCACTTACAGATATCTTCAATGTATCGTTCTCTAAAAACATACTGCCCACTGCTTGGAAGCAGATAAAAATTGTACCTGCGTCTAAGCCGTCTGTTAAATCAGATGTTACTTTTCGACCCATCATTATAACTTCCCCTTTTCCGAAGACAATGGAGAAATTACCTCTGCATGTGATTGAGCCATCATTGATGGCCTTCAGAGATTCAAAACAGTTCGCTTACAGACATTGGAGGGGTACCTTAGATGCAGCTGCTGTCTTGCATCATAATATTGTTCCTAGTCTCGACAAAGGTGTTAAGTATGTCCGTCGTGCCTTTTCGGATTACTCATCGGCCTTTGACTCTGTCCCTTGACCACTTTTGTTAAATAAGCTTGCATAGCTCACACTGATCCATGGGTTACAAAATGTCTACACTCTTATTTTTCTAAAAGGAAACAGTACACTATTCATGAAGGGATGCGCTCGACTTCATTGCTTACTGAAGCGGGTGTGCCTCAACGTGCTGTACTTTCTCCTTTTCTGTTTTCGTTTTTGCATGAGTTGCCTTATTCTGCTGAAACTAATTTTATCGAATATGCTGACGACCTGACGATTTCTATTCCAGTAAACTCTTCTTCAGACTGCTCAAAATTAAATGAACTCTTATCTGAAGTTGGTAAATGGTCTTTCTCAAATGGTCTCAAACTAAACCCCCTTAAATGTCAGACCGTTAATTTTGGCCTCAGGCATAAACAAGACTTATGTGAGCTGCTTAAATCTCATGACGCCCGCTGCATCAATGGTATTTCTGCAGAAACTAAATCGAGTATGAACTATCTTGGGTTGCGTTCTACGTCTGGCCTTTGTTGGTCTTCCCATATTTTATTGACTTGTAAAAAAGTCTTCCGTTTAACTTATTACGTAAATAAATTGAGGCCTTCCGGCATAACTCAACTGCTTCTTTTACAATTAATTAATTCCTGCATTTTGCCTATTCTTCCATATTGTTCCCCATTAATCTTTCCTGGTCTTCTTAAACGGGACTATGTTATGTTGCGTAGGGCTTTGAAGACAGCCAGCAGGGTGAGTGGTGTCTCTGGCTCAAATGATTAACACTGTAGTTGATCGACACATGAATTCCTGCAAGCTACTAGCTACAGAAATTTTAACTGACGGTGAGCATCCACTTCATTTACAGCTCTCTACATGTATGTCATTATAAATGTTTTATTTTCGTGTTAAAATAAAGGATTTTAACATGAGAGAAGCCAGTTTACAGGCTTCATCACGTTGATACATCTCAAAACTAGGGAGGACAAGGAGAAACTACATAAGACTATATGCTAGTACGGCCAAGTATAAGAATTCGACTGTACCTTACCTTGCACGCATATTTTGTGAGGAAAAGTGTTAGAACAGAAACCACACATCAACTTTGTGACGGTTAAAAATCTCATTTTAATAATTTAACTTTCAATGCAAAATTTTCTCGTTTCCTAATATTCTTCACACAACTTAAATTTTTATAATAAAACAATTCGAAAGGCTGCAAAGTAGTATGTATATACTTATATTTTGTTGTTATTGCAATATATGTTACTCCGAGAATTCCAAATTGTACCACAAACTGTTTGGAATAAAGCGGAAAAATTCTCTGGAAGCCTCCTTTTATACTACTTAGATGATCCGCAATTTTTTTTGCG